AAGTGACGAGCCAGAGTGCATGGTGGAGTGGACAGTAAAACCAGTGAAACGGATCTGATGCGTGACTGACAGTGTGGTTGTGTGTAGAAGGCAGTTGTTAAGAGGGGCTTTGTATGGAAGAGGAATAATGTTTGAACAATAACCGAGAATGAAAATCCTAAATTACCTTAACAAAAGCAGGAATGTCGGGAAGTAGGGAAAGTAAAACAGTAATAAAGCAGGTCCCCTGTTCAGGCCGGCAGGCTCAGCTCCTCTCGTGGTGTCCTGGGTAAGTGTGGGCGGGGCCATGTTTTGAGAAATGCCAGGTCCCCGCGTTGCATAGAAACAGGCTGCAGACCGGGCCAGTGTGGCTCAGTGGTTGAGCGTCGACCCTGCACCAAGAGGTAGGTCACTGGTTCGAATTTCGAGTCAGGGCACATGCGCAGGTTGTGGGCCCGATCCCCAGTGGGGGCATGCAGGAGGCGGCCAATCGATGTTCTCTCACCGATGTTTCTATCTCTCTCTCTCCTTTCCTTTCTCTCTAAAAAAAATCAATAAACAGGCTACAGAACTTCTGCACCCCTAAAGGAGTAAAACATTTGCCCCATTTGGGGAAACCCAGGAATGATAACCAAGTGAAAAAGCAACACCAGAACTAATAAACGGAAAATATACTATCGTAGGAATATTTTCAAACATGATCCATCCCCACTCTGGCAACTGATGGTTCCATTAAAAAGTGCCCAGACAGGGTGAAAAAGAAAGCGAAAGACGCTTTGTGCCCCCTGTAGAAAGCACAGCCCAAATGAAATGAAACAAGAAAATGAAGTGATGGGGAAAGACACAACAGACAAATATGTATAAAAAGAAAAAGTAAAATTCAAGGCAGATAGTGTACATACATGTATATAATTTATCAAGAAGTTGGACAGTCATGAGCCGTTGTGCACCTGACAACACAGCTTCTAAATATTACAGTACAAACTAGTAAACAAAAGAAATGTTGAACCACAACCATGGTCGTGGTGTGAGGACTAAGGCACCTCGCTCAGAAGTTGTCAGCTCGAGTAGACAGGAAAAAACTGAACAATGTGTTTGGAAAGCTTGGCCTGATACATGTTTAATATACATTTCATGGGCGGTATATATTTCTACAGATACATGTAATTCATGCATGTAGCCGATGTCTGCTCAGTTCTCTTTACATGTTCAGGACACAGCTAGGAATGTTGCCCTTATATTAGGAGACAAAGGGAATTTAAATGAAAACCCGAAGCTGCACATTTAAATGCTATCTTTGTCTTCTCTGAACGCATTTCGGAGACATTTAGAAATGAATGAGGTCATTTTTTTTTCTTTATTGAAAAAGAGAGAGGAAGGGAGAGAGGGAGAGAGAGAAACATGGATGAGAGAGAACATCCACTGGCTGCCTCCTGCATGCCCCCCACTGGGGATCAGGCCCACAACCTGGGCACGTGCCCTGCCCGGGAATCGAACCAGTGACCTCCTGGTGTGTGGGATGACGTTCAACCACTGAGCCACACCGGCCAGGCTGGCGTGACTTTTTTAGGTCCAAGAGCTTAGAATATTCCTTGGTTTAAAGTCATTTAAATGTCATTGCCTTTTCGCAGGCCTCACAGTAAAGTCAGCTACGCGGCATTTCAGCCTGCGCACTGGTATGTCAGGGTGTTCTCACACTGATCATATTTCTGAAACGGAGGATTTGGGGGTGACTGTGGAGTCAGTCTCTGGGTTCTTCAGTCTCTAAATCCCACTCTGCTTTTAATAAAATATTTGACTACTTCCCCGGGCGGGAATGAGAAAGGTAGAGCCTTCTTTCTTCTGTTTGAGTCTCAAATCCAGAGCCAATATCCAAGGGAAAGAAAGGCTGCGATATTTTTTTCCTAAATGTCTTCATTTTTATTCCAGCTACAGAAATAACTCTTGCTCTACGTCAAACATTTAGAAAATTGCCTAAGATAAGTGTTTTTAGCAGTTTTGTTGAGACATCAGTTATGTAACACCCACCTTTCGGCGTGTTTGCTGTGATGGAATTCCGTGGACGGATACAGCCATGCAGCGCCACCACGGTCCCCCTCAGAGCGCTCCCATCACCCCCAAAAGTTCTGCGCCGCTGGCCGGCCGTCCCTGCTCCATCCCAGCCCTAGGCAACCACTGGTCTGATTTCTCTCCCCAGAGTTTTGCTGTTTCTGGAAATTTTACAGAAATAGAACCTATACTACATCGTCTTCCGTGTTTGGCTTCTTTTACTTAGCACAGCAGTTCTCAACCTGTGGGTCACGACCCCTTTGGGGGTCGAACGACCCTTTCACCGGCGTCGCTTAAGACCATCGGAAAACACATATTTCCGATGGTCTTAGGAACGAGACACCGCTCCTCTGTCCGTCTCCAGGTGGGTCCGCCCACATGCAGACACGCCCACAGACAACACGAGGACCTGTGTCAAAGGGTCGCGGCTTTGGGAAGGTTGAGAACCACTGACTTAGCAGAGGCCTTTCAGGCCATAAGATGAGCCTTATGTCGCCTTCGTATGGACCTTCTCAGAACATTTTCAATTCACTTAAAAACTTCGCCTGCTGTATACACTTTCCATTATCAAGAGACGGGCAAGGGAAATTTTAAAGCAAGGCCATCTCTCTGGTTCTGATAACACGTACCCCACTCCAGACTGGTTGAAGGGTTCCTGACACCTCTTTTGGGAATGTACTTTGGGTGCAAGTATCAGCAGCCTAACTACAGTGGTTGAACTTTGAAAAATAATTGATTTTCCCACAGAGTCTTACTGTCCAGAAACGGGTCGCGCGACCTCCCCCTGGATGGGGGAAGGTGCGGGATTGAGGAGCAGTATGATAACGGTCTAATCGCTGATGGGCTGTCCCCTGGGGGTTGACTCATTGGTGCTCTCTCCAGAACTGGGCTTCTCCAGGCAAAATGGAGGTGCATATTGGCTAGGTGGCCCCTGGTGTCACCCCCTTCCTACGACAACTTGCTGGAGAGCTGCCCAGGCACAGTGTCACTAAGTGGCGACCCTGGCTGGGAGGGTAGAGCAGGCACGACTGCTCCAAGACTTGACTAAAGGTTTTGGCCAAAATACATCGTGGAGATAATCAGGCCCCAGCATATTCGGGTGAGTGGTGTTACACTGGACGATGATCTTGGAGTGAGTGAGGCTGAGGTGTGAGCACCACCTGAGTTCTTTCTTTCCAAGGTCGGGGGCTGGGTGGCAGGCCTCGAAGGTGCCGCTCTAACCTGAGTGTCCTGCGCACTCCGGCCTCCAGGTGAACATGATGACCTTGGCAGAGCACATCATCGAAGCCACACCTGACCGGATCAAGCAGGAGAACTTTGTGCCCATGGAGTCCTCCACGTCGGAGAGGACGGAGACTGCCACCATCAGCAGTACAATGAGCTGGCTGGCCAGTTACCTGGCAGACGTGGACCACCTGCCGAACGCGGCCCAGATCAGGTCCGTCCCTGTGCAGGGTGCCTTCCTGGGCCCAGCCCTGGCCAGCGTGGCTCAGCGGCGAGAGCATCGGCCCACGCACCAGAGGGTCTCAGGTTCAATTCCCAGTCAAGGGCCTGTACCTGGGTTGCAGTTTTGATCCTGGCCCTGGTCTCAGTGCATGTGGGAGGCAACTAATCAATGTGTCTCTCACATCGGTTTCTCTGTCTCTCTCCCTCTCTCTCCTTCTCTCTCTCTCTCTCTCTCTCTCTGTCTCTCTCTCTCTGTCCCTCTCCCTCTCTTCCACTCTTTCTAAAAAATCAATAGAAAAACAAAAATGCCTGGGCGCACTGTGGCCTGGGAGACCAGTGGTATCCGAGGGGTGCCATGTCGTGTCGGATCTCACTGAGAAGGGAGGGGGCACCAGGATGTGTACCCGCTAAGCCCTGCTCCTGTCCTCACCTCGTCCACAACCTTTCTCCCCGTGTTCAGAGCATGTGAGATAATGCATCGTCATGTTTCTCCCAGATTCAGTGCGCATTTCATGGGGGCACAGTAGGGTACTTAGTGGGTTTAGTCCTGAGCATGGTACTGAACTCATAGCAGGTGTTCAGTATGAACTTACTCGTTGAAAGAGTTAATGTCGGGGTGCTTCACGACCGAAGGACAGCTATTCCCAGTCGTCCCCAGTGGCTCCTGGTGGACAGCATCTTGTCACAGCAGTGTGGACTGGGCCGTGCCGATGGGTCACCGGTCTCCCCCGTGTCCTCTCATTTCAGGACTGCGTACAATGAGCCTCTCACCCCTTCTTCTAATACCAGCTTGAGCCCTGGAGGCTCTCCGGTCAGCGAAATCGCTTTCGAGAAGCCGAGCCTTCCCTCCGCGGCCGACTGGTCGGAATTCCTGAGCGCGTCGACCAGCGAGAAGGTGGAGAACGAGTTCGCGCAGCTCACTCTGTCCGACCACGAGCAGAGGGAGCTGTACGAGGCGGCCCGGCTCGTGCAGACCGCCTTCCGCAAATACAAGGTAGAGGGCAGGGGACAGCCCCTGGCATTCCCGCCCACACACCTGTCTCTCTCTGTCTTCCCAGTTTGTAGAGTTTTCATTTGAATTAGTACTTATGTGACATGAAATTATTCATCATTTGCAGAAGCGTTATTGAAATTAACCTGACCAGTGGTGTGAGGGTTGTCATCGTCCCGCTCTGTCGTTGGACATGAACGTGGACCTTTAGTACTCAGCATAAAGTCGGTCCTCTGCCACAAAGAGTGTATGGCCGGAAGCGGGACTGGTCGCTGCAGCCTGGGGCCGACCCAGCATTGTATGGGAACGCGTGTGTACACGTGCGTTTGGGCGGGAGAGGGTCCGTACCTCCTGCGGATTCTCAAGGACTCGCCGTCCTCGGGTGGTGTTCAAGGCCATTACCTGTGGACCCAAACTTGGAGGACTTGGGTCTCAGAAAACAGTGGAGATCCGGCAGGTCATGGACAAATAGCACCTTCCCTCATTGGTTAAATACTTTGAAAAGGAACTTTTTTTTCAAATCACCCAACATCCAAACATCATGGTTCTATTCAGAAGCGAGACTAGTTGGAGATTTATGCTACACATTCATTTTTTAAAAATTTGTACTTACAACTATCACTGTATTTTGCTAAACGCGGGGTCTCCGTTCTGAGAGAGATGATTCAATGAAGGATGATTCTCTTTAAGTCATAGGAACATTGACATTTCTCATGCTAAAGCATCTTTTATTTTTTCCCCGACTTGACCCTCAGGGCCGACCCTTGCGGGAACAGCAGGAAGTGGCAGCCGCCGTCATCCAGCGTTGTTACAGGAAATACAAACAGGTAAACCACGCACAGGGCCCTGCTGGGCCACCACCGAGGACGCTCGTGTGTGGTCGGCCCGGGACACAAAGTGCCTTCGCACTGCCTGGATGAAAAACAGGAGGACAATGTTCCAAATGGGAGAGAGAGAAAAGGCCATCTGCAGCCACACAATAATTCTTTGTTCAAATCTTTGGCCTTTGATGTTGGTCCGTGAGGATCTAGTCACGTTCCCATAGTAAACTCCGAGGTGGTTACAGACTCGAGGGAGTTGATGTGATCGGAGAAGGTAAATGCTGGCTGTTATCGCCGACCTTGAACTATGTAAGTGACATCACCCTCAGCCTTTTTTCCTTTCGGCTTCTTCTTAGCGATTTTATAATGAAGAGTCACAAAAACCTTGGAAAACCCAAAAGGGCTTTTGCCGTGCTTAGTCACGGGACGTGAGGACAGCCGAGTGCTCTTTCATGCCGCGTGACCGTCCAGGGGTCACGTCTCCGCCGTCAGAGGGCGGGTCTGGCTTGTGGACAGGAACCGGAGCTCTAGGCACATCATCTCCTTCGCTCCGTACCATTATGTGGAGTAAACGAGTCTGTTCCATTTGATAAAGGAAGAAGCCGAGGCTCAGAGAAATTAAGACAATATTAGATCTTTCTAACCATCTAGGTGGTTAGAAAACATAAAACATTTCCTGATTGAGGTTTTGTTTGTTTGTTTGTTAATCCTCACCCAAGGATATTTTCCCATTGATTTTTAGAGCGAGTGGAAGGGAGAGAGCGAGAGAAACATCCATGTGAGAGAGATGCATCAATTGGTTGCCTCTCACAGAACCCCGACCGGGGCCAGGGATTGAACCAGAAACTGAGCTATATGCCCTTGATCGAGAATCGAACCCGAAACCCTTCAGTCCATGGGCCGACCCTCTAATTGCTGAGCCAAACGAGCCAGGGCCTTGATTGAGTTTTGAATGGTTCATATGCTAAAGTTTAGTCCTGGCAGTACATTCTGGAACCTTTTATTTAGGTTGTGCTTTAGGCAGGTTTTCAGTCTTTGTTTAAGGAATACGAAGGGCTAAGATTTATAGTAGCCACGCAGAATTGTGGGATTATGTTCTCTTGCTATGATCCAGGGCTTTGATTTCTGACATGCGTTGTCATTGCCTCAAGTTTCTCTAGGATTAAGTTCCGTTTGGTGTGGGGCGGGAGAGGGGGGCGTCCTCCGCTTAGAGCCATTGAGTTCAGATCCCAGAAAACGAAGGTTTATTGTGCAAACGCTGACACCGCAGTTCCTGCAGCCAGAGGCAGGGGGCGCTGCGCGCCAGCTCCCCTTTGCTGGGCGGCCTCACGTCGCACAGCGGCACCGGAATCACAGTTCTGCGTCTGTGGTCACAAACTTGAAAATCAAGAGCTTTTTACTCCCAAATATGAGTTTGTTTCTGGTGGTGGTGTTTTTGAAATCCCCTCCCAAAGAAGTGTTGTCTACAACCAGTAAGAGGGAAGGCATTGTTTTTTGGAATATTGGCCAACATGAGACAGATATCTTGGAAGACGGAAGGCATTCCTATAGCCAGCGTGCCTTTGTGTTGGTGGTGGTGGTGGGAGTTTTATCGGTTCTGGTTCTTTCATTTCATTCTATTGAGCGGTCTAACGTTAATCTTGTATTTTCTGTTTCTCCCCAAAGCTGACATGGATAGCCTTGAAGGTAATGACATACCCAGTCCTCTCACAAATCATTCCACCAGGATCACAAACTCCACACCCATCACCAGCCACAGGAAGGGGCCATTCAGGTGGCAGGGTCATGAAGTAGGCATTCCCCCACTTGCAGGCCGCCTGAGCACAGGGCGTCTGTCCTCGGGGACCACGTGCTTACTCAGTAACAACAACTGGACACTTTCTTGGTCAGTGTCAATCTAAAGAATCCAGTGCAGCCAATCACCATGAGCCCAGCGAGTCACCAAGGAAACTGACCTTTGTCCCAGGGCGCCTCCCTGTGGCCTGAGTGTCCCGAGTGTGCACTGTGGGTAACCGCAGGGGTGCCGTAGGATCCAGCTCCTCATCTTCTGCACCAGTGAGGATGCAGAGTGGGTCAGATGACACGGAAGGGTCCTTGCCCGTGTCCTGAGGAGTCATTCCCCTCCCTCATCCCACCGCACGCGTGCAGACAGACTTAGGCACAGGGTGTTCTGAGAGCGTTTTCCCTCCGATGGTAAGTCGCCTCTTGCAGGCAGAGCGTGCCCTTGTCCGCTGAGCCATAGTCTGTTCCCTGACCAACGTGGGCATACCATTTTTTAACTATGGAGAGGTCTGTGTTTTTAGTGCCCAGAGACCGACAGGGAGGAGACTAGTTCTCCTGGGCCTGCGTCCCTCACTTTGAGGGTCCTGCCGCGGGCAGGCTGGAGGGCTGCCGTCCTGGCCCCTGAGCCATCCCGGTTCTGGGACAGCTGTCCAGGTTTTGTGGCTTCCCCTCGTGTTGGTCCTACAAGTGTTCTCACCTTCTGCAGGTTAAAATGGCTTAAAGGTGTCAGCGTTTCATGATAAGCCTTGTATTTGGGACCTTGTGACTCAGAAGTTTGTGGATGGGCTGAGAGCGAGGAGCGGGAGGCCGTCGTGTATGGTGGGAACTAGGAAGCATAATTGGTTCACTTTAAAGGTTTCAAAATTGGAGAGCAAATAGTAATCTTAAACATCTACATTTTTACTTTCTATATATGTGTTTAAGATTCCCAAATGTCTTAAGTGGATCGCTCTCTTACTTTTTTTATTCAAGAAGGGCAGTTTGTTTTGACGTTGTGTGGGGGGGCACACTAAAAGCAATACATAGTCTGAAGGTGGCCCTTCAAGTAATCTCTTGCTTTGGAAAGGTAGGTGAAAAGATTGGCTCGCTGGTGATCAGACCCGAAGCAGAGACTATGGCAGGGAGCGGGGCGACGCCGCTTCTCCTCGGCGCCCTGAGCGGCGCCGAGGGCACACAGGTGCGGCCCCTGTTGCTACTGCTCTGCTTCCTCTTGTCTCCCCGCAGTATGCACTTTACAAAAAGATGACACAGGCCGCCATCCTCATCCAGAGCAAATTCCGCAGCTACTACGAGCAGAAGAAGTTCCAGCAGAGCCGGCGCGCCGCCGTGCTCATCCAGAAGTATTACCGCAGCTACAAGAAGTGCGGCAAGAGACGGCAGGCCCGCCGGACGGCGGTCATCGTCCAGCAGAGACTCAGGTGGGCGCGGTGGGCGCGGAGGGCAGGGCCCGGGTGAGGGAGGAGTCGCCCTGTGCCAGGATAGGGCCGGCGCAGGGACAAAGGCTTTCTGCAGGGTCTTTCTTTCCAGACCATTCTGATTGTCGAGACTTTGTACGCTTACGCCTGTGTCATTCACCCGGTTTGTCTATTTAGCTCATTCTCTCTTCACCTCCCACCCAGTTATTTTGTGAAGTCTCTGCCCAGTTTCAACTTGTATCAGAATCTGGCAGGACCCAAGTTTCCCCTGGCAAAGGTGGCACGCTGTTCCCGTAGTAACAGGCCCTGGCAGAGGGGAGCGGAGCTCTTCCTCCTGAGAGAGGAATAAAAACGTCCAGTGCAGGAAGATGTGTTGACAATCGAAGTTTAGGAAGTGGTAGCCCAAAGGGCAGGATGGAAGTCAGGAGGGTCAGCTTCTAGACAAAGAGCCCATGTGGCGCCCGGATGCCCTTCTCAGCAAACTGCGCATCTGGTGGTCGTGGAAAACACCCCCACCCGGCGCCCGGACAGGCGCCCGGAAGCAGGGTCTGCCCCCGCTGTCGGGTTGGCTGCGCAGACTGTCTCATTCAAAGCCTTGCGCCCTGCCCTCGGGTTTCCAAGTTCTGCGTACGAACCCTTCTTTTGACAATAATTAGTATTCTGGCTTTTTTCAGGAGCAGTTTGCTAACCAAAAAACAGGATCAAGCTGCTCGGAAAATAATGAGGTTTCTACGACGCTGTCGCCACAGGTAGGTCCACTAATCCTCATCTTACACATTTCACTCATCACGACTAATGAAACAGCCCTAATCTTCTGAGCCACTCATTAACTCCTGTGTAGAGCTCACCCCAGCGAAGGGTCAGGGTGATCCTCCCCAAAGACATCAGGACAGGAGAGCTCTGGCTAGGGACCAAGCTGCTGCCGCTGGATCTGGGGGCGCTGAGCCAGACTGGAGAGTATGCCAGCATTTGTTTCGTTCCCGTGGAAGGACAACTTAGCTGAACGAGCTTTTAATGCCAGGTTTCTCTCGAACCTCTTGTTTCTGTGCCACATCTCAGTAGGTTCTTCACTCTAGATCCTCACTGTGCTATTGTGTCCAAACAGAAAAGAAACAGTGTCTCTCCTGGAGGAAAGTAGGTTGTTAGAAGTGCTAGCGCCCTCTGCTGGATGGGTGGTAGCTAACAGGCTCTGTGGAATCCGGTTAAAGCCAGGCTACGTTGAAGGACAGAAGTTCTAGGAAATGACACACACCTGAGATTAGAGGGACATTTTTCAATGAGAGGACAGCAGATTCCACGGACACTGCACCTTCTCGTGGAGCTAAGCCCAAGGGCTTCCTCTGTGTTTCCTCGGATTGGAGCTTTCTTTGGGCAGACCAGGTTCTTCACTTAGGTTGGGGGGGCTGATGTAGTGTTGAGTTTTCTTTATTTAAGTTAATCCAGCCTGAACAGTGGCATCGGTGCCGTGTTCAAACGACTGCCCCCGTGGCCCTGGCGGGCCTGCGCGGGGAGCTGTGCCGTTCACAGGCCCCAGCTTCCGAGCACGCTCTCGAGCGTCTCACGGCTCGTGCTGCTCAGTCCCGAGGCCCGGGGTTCACATCCAATCTGAGTCCTCAGATTCGTTTTACTTTCGTGTTTCTTACTCCTGACACTGTCTGCTTGTTAACGCTGAAAAGATTTGGACTTTGAGACTTCGTAGGGGCTCACTGGCTACCTGTCCCTTACCTTAAATTAATGAAAGAAGTCATTGACCTGACGACAGAGGCCTTGCCCGGAGCTGCACGTTAGCGACGACAGAAGCGTTAAAAAGCACGTCCCTTAGGGCCGGGTGGGCGTTCTGCAGCGGGAAGGCTCCGAGAAGCTGACGGACACGGCGCGGCCTCGCTCCTCCGCTGGGACTGGCTGAGCAATGAGCGGCCGTGTCCACACCCAGAGACAGCAAGTGCTGTCCGGAAAGGCAGGTCCAGGTGTGGGTGCGACTCTGCCATGATGAGACCCGCTCTGCGAGCCTCCCTGACAGCCTCTCTGTCACTCGGTCTGCCGGTGAGTCAGCAGCACTCACGGCCGGACAGTTCACTTCCCGGGAGGTCTCAGCCCTCCATCTGCTCTCGCATGGGCGCACCTCCCTCCTTCCCTCTCCGTCCTTCCTGCAAAACCAACCAGGGGGACTCCCTCCGGCACTGTTGAGGCCAAGGTTCACACTTTCCCGACAGATTTTGTTTTCAAGAAGATTGCCTTTATGTGTCTCTTCTTTAGGCCACTTCAAACAAACCGAAACGTTTACAAGTTAAATTTTCTTATTTCTTCTAGTCTTATCCTTAAACTTTGAACATGTGGGTAGGTAATTCAACCCTGGTGACTATGTGCTTTTCTTTTTAAATCCTCACCTGAGGACATTTTTCCATTTCTCTTCAGGAGTGGGAGGGAGGAAGAGAGAGAGAGAGGAACATCGATGTGAGAGAGACACATCACTTGGTTGCCTCCTGCACAACCCCAACCAGGGCTGGGGACCAAACTGCATCCGAAGTCCGTGCCCTTGACTGGAAATGAACCTGCGACTCTTTGGTCCACAGGCTGACGCTCTGACTGCTGGGCCAAACCGGCCAGGGGCAGACTACGAACTTTTTTTCCTTTTCCCTTTGGCCGTAGCCATGCACGGTTTCCGTGGGGAAGCTATAACAGGCAGCCTTCCACTCCACGTTTGGGGCCCTCTTTCCGTAACCTGGCAGACAAGGACTTCATGAAGCTTTTACTTAGCGTGGGTTTCTATTAACTAGCAATAACCTGGTCAGGCTAACAAGAAAGTCTGTTACGAAGAGGACATCAGATTACGGACTCTGAATTTCTGCTCTTTGTTTGGGATGAAGACCCTGTTGGCTCTGTTAGTGCCCTTTCCCATGTTAGATTTCAGAAAAACATGCAGGCAAATTTCTTGTTGTTGTGAATTTTCACCCAAGGATATTTGTCCATAGATTTGTAGATAGAATGGAAGGGAAGAAGCGAGAGAGAGAGAGAGAGAGAGAGAGACACCTGATTGGCTGCCTCCCACACGACCCTGACTAAGGCCGGGTATTAAACCGCAACCTAGGGGCATGCCCTTGATGGAGAATCAAACCCACAAGCCTTCGGTCCTCAGGCCAGCGCTCCGGCCGCTGAGCCACCGGCTAGGGCTGCAGGCAAATGTTAATATCCTGTTTTCTGACTGCCTAAGATCAGTGCTCACGCCCGTCCGGGGCCTGATGAAGGGACCTGAAGGGACCCTGAAGTCTCTCCTGGGAGTTCAGCTCAGGTCTTCCTCGGATAAGTGTAACCGTTTCCGTCTGGGTCCCTGACTTGAAGGGACCCTGAAAGTCTCTCCTGGGAGTTCAGCTCAGGTCTTCCTCGGATACATTTAACCGTTTCCGTCTGGGTCCCTGACTTGAAGGGACCCTGAAAGTCTCTCCTGGGAGTTCAGCTCAGGTCTTCCTCGGATACGTTTAACCGTTTCTTGTGTTATGGTTAAACTGACTTGTGTTCTAAGAAGAGCTGTCCTGTAGCGTGTCCCTGAGAAGCATTCAGATAGAAAGCCTCCCGTGGCCGCTCTTAGAAAGGCAGGTAGGTGGTGGCTTCAGGAACTGATGAGAGGTGTCCCTCCTCACAAGAATTCGCTGCCACAAGACCCCAGCGTTTTCAGACCCCAGCAGAAATTGGTGAATGTCCTACCTGCTCATTTCACATACCTGACCACCACTCTCCCTTCCTTCCATAAAAGGAACCACTTTTAAACTCTCTTTTTGTTGAAATAAAGCTATTTGTAAGATCTCTGTTGTGACCCTCACATGCTAATAGCTCTTTGGTGTTGTTTTACTGCCCAAGCCCCCTGGTGGACCATAGGCTGTACAGAAGGGTGAGTTTAGCTGCCTGCTAGCCAGTTTACTTTACCTTCCATTTTCAATATTTTGCTTTTTGCTTGCTTGCATGGGGCTGCAGCCTAGGTATGCCAGTAAGTTCCACATCCATTGAATGAAATAAGATACAAGTCAAACTAACCCTAGTTACTAACATGCTACTTGATACAAACAGTCGCGAACAGTGGACGTCAATGCATGAGTAGTGGAAGGGAGGACCTTGGAAAGCGCCACAGGGCATGCGGCGAGCCGGGCGGGAGCAGACAGGGCCGGGGCCCAGGGTGAAATCCACAGGCTGCACCGAGACAACGTGAAGCAGGTGGCTCGTGGCGATGGAGGCCGTTTGCCACACGAAATGTCCTCATCTGCTGTGTCCAAATTTCAATGCAAGAGGGCTCCCTCGGTGGTATTGGCTTTTTTATTTTTATTTTTTAACTACTCTATTTCTTGTTTAGAATGACTGTTTCCCGGTCACCCTGTCCCTAGAGTTTTATTTTCTAAGCCTCCTTTTCCCTGGTGCTGTGAGGTAAGTCAGAACACAGCCGGCCCTGCCCAGAGTCAGCCTGGGGCATTCACTGGGGAATAGTGAGCAGGCTGGCCTGCAGCGTGCGAGGGCGAAGCCAAAGAGATCACGTGGAAGTGCTTAACTCTGGGTCCTGCGCTGCAGGGACCAGGGGATGCGCCCCTCGCCTGTGCTTTACAGAAATGGTAATGGCCAGGTTTCCGTCGATGGTGGTCGGGGGATGCTCATCTGTCAGCAGGCACAGGGGTGAGTCTCAGCCAGATGGGACTTGAACACATCTTAAGTGATAATAAAGGATTTCGTGCCAGAAAACTGCTCTAAAAACCAGGAATAGACTTCACCACGTGCAGACTCGAATGTAGATTAATTTGTCAGCTTTTGCCTTACACGAAGTCCTATGAGAAGACGTCCCCAAAATGTAACATGGGGGTTGCCTGTCCGCACCCCTCAGCTGACACTCAGCTTGCTGTAGTTATTGTAAGATTTCTGAGAAAAGCGCACACTTCAGAAAACCTGAAACTTCTGTTTCTGGAGATAACGTTCCCCATCGAACTACACTTATGTCAACGCTAATGTTCATTTATTATATTTTAAGCCAACGGTCAACGGACGTTTTCTTAAAAGGCCATACAGTTTCTATGGCAACCATCAGCTCTACCCTTGTAGCCTGAAAGCAGCCAGACAGTTTATAAACGAGTGGTGTGGCCCTTTAACAAGACTTCATTTACCCAGATGTGCCCTGCGCTGGGTTTGGCCACAGGCCGCAGCTTGCCACCTTACAATAATAGGAGAATTGAGTTTGTAGAAATTCTGCCTAATCCAAGACCTAATTTTTATAAAAGAGTTAAAGTCTCACCTATTTAAAACTATGGATATTTGGTGAAGGGAACATCTGTTTGAAAAAAATAAATACAGCAGCTACACTCTTTTGTAGATTTAACCAGTTAGTTCTCTTTCGAATTAGGCGCTTGAAATGGTTGGGGTCCCACGCGTAGAGCTGGCTGGGAGATGCCTGGGTTTGAAGGAGGAGGAACGGGGATACAGAGCTCCGTTTCTCTCTCTCTGTCACCCTCCGCATACATAAGTAAGATTCCCATTTTAACAATTTTCCAAGAGAGCAGGTGCGTGCCCCGTCTTCAGTTCACCTGGAGTCACTCCCTCGGGCACGGACGTGGTCCGATCCGCCTGCCGCAGGGAGCCGGCGTTTCAGGACACACGGTTACCTGTGCGCTTCCGAAGCTTGTTCGCTTGGTGCGTGACCGTTTTTAAGACCTCATGTTCCAAAGGCGCCTTTCAGTGCCAACTAGCTCCACCTTAATTTCTTAAGTGCCTACCACATTCTTCGCGAGCTCCTGAAAATCCTCCTCCGAAGGTGGAATTTCACAGCATCCTCAGGCCTCTGCGTCTTTGGGGAGTTGGAGAGAGAGGAGCCGAGAAGCTTCACGGTCCTTCTAGAATGGTCTTATTTGTCTAACTGCGTGCATGGAGGAGGAGCCTGCCTCTGGCTTTGTCTAATTACCTGTGCGATCTCTCTCCCTCTTTGTTCATGGAGAAGTCACAGTGACGCCCCCTCTTGTGGTCCCCAAGTTGAAATTGCTCTTGGGGGCAGAGCATTCTCTGAGGAGAATTCATATCCCTGGAATTTATGTCAAAGAAAATAATACACTTACTTTATTCATTGGTGACGCATTTAAGACATTTAAAGTTTACACAAGAAAAGAAATATTTGAAAACTTAATTACATTTCATGGCTCAATGTTTGTAAAACACTCTGTGACCCCAGCTCCTAGGTCAATGAAACAAGGCTACCTGGGAAGGTGGGCCATGCCAGGCTTCAGGGTGAAGCTAAGAAGAAGCACCAAATACTCTTCATTGAGCCCAGCTTTTAAAATATATATATTTTTATTGCAATTTTTTTTAAAAGAGAGAAAAACATTCATATGAGAAAGACACATCGATCAGCTGCCTCCTGCACGCCCCCTACTGGGGATCAAGCCCACAACCCAAGCATGTGCCCTGACCGGGAATCGAACCGGGACCTCTCAGTCCATGGGACGATGCTAATCCACTGAGCCACGCCAGCGGGGCAAGCCCAGCTTTTTTCCTGTAGGCTCAGCCCCTCATGTACCCAACACCTTAAAATGGAGTTTTCAGATTCTAGATACCGTCCTAGGGGCGTGTTTGGTCTCGGACACCATCACTGTCCATTTCAGAGATGCTTCTTAGATTCGAGTCAACAGCGTGCATCGCTTTCCTAGCTAACTCGGCTGTCACCTGACTTTGGCAGATGACTGGCTTGCTGCGTCCGCTGAGAGCAGCACTCCCCGCGGGGTGTCAGGGTGTGCGATCACGGTCCTCCCTTTATAGCGGAAAACCAGGCCCCACGTGGGGGAGGAAGCAGTCGACAACAGACTCACGGAACCACTCATCCTCAGGGCGCGGGCACGAAAAAGGACGATGCTCCTTTTCTGGTTAGAAACGGCCCCCACTACTCTCTCTCCAGGACGGTTCTTGTTCTGGGTGTGTGAGAAAGTGTTCTCACAGGTCAGGGAGACTACTCTCTGAAAAGCCATTCTCAGACGGATTCGTCTTCCCCCACGCGAGACAGTAGTTCTGCGAGAGGGCTTTATTAACCTGTCCCAGTCACGACAAGTGTTATTACAAACAGTGGGAATCCTGGTACTGAAATAGCCTCTTTCTTGGAAATTGCTGGCTTAGTTATTTATCCACATTCAGTAAAGGTGGGTGAAGCCATCCTACTGAAATCAGAACCCCAGCTGGGGGAAGAAAGGGTGATACTTCTCGGGCACACACTTTTAAGGCACACATTTTTCTCTGTATATGACAATTGAGTTTCCAGGCACTTGGCCAGAGGCTGCCGTTACCTTAGTAACTGGTGATCTCAGTGCTGAGCCCTGAGAGTGGCCCTGTGGGGTGTCTCCAGTGGGCAGCCCTCCGGCAATGCCTCCGGAGTAGACTGTTGACCGAGAGAAGCAAGCGGGCTCCAGGCTGGCCGTTGTGAGATCACACACCTTCAGCTACATCCGATGGGAGGTGCAGGGCCCCAGTGGCCCGTCCTAGGCAGCGCGGAGTAGGAGCTGAATGTGGGATGTGTCGTCACGGGTGTAACTTAAATCTGAATTTTGTCTCGCTTGCCTCTTTTAGGGAATGAATATTTTTGGAACACAGTGGTGTGTGTTAAATTGCAGACGACATGCTCTGTGTCATTCTTATCGGGCCTCTCTGTCTTTTTTGTTTTGCGACCCAAATGAGATTTCTGGAAAATGGCAAGACCTCTCTTTTCCTAAATTCCCCACAAGCTGTTGCAGCTCTCAGAGCAACAGGTAACACATCAGAAAGCCGCACCGGGCTGCCCTGAATCTGACGTCCCGCATCGCGAGAAAACACTGCTGACAGCCACGGACCATGACACATTTCTCTGGCTGAGCGCTGCCCAGTGGATGTGACGAGCAGCTTTGCCTATGCTTTACCCATGAGCCATTGTTTGCCACAGTTGCCGAAGCAGGCCTACTTCATTGATCCATAATTTATCATTGGACGTCTGATGGATATAAACCCTGTGGGCTTTTGCTGGCTTTCAGTGCTGTTGCTTATACATCACTTCAGTACATTCTGATGCAACTTTCTTTTTTTGGTTGAGACAGCAACAATCTCCCAAAGGGGGGTATCTTTAGCCTAGAATGCTTGGGGGAAATCCTGGGGTTGTCTTTCCTCTTAATAGTTGAATGGTCACAGGTCAAAGTCTTGCTGTCCGAATTCCCTTAATTGCAAGCCACTCGTGTGAGCACAGGTTTCTGAGTCACTGCTGGGCAGTTCTGTGGTGTGGTCCTTGCCGCTGTCCTTGGTAGTACCAGCCCTGTGCCTCTGGAAGCCGGAGAGTCCTCTGTGCATGGTCCTTACAACCTAGGAAGACTGCTTTGCTGTCTTCTGCGTAATGAAATTCAGAAGTGAGTGTGATTACAGTAGGATGTGTTTTTAGATAACCTGGACACTCACTCTCAAGTTCACTTCTTGGCACCGAATGAATCTGTTATAATTCCTTGAGAACCGAAACTCCGTAACCCTAAGCTGAATCTGTGCAGCCCAGCCCAGGGGAAGTGTGTTGAACACCTGTAGTCTAAGTCCTGTGGACACGGTGACCATAGGTACTGGAGTTTCTAGTGTCATTCCAATTCAAAAATTCTGGTTTATGTTTACCAAGTCTGCATACCGAAAGATATGCTGACCGTACAGGTAATGTGAATGAAACCAGTTCGATCGATTGATTTTGGTTTTGATTTTATAAAATTGATTTTTTTCCCCTTCACTGACTTTTTCAGTGATTTTTTTAAAATGTCATGTCAATACAACATTTGTAACACATAGTAGTAGTAACAGGTAGATAGAAAACACACTTTTTCCCCCAAAGAATGACAAGCACAGATAATTATATTACAAAAGGGGCACATGCTCATTACAGCACATTCTGGAAATACAAAGAAGCAAGCAGAGTCGCCAGGCAGTACCCCTGGAACTTCTGCCGTGGGTCCTTCTTGTGGATATAGTTGTGGTTAACCCACGCGTTTTAGTGATCATTCACGCCTTGACTAAGACAAAGCAGCAACAGATTTCTGTGACTGTCAGAAACACTCTGATTTGAAAAATCTCCTCCTTAGAATTTAACAGAAAGTCTAGTACTGGATGCTGTTCCAAACCACTTCAGTAGTAGAATTTGTTGTTTTCGGTTTCTTTGGAGGCAAAGTAACACCCAAACGTATTTTATTGGACTGACATTTGATTTAAAACAAAATAAAACAAAACAAAAGATAAGTACTTTTTATGGGAAGGTACTTTTTTCCCTCTAAAACACTAATAAAATCAACATACAAAGGATGACATCTCAGAACTGAGAAAATGTCATTGTTGTCACTGGTTTTCAACAACATACTTATCTCAGGCCATGGAAATTTTCCAAATGCGTATTTTCTACCAAGTCTTTTGGAAAAACCAATAAAATAAGAACTTGAAAAAAATAAACATTATCTTGTTATCCTGAGATACTGGAGGCGCAGGGTAGCTTCAGCTCCCTGCTGCCACCCGTTAACGAGATCACTGGGCGCAGGCTGCCCTAGCCCTATGAATCCCTGGTTCTCCGTTTACAGATTGGAGAGAATGGTGATGTCGTGAGGACTAAAGTTCTCCTTTAATGATTTTCTGTTTAAAAAAATACCCATGCCACGAGTGTCATTCCGATGTCACTGATAATGCCAGTACACTGAGCACCTCAGCACGAAACTAAGAACTGAATTCTCTACTTCATCTCGTGAGTTAAGTGTGTATGGAAATCTCTCTGAAAACCTCCACGTCCCCTCTTCCTGCATAGACTGCTGTGGCCTCTCTGTGCAGTGAGGCGCCTCCCTCCTTAACTGGGTGTGTGAGGCTGTCGCTAGATTTATAGCCAAGTACTTACACAGCAACTTAGAACCCTGATGAAAACTTAGTTGACTATTTTATTTTATTTATTTTTATCCTCACCTTAGGACATTTTTGCATTCATCTTTAGATAGAGCAGGAGGGAGAGAGAGAGAGAGAGAGGAACATCAATGTGAAAGGGACACATCGAGTGGTTGCCACCCACATGGCCCCAACCGGGGCCGGGGATGAACAGCAACCGAGGTACATGCCCTTAGTGGGAACCGAACCTGGGTCTCTGGACCACGGGCCGACACTCTGACCGCTGAGCCAAATCGGCCAGGGCCTTAGTTGACTTTTTAATTAGTTCAGAAAGAAACTGCAAAAACCAATGTGACCATTTTAGCTAAAAGAAAAACGTTTAGGTTATACCCACCATGACCATCTGGCGACAGTCTCTGGTATGAAACTGTACAAAACATTTCTGGATCTACGTTGCTCTCCTTTTATTTCATCTCAGTGATGAACTTAATATTTTGAAAACTTTCCTGTTTCACTCTAGAAAAGTCGTGAACGGCTTGCTTTGTCTTTATGCTGTCAGGTTTTGAGTTGAGAAGTCTTCAAACTCTGCAGCCCTCAGTGACGGCGTCACTGGCGGACACGCGAGGGAGCCCTGCACTAGGGAGACAGTGTAGCACTCGGAGGAGCATGCACATCTCCCCTGACGCAGCGAAGGGTCTGCGCAGGCGCAGGCGCACTGCATGCCCGGAAGTACATGTGGGATCACTGCATGCCTTGCATTTCTCCAGCCACAGAGCTGCTAGTATAGACATTGCATGTTTAAAAATTGAACACAGAATATGGCATGTTTCAATTTTTAAAAAGCCATTTACTTACCAAGTCTGCATGTCCAAAAGTAGGGACCTAGAATAATGCACAACTCAGGACGGTAATATCCAAAGTACCCGAACATTTAATCCATGGTATATTCAGTTATAAAATTTAAAACCAAATAATACCTGGATGCAGTTACGAACACAGCAGTGGTTTCTAAGTGTAGCTGTTAAGAAAGAAGGATTTGAGCGTTGTTGAAGATACACGGTTTGATCAAGCTGGGCTTGCTGAAGTTAAATCAGACAAACAAGCAAGACTGCAAACATCGTCAGTCTTTTTCATATTAATGATGGTAGAACGATACAGCTTTTTTTCTGAGGGAGAGCATCTTCTCTTTGAAGAGATTATATCAACTTTGCAGAATACTGAGAGGATTCCGCGCAAAGGGAGTGAAGACAGGCGTCTCCTTGAGTTGCTGTGACAGCATCAGTGCCATCCCCTTGAGTCCCAGCCCGTGTGCCACAGTAACTCGTCACCCACTCGAATTTATCAGGGCAGCAAACTAGCGTTTGCTTGACAATAAAATTTGAATTGACCGGTCTCACGGCAGATGACAGGAAAGACATTACTCTTGGGAATCAGAAACGATTCAGGAACTGTCTACCTCTGTCCAGGCCCGTATTAGAGAAACAAGCCGGACTCCCTGTCACGCTGCTGGAGGAGCTGCCCCTTCTGCTTGGTTACAGTCACCCTCCACACCCACCCCACGTTTGGGAAACATGTTATCTAGGACGTGCGGTGCTGCGAGCTGTGACACGCGGCGTGCACTCGCCTCAGCAGCGGGACCCTGTCACACGGGCACGCGATCACTGCAACGTTCAGGCAGGGCCGTGACGAGTCGGGCACGAGAACCCTTCTCACACCTTACAGCCTCTGCCCTGGCCCGGCCTCTGCATCAGGAGGCACAGTAAGACACCAAGGCAAATTTCTATATTAAAAAATATAGACTGGAAGTGGCCGTTAGCAAATCATATGCTGATATGCACTTTCCATGACTTGATAACAATTTCATTTAAACTTGGTTACCACACTGTGTTTGATCACTGGAACGAAGTACCTTTATATGCCCTGCACCCTAGAGCCATACCCCGGGGGGCCCTGGAGAAAGTAACCAGCACATCTCTTAAAGCCACAATGTGGGATAGGAGGCGAGTCAGGAATCTGAACACCAGAAAGACTCCACGTGAGTGAACCCAGAGCTGCGCAGGTGTAAGAGCAGGTCAAGCCATCTAACGAGCTTGAGTCTGTGGGTGAAGGTAGTTAGTTCATGTCCTAGGTCTGTCAGAATATACATAAATGGGTGTGCAGTTTCCCGAACTTGCAGCGCATGGAGTTACAGGGCATTGATGGTGACCCGCCAGGCCAAAAAGAAAGTTATTTGAAGCATGATATTGTTACACTTGGCACAACGCAACAGGTTTCGGTTTTGCTTTGTGTTCAGAGCACATGCTGGCAGAGCCAGGTCTCGGGAAGGGCCTCGTCTTCTCCTTTGAGTGTTTCCCCCTGGCAGTTAAACAAGAGTTTCTTTTGCCATCGATCCTCAATGGTCTTTGTCTTTTTCTTTATTTCCTTTTGTTTATTTATTTATTTTTTACTTCAAAGGGAATGATAATGTCCTTTCCTGGATTTGGTCAGTTTCACTATATAGTTATCACCTGGTATTTTGTTTTGTTTCTTTTCCAGAGTGAAAGAATTGAAAAAGGCCAAGGAACTTGAAGACATACAGCAGCATCCCTTAGCAATGTGACATTGCTTTTCAGACTGTTTTCATTTCTGTTTTTAGCAGAGACACGCAACAACACACATGCGCGCGCACGCATACACATGCACACACACACACACACACACACACACACAATCCCTCTGCAGTTTTGGGGCGATCAGCTGCAGGATTTTAACAGGAATGTTTTGGTCATTGCATTTGCACTTTCATGGACAACTTTTAATTTGATCAGCAAGACATCTTGGAACTCAATCTTCTGTTGGATCATGGGAAAACAAGACACCGCGAAGAATCGAAAGAGGCTTCTTCCTCTGGGGAAGAAGCCGTTTTCCTTCTCACATAGGGCTGTATTCAAACATCGTGTGGAACTGTACAAATATTTATACCAAAAATATAGATAAGAAAAGGTGGGGATGCACTAGCAACAAGAGAATGCTGTTCCTGCACCTGTCAATTACTTCCAGGAAGCTGAATCTTTGGGATTCATTGTCAGTGGAGGGCTTAGATCATACAAATCTTTATTGGGTCCGTGTGTTCTCATTTCCTTCACTGTTTTACTTTGTTTTTGTTTTAATCTCTACAGCACACTTAATGCAACTTTTAAAATCTGCAGGTTTTTAATGTCTTGTGGAAATTTTGCAGAGGGGCGGGTGTGTGGCAAACGGGTAATGCATGGGAAATAACGAGAAACCGCTTCCAGAGTTAACATTTATTTCCTTGTCCCCACCACCTCCCAAGAACCTGCGAATAATCATCGTGTCCCTTTTCTCATGTTCAGCACTTTAATTTTTTTGCCTTACTTTCATGTGCAATGAGAATTTCTTAGAGAATTGGTAAAGCATGTAGCTTTTCCTAGTGACCTTGGAAAGTGTAGTCATTCTAAGGAATCATGAACCTTGCCTGGACATCTGCCACCTAAAAGATCAGTGTGGTGCTGCGTTCTGGCCAGTAAATTCCATATTTTTGGCTATATCTCATCCAAACGGAGCAGTTTCTGTGTATATATAGAAGGTAGAAATGGAAAGTGAGAAATACTTGAAAGGGATTATATTAATTGCTAAATATTTTATTCACAAAGGTCAATAACATGGCAAGATAAAATTATTTGTATAGTTTTGTCTGAATGAGCAAGAAAAATGTGGATGTATTGTTTGTATATATTGTATATATTAAAACAAAGAGATATGTGCATGAAATCAAGAAAAAAGAAATGAACAAAAGCAAAGCATTAGTGGCTATGGTCTGTAAAATGAAACAAAAAAACTTTATTTCACTATAAGAGTACTTTATTTTAAATGTTCTTTAGAAGAACATTTTGCTAAAGCATGACTAAACTGCAAAAAATTTTAAAAAAAGAGCTACTGTATTTAGACTTAGGAAAAAAAGGCAGAGTAACATTACTTTAAAAAAAAAAAAAAAGGATATGTTTACATTTAATTTTGGCTACCGGGAGTTTATTTTATTTTATTTAAAATTTTTTTGCCAATGGTGCCAAGTAATGTGAATGCTAATATTGCTTAAGAAAATTAAGTTACTTTTGCTAAACAGATAATCATAAGATGAATTAGTAAACAGCTTAACACCATCCACTCGCTCCAACAGAGAATACTTAGAACGACCAAAACCTGACAAGTCGAATGAAAGGTAGAAAAAATGTCTCACGTTTTCATATCTCCTGCTGGAAATCAGAAAATGTAACAAAAATTGCACAAAAATCACTAAAAATTTAAAAGATGCAAACTGGTCTTGTAGGGATGTCATGGTATGTTACTATTTTCACATAATGAGGAGCCAAAGAAATCTGATGCTTTTAAAAATTAAACTACTACTGTTAAATTGAGGAGAATCAAGTTCGCATTTGCTGATGCCAGTTTAAAATCCCCAGGTTATGTTTCAGGACTAGTTGGTGTAAAAGCTGAAATCATAGCTTCTTCTTGGTTCTGTCTGCCAACTGTAAGTTAAAACTCCAGGCTTGTTGTGAAGCCTAAAAATACTCACAAATCAGCTTTTAAACTGGTGTCTTTCGAAGGAAAGTAGATACAAAAGGATCGTGGTAAAAACTGGGGTCAGAGCTCTTGGTGCCTTTCTATAATTGTACTTGTTTCTTAATTACTTCCTTTCACTGCCAACCTCAAATTACTGTACAGTATATGTCTTACTGCTTGTGATCAGCTTGGACAACAGTGACAGCCCCACAGCTAGTAGCCATCTGTACATTTGTAAACTGAGCTGACTCAATTTTGTTATTTTAAATGTGTGGGTTATGTTACAGCTGTTGCGGTCCCCCAGATACCTATCATTTTCCACAATTTGACCTATAGGAGGACACTGAGTAATTCACAAACACACAACCGCATTCCTAAGTGGGAAGATGCCAGCTCTTTCAGAATATCCTCCATCAATGCTGAATTTAGGTATGTTCATTCCATTTATTATGGTACAAATAACTGACCTTTTGACAAGAGTAATGACCTCAGTGGATTTGCTTTAACCCTCACATCTATTTATTTATTTTTTTAAAATGTGTCCCATGCTACATTATTAGCTGAGTAAGGTAGAAAATTCCGGAAGATAAGGACTTGCATAGAATTAGGAGGGTTCTCGTGGAAGGAATAGGAAGCAGCGGTACAACTGTGAATCCTAGGTGAGGTACAAATACACTTCCACTGATACGAAGCATTTCTGACCGCTTTTTCTTGGTTATGAATCTTAATTTTAAATATAAGATGATAGATAAGTGCAGCTTTCTTGGATAATCTGAATTCCCAAGTGCCAGGAGTAGGATTTCATTATAAAATTAATAGCTAACCTTATTCTGTCTCCTGAAGATTTAATTGCTATTCTTGTTACCCATTTGAAATCAGCTGTACTGTGTGAACGAAATAAAGACACTAACTCGAACCCCTTTCTGGCTGCACGGTCGCTTATGGCAGTTCCACACAGTAGTTGGCGCCCAATGGGGGGTCCCGAGACTTGCATGTAAAACTAGTCTAGATGTCTTCTTTTTTGTAAGTTTTATTTTTGTAATTGTGCATGTAAAGCATCATTGAATCAATGGATCTGTTGAAGAACTCAGCTGCTGGAAACCATGCAAAATGTTTTGAATTGCCCTTAAAATATGGAAAATGTTTTCTGAATGCTTTATATTCTTTCTGCTGTAAATTAAAAATGAAGAAAATTTCCCCATATTATGTGTGTGTGTTGCTTTAACTTTACCTGATAACTACAATCCAAAGTGATTGGCATGTTTCAAACCGTATGAAATAATTTCAAATATCTCCTTAGATCCAGAGATAATGTTTTGACATTGAATGTCACATGGTTTAGGATATGTCCATGAAGGCAAGAATGTCTTCATGGTACTTAGAACACCTGCTTTGGAACTATTTTCTCGGGCACCTCTCAGCATATCATCTGTTTTAGTGCTGTTATTTGAATGACACGGACACCAGTCCCAACTTCACCTTTTCAGTTCCTCAAGTTGGTTGAGAGGTACTTTCCAGCTGACTACTGTCAGTCTTCCTACCTAAGTAGCTGTCAGTTTCAGTCTCTTTACTGCAAAGCCTCATGTCCCTGGTGGTCCCTCTTCATCTCATCTGACTCAATGCCACTGCAGGACGGATTCTGCATGATCTCCCACCTCCATGGGGCCTCAGTGGTTTCTACAGACCAATGCATTTCAACGCCATTTTCCTTTCTTGTTTGTCCACACTCTATTTCATCTTATTTTCACCTGTGCCCCAACCTGCACCCTCTGCTTGGTTTGTGCCAGCCATGTCCATTTCCACTGTTGTCTTTGTTCATGATGTTTGCTCATCCCTTGCCTGGAAAGTTCTCCTTTTGGTTACTTATCACTCAAATCCCACCTCCTCTGTGCCACTCTCGTTTATTCTAATATACACTAACATTTAAGTTTTTAAAATTATTCCATTTACAGTTGGGAAAGACAAGTGTTTATTTTTCGTTTCTCATCTAATCTAAGCCAGTAGACCTATTAGTGTTTTGTAGTGTTGTTTTTTAACGTAAGAGTTGTCTGTGTCGGTAGGAATACTTTGTTACAGCCTGAAGACGTTGAAAAGTAACCCTCTGCATTCAGATAAGTGCCTCCGCCTCCATAAGATGAAAAGCTGAGGACCTCGGCTGTGCCAGTGGCCAGGAGCACCCAAGTGTAGAGACACTCCGTCTCTGATCTATGCAATGACGAGTATGAAGAGCGAACCTACACCAATCAATGTCTGTGATAAATACCCCAAACGGACTGCATATCTCATTTAACAGGTTTCTTGGAAAACCGCGGGGTCTGCGGGCCCACTAGGTTCATGTGGGGAGTTGAGCAGAAACACACACAGGCTGTCGCCAATATTGTCACCGCCTGAGGAACGGCCCACCCTCGTTTACCTGCACAGTCCCGGCGGCGCGTAGCGCACCCCGTCCCCCGGCGTCAACGCGGGGCACGGCTGGGCGACGGGCGGACGCTCACGGACCCGCACCCAGCAGCGCAGACTCAGGCCCACTGCGCAGCCGCGGTCCCCACGAGCCCCGCCCCCTCGCTGCACTCGGGAGCCCCGCCCCGCGGCGCCCCGCCCACCTGGCACGCCCTTCCGCGCCCCGCCCTGTGACGTCCTCGGCCCCGCCCCGGTCCCTGGCCTCCGGTCCCGCTCCGCCGTTCCGTCGACACTCGCTCGCCGCCGCCACCGCCAAAATGTGAGTGACGCCGTGTGAAGCTGGGCGGCCTCGGGCTCCCGGGGACGGCGGCCCGCGACTGGGCGCCCCGCCCGGCCCGGTTCCCGCCGGCCGCCCTCAGACGCGGGCCGAGGCCGTGCGAGCCTGCGCTGGGCTCCCAGGCCCGGGGGTGGGCGGAGGCCCCGGGAGTGCCGGCTGCGGACGGGCGGGGCGACCCCGCGGCGCCGCCGACGCCCCGGAGGGCCCCGCGGCCGAGGGCAGATCCGGAAGGGGCCCGGGCAGGGCCGGGGGCTTTCCGGAGAAGGAGTTCCCCGGCCCCGGCCCCGGCCCCGCCCCCGGGGTCCCCGAGAAGGGCGGTGGGCCGGGGTCGGGTCTGGTGCTGGGCTGGGATCCGGAAGTGGCAGGGACGGGATCTCGGCCCAGTCTCGGGGCGCCCTGGGTCAGAGTGGATGGGGCAGGTGGCTGTGGGACTTCTTGCAAACGGACTTTCCCGGTGGTGACACAGAGGACGCGTTGGGAGGCACAGCACCCTCCGCTCCGGCCCCAGCCTGCTCTTGCTCGCCTGCAGAGGAGAGGGGGTGCGTTCTTTCCCCGGGTTTCCTCCAGGCACTAGGGACACCACCCTGGACTCACCACTGAGGCCGCTGTGCCAGTAGGATCGCAGTGGTTAAGATCCGGATCCGTGGAGCTACACAGCACCTGGTCTGAACACGACAGCCAGCTGTGTTGACTTCCTAAACCTCACTTGACTCATCCATAAAATGGGGGTCACTGTGATATTCCCCTCAAAGAGTGAGAAAATGCGTGGAGAAAATGCACCAGTACATGGTCCTCCACGGATGTCTTATCAGACACTAACCTCTGAGGGCAGAGATGAATGTGCTGCATCCCTGGTCACTGGCACACGGTAGAATGCTGCTTGTTGAGTCAATGAATCAGTGGCTGTTGTATGCAGGACACATGCTAGGTGCTGACTTGGATGGGGAAGACCTCTAAGACACAGGGGCCTGTGACCTATTAGGAAAGGCAAAACACACACACACACACACACACACACACACAATGAAAAAATCAAATCAAAGCGCTGCCAACAAAGTAGTCGAAACAGTAAGGACTTCAAACCCAGACTGGTGAAGGAAGATCTGCCTGGGGAGAAGTAAAGCATTTGATGAGGATTTTAAACAATGAGTAACCTTTTACTGGAGGGAGCATTGCTTCTTGTTTCTGTAAATGAGTGTATTTCCCATACTGGAGAAAGGGCAGTCTAGAACTGTTCATAACCACAAAAACAGTTCTTGCCACAATGAGAAAATCAGAAGAGTACGGAGTGCATTTAAGTAAATGTGTGGCTTTTTAAAAGTAATAAAAAATTGCAAAGTAGAGTTTATCTATCTTAGGATCAGGTGTTTCAGGAGATTCTATTAAACTTTTACTTTAGACACTGGTCACTTTTAACATGTGGGTATAATCTCGGACATTACAGAGGAATTAGAAGAAATGTCATTAGAGCCATTGGTCATCGCTGCAGGAAGGGTTTCTTTTTCTGCTTAGTTCTGAAATCCCTAACACTGAGGGTCCTGGAATAACTTCATACTTACAGACAGTGCCTTCAGAATGCTCGTTTACTGATGCGCGGGCCTTTCCATGTTTCAGGTCTACAGGTGCGCCTGCAGGGCCCAGCGCTGCCTCTGGCGGCAATCGGAGACTTCAGCAGACACAGAATCAAGTGGATGAGGTATTGCTCTGAAATGTTGAAAAGAACACTTTTAAATCCACAAAGGAATGCTCTGGAAATAATTGTTTAGAAAAAGTATCATAAAAGTGTGAATGTACAGTAAATTTTGACTGTATCGTGAAAGTGACAGAATTTTTTCCCCCACTATTCTGGAAGCCCTAATCTAAGCAGAAGTCAGATTCTCCTAGTTTTATGCTTGTGTTCTATGACCAAATCACATACCTAAGACACACATACCCCTCCCTGAGAACACTCCTCCAAGAACTACTTTATAATGTATATTTTAAAATAAAAAAAAAATTGGAAAAAAGACAACCACTTTATAAATTAGGGTAATAGAGTGTTCAGAATTAGGTCTGTAGATTGTTCCAGCCAAGACCAATCCTTCTGACCAGATGTTTCATTAGAATGCTGTTCCAGGAACCTGACTTTCTAGTAACCCAGCCTGAGTAGACCTCTGTGGAATTCAGCTTCGGTCGTTGCCCATTGACGTACAGAAGGCAGATGCCGGCAAATTGCTCTAGCCCAACAAATCTATATTTGTGGGATTCTTGAGTTAGAGGATGCTCACCGCATCGTTGTTCTGCCCTATATATGCAGACCCACAACAGAAATTGAGAAATAAAAAAACTAGTATTTCCATGTTCCTAAAAGCCATTACTGTCCAACAGGACATCTTGCTCTTTCTGCATTTAGTGGCCTTGAAAAGCAGCATTAAACTTATGTCAAACTGGGGACCAAATAATGTGATGGAAGATGATTTGACTTTGGGTGGTGGGCACACAATGTAATACACAGATCATGTATCATAGAAATGTACACTTGAAACCTATATGACTTTATTAACCAATGTCACCCCAATAAATTTAATTCAAAAATAAAAATAAAATTTAACGGCCCTGGCCGGTTTGGCTCAGCGGTTAGAGCGTTGGCCTGCGGTCTGGAGAGACCCGGGTTCGGTTCCCGCTAAGGGCATGTACCTCGGTTGCAGTTTGTCCCCGGCCCTGGTTGGTCGTGCGGGCGGCAGCCACTCGATGTGTTCCTTTCACATCGATGTTTCTCTCTCTCTCTGTTCCTCTCTCTCCCTCCCACTCTACCTGAACAAAAAATGGAAAAATGTCCTCGGGTGAGGATAAAAAAAATAAAATAAAATAAAATTTAACGTAACAGTGGATTGTTAACGCATAAGGTAATATTGTGATATGATGGCTTTGTTTTATGAACATCTGAAAATTTTATATTTTCATGCTAAGAAACCCATTCTAATTCCATCCTGCATGAAACTTTTATTTACTTAACAAAATCATATTGGGTCCTTTTTCTTAACCAAAGGAATTTTAAGGAGAGTTGTTTTTTTAATTCAGGTGAAATTCATACAAAATAACCATTTGAAAGCGTGCAGTTCAGTGGTTATTTGGTGTATTCACAATATTGTGCAACCATTACTTCTGTGTGGTTACACAATTTTTTCATCACCACAGAACACCTTGTAGGCATTTAGTAATTACTCCTGTTCCCTTTCTTCTATCCCCTGGTTTTCTCCCATTCTAATTGCCTTTCTGTTTTTATGAATTTTCTTATTCTAGATATATCATACAAAAGTAGCCATATACACTGTGTGGCCTTTTGTGTCCGGCTTCTTTCACTTAGAATAATATTTTCATTGTTCAAATTGTAAGAAATATCACTACCTCATTCCTTTTTATGTCTAAGTAATATTCCATTGCATGTGTATACCTTGTTAATTCATTCATCAGTTGATGGATTTTTCTGTTGTTTTCACCTTTTGGCTTTACAATAATGCTGCTATAAACATTTGCATACAATTTTCTGTGTGTACATTTGTTTTCATTCGTCTTGAGTATGTATCTAGGAGTAGAATTGCTAGATCATATGGTAATTCTGTGTTAACTTTTTGAGGAATCAGCAAATTTTTCCACAGTGGCTGCACCATTTTATATTCACACTAGCAATGCCCAAGGATTCTATTTCTCCACATCCTCACCAACACTCTTCTCCCTCCCTCCCTCCTCCCTCCCTCCCTTCTCTCTTTCTTGTTATAGCCATCCTAGTGAATATAAAATCGTGTCTCATTGTGGTTTTGATTTGCATTTCTTTTTTCTTTTTTTTTAATCCTCACCCGAGGACATTTTTCCATTTTTTGTACAGATAGAGTGGGAGGGAGAGAGAGGAAGAGACAGAGAGAGAGAGAAACATCGATGTGAAAGGGACACATCGAGTGGCTGCCACCCACACGACCCAACCAGGGCCGGGGACAAACTGCAACCAAGGTACGTGCCCCTAGTGGGAACCGAACCCGGGTCTCTCCAGACCGCAGGCCGACGCTCTAACCGCTGAGCCAAACCGGCCAGGGCTGATTTGCATTTCCTTAATGACCAATGATGTTAAACATCTTTTCATGTGCTTATTGGCTATTTGTATGTATTCTTTGTAGAAATGTCTATTCCAGTCCATTGCCCTGTCTTAATTTAATTGATTTTAGAGTGGGGGGGGGGGGATGAGAGAGATATAGAGAAAGAGAGAGAAACATCGACTTGTCATTCCATTTATCCATGTAGTCATTGGTTGTTTCCTCTATGTGCCTTGACCGGGGAGCCTTGGCATATCTGGATCACACTCTAACCAACTTAGCTACCCAACCAAGGCCAAGACCATTTGAATTTTGATAGATTGTGTTGAATCTGTACAGAAGTACATCATTTTGGCAAGGACTGCCATCTTAACTGTTTTAAGCCCTGGCCGGTTTGGTTCAGCTGTTAGAGCGTCGGCCTACAGATCAGGGAGTCCCGAATTTGGTTCCCACTAAGGCATGTACCTCGGGTGCAGTTTGTCCCCGGCCCCAGTTGGGGTCGTGTGGGTGACAACCAGTCGATGTGTCTCTCTCACATCAATGTTTCTCTCTCTTCTCCTCCTCTTTCCCCTGCTCTATCTGAAGAAAAATGCAAAAATGTCCTCAGGTGAGGATAAAAACAAAAACAATATTAAGTCTTCCATTCTGTGAACATGGGATGTCTCCCCATTTAATTAGGTCTTTAATTTGTTTTCAGCAGTTTTGTAGTTTTCAGTGTCCAAGTTTTTGCCTCCTTGGTTCATTTTATCCCTAGGTATTTATTCTTTTGGATGCTATTGTGTACGGAATTGTTTAATTAATTTCCTTTTGATTGTTAGTATGTGGAAACAACTGATTTGTGAATTGTGATATTGTACCCTGACACTTCATTGAATTTATCTATTAACCCTACTGTGGATTCTTTGGGATTTTCTACATATTGAATCATCTGCAATATAGGTCATTTTACTTCTTCCTTTCTAATTTGGATGCCTTTTGTTTCTTTTTCTTGCCCAATTGCTCTGGCCAGAAACTCCAGTACAGCGTTGAACAGCAGTAGTGAAAGTAGGCATCCTTGTCCTGTTCCCTGATCTTAGGAGGAAAGCTTTTTCTCTCTCTTTTATTTAAATCCTCACCCGAGGATATTTTTCCATTGATTTTCAGACAGAGTGGGAGGGAGGGAGACAGAGAGAAGGAAACATCAGTGTGAGAGAGAGACACATCAATTGGCTGCCTCCTGCAGGACCCCAACCAAGGCCCGGGATCAAATTACAACTGAGGTACGTGTCCTTGACCGGAATTGAACCTGCAACTACTTGGGGCATGGGCCGTCGCTCTAACTGCTGAGTCAAACTGGCCAGGGCTAGAAATTCTTTATATAGCCTAGGTAATAACCACTGGTCACATATATGTGTTATCAATATCTGCTTTGTTTATTTCTCTTTTTCAATTGTATCTTTCTGGTAATAAGAGGGAAAGTTCTTCTCCTGGCTGCTGTGGCTCAGTTGATTGAGCATCATCCCCTGGACTGAGAGGTCCCGGTTCCATTCCTGATCAGGGCATATGCCCTGATTGCAGGTTCAATCTCCAGTAGGGGGCGTGCAGGAGGCAGCCAATCAATGTTTCCCTCGCACATTGATGTTTCTCTCTCTCTCTCCCCCTTCCTCTCTAAAAAAATAAATCAATAAAAAAATATTTAAGCCCAGCCAGTATGGCTCAGTGGTTGAGTGTCCACCCATGCACTAGGAGGTCATCAGTTCAATTCCTGGTCAGGGCACATGCCCAGTTTGCGGGATTGATCCCCAGTTGGGGGCATGCAGGAGGTGGCCAATCAATGTTCTCTCTCATGGATGTTTCTATCTCTCTCTCCCTCTCTCCCTCTCCCTTCCTTTCTAAATCAATAAAGAAAAAACTATTTAAGATGTATATATAGAAAAAGAGGAAAAATTCTTCATTTGGTTAAATTTACAACTCATTTTTTTTTTAAAGATTTTTTAAAATTGATTTTAGAGAAAGAAGAAAGGAGAGGGAGAGAGAGATGGAAACATCGATGAGAGAGAACATTGACTGTCCGCCTCCTGCGTGCTCCCCACTGGGGATCGAGCCTGCAACCTGGAGATGTTCCCTGACCAGGAATCAAACTGGCGATCTCTTGGTGCATGGGTTGATGCTCAGCCACTGTGCCACACCAGCCAGGCTACAACTCATTTCTTATATGGTTACAGATTTTTGTTTCCTATTTATAGAAACCCTTCCCTGCCTCAATATCATAAAGATAATTCTTCACATTTTATTCTAGAAGTGACTCTTTGGTCTGCAGGCCGACGTTCTAACCGTTGAGCCAAACCAGCCAGGGCATAAAGCTTTCTGGTTTTTGTTTGTTTGTTTTATCCTCACCCAAGGATATGTTTACTGATTTTAGAGAGGGAGGGAGAGAGAAAGAGAGAGAAACATTGATGTGAGGGAGAAACCAATCAGTTGTCTCCCATACACACCCTGACCAGGGATTGGACCTGCAGGGCAACTTTCTGTTTTTGACCATTGTGCATGGATGGTAGTTGTGGGGGTTTTCTATAAATACCCTTTATCATATTAAGGAAGTTCCCTTCTAGTCTTGTTTACTAAGTGTTTATTTCAGCCAGCCCCCTTTTTAATGAAAGTTTGGCTCAAAATAATAAAGTGCTGGCCTTTTGTTCTTCCATTTCTTTATGTGTAACTTGACGGGATCGTGTTCATTCAGGTGGTGGACATCATGAGAGTCAATGTGGACAAGGTGCTGGAAAGGGACCAGAAGCTGTCCGAGCTCGATGACCGTGCAGACGCACTCCAGGCGGGAGCTTCCCAGTTCGAAACGAGTGCTGCCAAGTTGAAGAGAAAGTATTGGTGGAAGAACTGCAAGGTAATTCTCTTCGATCGTCTTTACATTAAGGCACCCTCTCATTCTCAGGGGGGTAACGAAACCCACAAATACTGGACTTGCATACATCGTGGAGGTGAGTTGACTTCCCACACATGGGAATTTGGATTGACTCTGGATCTAGAACATGGACTCATGCCCTTTCCTTTCCCTACAACTAGAAAATCTCCACGTTCTGTGGCTGACTTTAAGAAGCAATAAAAATAAAGTTTAAAACGAATGAGAGAGAAGCATGTAGGAGTGTTCAGAATCAGTCACAGACATACCCACACCAAGCCTCCACCCCAGTGGGGCCTTGAGCACAGGCTGCCAGGAGGGGCTGGCTCGTGGTCGGTGTGCGTGGTTCTGTGACTGGCCCCGGTGCCAAAGGGAGGAGCTGCTCAGAAACCAGGGTCCCTGCAGACAGCGAGAGCAGCCACACAAGGAGCGGAACCAGAGTAGATTTTGTACAACTACCGAAGAAGTGTGCCACCACCAGATCCACATGTGTCCTGCCCTTCCTGGCTTAGAAGTGACACTTTCCAATACGTGGATGTGGAGTACTTGTGTACACAAACAAGTGCCTGCTTAGGGACCACCGGTCATTTGAACAGCTTATGAAAAGCAGACAAGTGGCCCTGGCTGATTTGGCTCAGTGGTTAGAGCGTCGGCCTGCGGTCCAGAGAGACCCAGGTCGGTTCCCGCTAAGGGCACGTACCTCAGTTGCAGTTTGTCCCTGGCCCTGGTTGGGTCGTGAGGGTGGCAACCACTTGATGTGTCCCTTTCACGTCGATGTTTCTCTCTCTCTCTCCCCCTCTCTCTCCCACTCTATCTGAACAAAATATCAAAAGAAAGAAAGAAAAGCAGACAAGTGACCTTCAGGCCCTAATTGAGAGCATTACATTTAGGCTTTGAAAACCATGATCAGATTGTAGTGCACCTGCCTTCCCCCTCAGTGACTAGATAGTACACGATGCTCTGCCGTCAGCACTTCAGTCTCTCTCTGAAATGTGACGTGGACACGTTTCGTTACAGATGTGGGCCATAGGGATTAGCGTTGTGGTCATCGTCATCATCATCATCATCGGTGAGTCCTGTTCTCAAGTCAGTGATGCTTGTGTGCTCACGGGATTTCATGTACAGGAATTCAGAAGAGCCTCCGAAATGTTAGCTCACTCCAGAGATGTTCATGTTCTTGAGTAAATGTTTTAAATACTTGAGGTCGTATGGTGAAAGTCAGAGATTTTTCTATGTAAACATTAATGCTTTGAAATTTGAGAAAATTTATTCATTTCTACTGACCTATCAGTTTTCTCTCTGAATATATTTCCTTTTGTGAGAAACAGTCTAGTGACTAAAAGCACGGACTACCTCTGATCTACCCTGGCTCCATTACCATCCAACTGTGCGGCTTTGGCTAGGATTTTAATATCTCTGAACTTGAGTTTCCTCATTTGTAAAATGGGGATAATACGACTACCTACCTCATGTTTGTTATGAGGACAAAAACTGGTAAATATAAAAAAGTGCTTAGGATGCCGTGTGGTGTATGATGGTAATAATATTTATATAGATAAATAAATACACCCCTATTATTACTGTTACTGCTAAAGAGACTGTCCAGTACTGGAACAGCCCATTGCCATTCTAACCCAGCTCAAACCTCTTCAACCCCCTCCCAACAGGCCCCTCTCCCCTTTCTGTGGACACGTAGGCTAGCGTGTGATGTTAATCCTGGATTTGCACTGAAACTAACCTGCTATTTTCCTCGCTTTTCTCTGTCTCCCTGCTTCTCAGTGTGGAGCGTGTCTCCATGAAGAACCAGTGGACTCCAGCCTCCGAAACCTCAAGACTTTGACCTAGAATCTGCGATAGTATCAAGCTTATATTCTGTAATATCTAAAATGATTATTTTCTGCTAGTTAATGGAAAGTTTGATTTTTAGGAAACGTGCCTGGTTTTTAACATACTCTCAACACTGGAAGCGGAGTCCGCCCAGCCCAGTTGGCGCAGCGCCTCCCACATTGACACGCGGGCTGGCGCGGGGCCGCTTCCGCCCCAGACCGCGGCACCGGCCCGGCTCGTTACTCCCCACCAGTTGTCTGAGTTTTTCCAAGTTAGCTCTCCTTGCCACATGAACTTATCTTTGGAACCACATTTTAAACCTTCGGGTAATCGGATTTCCAGTTTGTGCCTTCCAGAGAGAACACTACTGTCTAATTCAAATCTGCGACAGTGACAGGCTGTGCCTTATCTTGCTACCTTTCTGATTCCCTGTAAGAGAACCCTCTACTGTTTATAAGCACTACTGACTTTCTCTGTATTTAAAGTAAGAGAATTTTTACTGGTAAAGAATTTTTGTTCTTACATTAGATACGAAGATGTTTACTTTCTTGTTATTACAGTTTTGTATCATTTGCTAAAATATTTTAATCAGAAATAACCTCTTTAAAAGTTTTATAGAACTATGGCTATGACCAAAGTTTCTATTTTGCCAAATAGTTAAACCCCAGCAAAGTGCCCTTGAATCTGTTCCTGGCAGATAAATTCAGAACAGTGACAAATGGAACTCAAGGGGCCCCTCAGAATTAAAGCTGTAATATTGTTTGTGAAGTTTCTACATCCTGACAGGCCTTCTTGCCTTTGAAATATTGTAGGTTGTACAACTCCCCTTCATATTCAGCCTTTTTCCTGGGGTTAGAGAACGTTCCAGCTAGACCTTGAGCATCTCATACCGAGACAGATTGCAGAGTAACAGCTGTGGACCCCGATATGCTTCTGAGAATTGTGTGAGCAACAGTTTTGTAGCCTTCAAGCAAGACCACCTATGAACTGGTCAGCATTTGGCCCAGTCCTCATAGACTATAGGTTTTTGGAGCTTGTTCCTATTTTTATTCATATTCTATTTCCTAAGTCTGTCCTCTAAGTTATACTTTCAATTAGCATTGGTCAGGGGTGGCTAACTTTTCACAGAGGACAGCTAACCCAAGACACTTTCTTTCTTCGATGTCATTGACTGCGCAAGATGCTGCTTTAGAAATAGCTGTTGTCACCCGAGAGACTTAGGCTGTATGGCTCTAACACGGGGATTCAGGTATGAATGAAGACAGGTGAGGAGGCGCCGAGGGACAAGCGCAGAGGTTCCCACTCTGGCCCACTGCACTGGAGTATTCTAGATTCTTCTCACATCCTAGTGTGTGACTTACAAAGCAAAGTAGTTGAGGTACACCAGGACTCGGGTTCCATTTCTCTGATGTCTGTCCCCCTGACAGCGCTGAAGTGATGTAACGTTGAGAACGTGCCCAGCTGTGAGAAGAAAGCAGTCAGTGTAGGGACCTTGGCCCCCTCAGCTCAGGGTCCCTGGCCGGGTCTGATGCTGAAACTTTGGTGCTCTCTTCTTGGCCTTGTGCTCAATGCCATGTAACCCAGCGGCTCCTGCATTAACCCAGGAATACCTCGCTTGTATCTGTGCATTTAGCGGGGAGCTTGCCCCCCGTAATGAACTGAATAAAGTGTTTCTAAACATCGTGGTGCCTGTGCTGCTGCTGGGGGGCTGGCTGCGCCTCATCCCAGTCCTAAGACGAGCACCATTTGCTGTTCCCCACTTCTCCCTATAACCCCTAAACTCCATTCCCAGCCCGCTCCCTGAGTACTCCAATCTCCTGTTCCCCATCATGTCGCCATACACTGGTCAACAGGAGCAAACTGGCCCCTCATGAAGTGCTTTTCAGTATAGCAGGCGAATGGGAATGGGCTTTCTCATGGATACTGAGTTCTTCAGCATTTGGCTTTTGATTTCTTAAATATATGGTCTTTCAAAAGTGATGTGCAGAGCTGGCCTTGCATATTGTACAATAGAGAGCTGCCTACATGGGACATGGGGAATCTAATTTGGTGGGTGAGGGACATCTCTGGATATGCACTTCTTCTCTTATTCTGCAACCCTTAGGGAACAATATCACATGGGTGGAAGCAGACTTCTGCTTACGTTTACAAGAAAATGTCAGTTTTCTACAAAATCCTCTTGGGAGAGAAGAGGTTGACTTCATTCCATTGCCTTGGACAGACTATCCTGGAAAAAATAGAATTGTGCTTTTCTTCGGGTCCTTCCTATAATGAAATCTGTATGAATTTTTGGTGCCATTTTCAAGGAAAATCTACCATGTATGGACTCCCCTTTCTCTGCCCCTCCCTTAAATGTCAGGGTTCCGCCCTGGCCGGTTTGGCTCCACGGTTGGAGCGCCAGCCTGCGGACCAGAGAGTCCGGGTTTGGTTCCTGCTAGGGGCACGTACCAAAAAAAAAAGTCAGGGTTCCTCGGGGCTGGGTCCTCAGCCAACTTGTCTTTCCAGTCTACTTATTCTCCAGTCTTACCTATTCCCATGTCTCTCTCCATTAATCTACTGATGACTCCTGGCCTGTTAGTGGCCTCTCAGACTCATCACGCACCAGACAGAATGAAGCCATCCCCACCTCATGCCCCTCATCCTACCATTGATGATGTCTGGCCCAGAGCATGGCAGGGAAATGGCAGTGGCCCACCTGACAACTCTGCTTGGAAGTCTGACACACATCTCAAACATAACTCTTGATCCTCCATCAAAACATACCATCCCCAGCCTTGCCCATCTAAGTCTGTCTCATCCTCTGCAGCTCTGCCTAAACCACACCCAGGAGGCACCCCCATCGGTCTCTTCTCCATTGGCAAGCCTCTGGGCCCCCAAATGTCTCTTATGATCAACAGCCTCCTAACTTTTAACTGTTTTCCTGTGCAGCTGACTGATACAGATCACTGTCTTGCTTAAAACTCTCCCCTTCCCACTCTCACGGAAAAAAAAGTCTTAGTTTCCCTAAGTATAAAGCCCACTCTGATCTAGTCCTCCCTGCCGTCGTCCTCCCTCCCCTTCTCTGTTCTCCAGGCAGAGAACATGGCCTTTCTGTTCCTCAACAACAAACCTGCTCCGCTTCAGGGCCTTCCCCACCCCCTTTCTCACAGGCAGGTTTCAATGTCAGCGTCTCGGCCTTCCCTGAGCGCCTGGCGTGGGGCCTCCTTCACCCCCAGGTCTGCCACACTTCATCCCGTCAGCTTGTTTCTTGTTCTGCACAGCACTTGCCATCTTCTGAACTTAATTTAATGGGGTTGTTGATATGTTTTATATCAATGAAATTTGGGCAGAACTTCCGCCACCACTCTCTCTCCCCACGGACCACAATCATCCCTACCCAGATATGCATTCAATAAATCCTTGTTGAATGAATGCAGTTTCACAGGAGAGCTTCAGAGGAGAGGGAGATCTGCCACCATTTGGGAAAAGGGGGCAGTTTATCCCATACCTGATACGAACAAGGGGCGCCCTTCACTTCCTATGCAATTCCTTCCATTAACCCAACCACTGCTTAAGACTTTAGAAGGGCAGGGACTGGCGAGGGGCGAGCGGCACGGCGCCTTCCCGGTCGGGCGAGTGGTCCACACCCTGCGCAGAGCCTCCAGGCTGGTATCTAAAGGGCTTCCCAACACCTTCCTTTTCCGGAACGGAGCGCCTCCCAAGAGAGCCGCGCTTGCTTCCTACAGGCCGAGCGCGCCTGTAACGTTGGGCAGACCAGCCAAGCGTTTAAGTTGCACTTGACTTGACCCGAGAGCTCTGGCGGGCGCAGGTGTAAGAAAGATGAGAACCCGCGAGGACGCAAGGAAAGCGCTCCGAGGTCCAGCTCCTTCCTGCAGCTGCGCCAGCGGGACCCCGACCCACCAGCTCCCCGCACAGTTGTCCCCAACTCCGGGCCACTTGTGCCTCGCTCCCCGCCCCGCCGCCTCTCTCGCGGCCACCCCGCCGGCCCCGCCCACCTTGCCTCCAGGGTCCCGCCCTCCCCGTGACTGACCGCGGGAGCGCCCTATCACCGCCGCGCTGGTTCCAGCGGCCCATCCCCAGGCGCTGTGAAGGGGCCGGGCCCTCGACTCGCGCGGCCCGGGCTCGAACCTCCTCCGGAGCCCCTCCGCTCTTGCTCACACGCCCATCTGTCCGGATTGGCCAGCCTCCCGCCCTCTGCGCGTTATGTAACCCGCTCTGGGACCTTCGCCCCCGCCCACTCGCATCCGGTTATGTAACCCGGGCGCCCCCGTCCGGGCCCCGCCCCCGGGCCAATAGGAGCCCGCAGAGCCGGCGGCGGCGGCCAATCGTGCGTCCAGGGGCGGGGCCTCGTCACGTGGCCGGCGGGGGGCGCGGCGCCCGCTGCCGTCCCGCACGCGACGGGCCTCGGGACTCCGTGGCCCCGGGGGGCTGGACGAGCGGCAGTGCTAGGGGCCCGCGGGCGACCGTGCAGGCGGCGGTGAGTGCTGAGGTCCGGCGGCGAGGCCTCGCAGCTCGCGGGCGCAGGTTGTCCCGAGCCTGACCTCCGCTCTGGAACCGCGATCGGGCGGCGCCGGCAGGGAACCTGGGGTCCCCCGAACTTTGTACTTAAAGTTGCCCCCTGCTCCGGGTCGCGTTTCTGGGTTCACGCCGACTTTGCAGAGCTGCGGGTGGGCACATTGGTGACCCCGAGTCAGGCTTTGCGACCGCCGGGGCGGAGGGTCCTCTCTCCAGGGCTGCCCAGCGGGCGAGCCGCAGCCGGGTCTGCGGCACCGGATTGTCCGCTTCCCTTGACATTTGTCGCCTTTGTCCCCCCCATCCTCCCAGGCCGGACCTCTCGAGTGCAGACACCCACGAGCGCACGGAGACCCTGGAGGGAAAAGGGCCTCAGATGGCCCGAGATCCGTAAGTGCCGGTTTGCGGTGACCGGCCGTTTTCGCTAATGCAACGGCGTGGACCACCGTGGAGCACATTCCTGTCGCTGGCTGCAAAGCAGGAAAGAAGCAGGCAACGCATCGAGACCGCCGCGCGAAAGATGGACCCTTGTGAAGATCTCAAAGTGTCCAGCGGCCAAGCTCCTGACTCCGGGGGGATTGGACCCCAGCAAGGGCCACCGGCCGGGGGCACTGAGGCCTTGGGGAAGGAATCCCATGGGAAGTGGAGCCAGGAATACCAGCCTCAGAGCAAATACCCGGAGGGCAGCAACAGGTGATACTTGCAACCTGGTTGGTTTGTTTGCTCTTCGCCTGAGTAGTGAAAGGGAAAGGAGGGTTTGAGTCCTCTTTTGCTTGTCAGTAAGCCTAGGAAAATGTTCAGGGGGAAGCTCGGGGAACTTCAAACGAAATGCCCTGGAAAACTGGAAATAATTACCAAAGAGTGCCAGAAGTAGATAAAAGGTGGTTAAGGACGTTAGCTGAGTGGAGGCCGGAGTGGGATTGAGAGTGGACAATGTTTGACAGTTACCAGTTTCTTTGCCTGGGCTTCCCTCACCTGTAAAAAAGGGATAAACCTGTGAACTGAAAGAGCTGATCCGTGTTAAGCACTTAGAAAGTTGCTTGGCATGCCGGGCGGTGTTGCTCAGTGGATTGAGCGTCATCCCTTGGACTGAGAGGTCCAGGTTCATTTCCCTGTCAGGGCACGTGCCTGGGTTGCGGCTCCATCCCCAGGAGGGGGTGTGCAGGAGGCAGCTGATCATCGTTTCTCTCATCTCATCAGCGTTTCTCCTTTCCTCTCTGAAAAACAACAACATCGTGTGTGTTTTTAAAAGCTGCATGGCACATGGTACACTGTACAATGAAAGCTGGCTGTTATTGTCATTGAAAGTGTGAATTTATTTTTATGTTACAGTGCACAGCAAGACCGAAACAGAGTTTCTGAAGAGCTGATGATGGTTGTCCAAGAGATGAAAAAATATTTCCCGTACGGGAGACACAATAAGCCAAGCACTCTAGATGCCCTCAACTATGCCCTTCGCTGTGTGCACAGTGTGCAAGGTAAATGAGCTGCAGAGAAAATACAGTCGTGCAGGGACACCCTCGTTCAGTGTGGTTGTCGTCACAGAAAGTTTTTGAGGTTTTTATGGTGTTTTATGTAAGCCGAGCAAATCTCTATAACTGATTGCATTAGGATCCTCGTTTTTCAAGCAGGGAGCGCTAGGAGAACCTGATGTGTGTAATAGTTTAGTAACTGCAGTACCTGCTGATCAGTTTAGTAACTGTGCAGTAACTGTGCAGTATCTGCAGTTTAGGATAAGCACATGGGTATTGGGGAAAAATACGTTTGACTAAATTCAGTTTATCTTTCCCTGCCATACACGTACTTTCAAAATGCACTCCTGACCTATCAGGAATTTGCCAAATGAAAAACGAGCAGTCGTAAACATGTTTTCCTTTTTATCTCTGACTTTTCTTCTCAAGGGGTTTCATAAAGTACATGATCTGTAGCCAGACCTCCGGCTTCCTGAGTGACACGAGGTTCCTGAGTGCCGAAGTAATGTTTCTGTCACTGCAGTGCCCTGTGTGTGCACTTGGAATTTTGGTTTTCGTCCCCTCTTTAGTACCTTGAATGTTCTGTTCCTGTGATCTAGAACATGCGGGACTCATAAAATTCAGAATCTTAAGTTTGCACAACAGTTAGTATTTCAGGGAAGAGAAGAAAGTGGTCTAGTTTCGAGGAAAACACTGCAGTGTCTTCATCTGAAAAACAAGCCAGCGTTAATAGTCGTAAAAACAATTTCCTAGAGATACTGTTTTCACTGGACTGCCTATTTATTTTCCTGTGTTTCTTAGCAAACAGTGAGTTTTTCCAGATTCTCAGTCAAAACGGAGCACCTCAAGCAGATGTGACCATGTACAGTCTTGAGGAGCTGGCCACTATTGCTTCAGAACACACTTCCAAAAACACAGTAAGAATTGACCAATTTTGCCATCTCAACCCGGGTGATTTTTCCTAGCAACCTTATCTCGATGCAGATTTTTAAAAACAAGAACGGAGAGTTTCAGTAACTGCAGTGTGAGGTGAACAGTAGGAGAAAACCGCTCAGGGGGCCGGTGTAGTTCCCCCTGCCCTCGCCAGGGGGCAGGTCTGACAGCAGGCAGCTGCTTTGCTTCCATCCTGGGGCACCTCCGTCTCCTCTGCTTCCCTGAGTTCTCGCCAACTCTGACAAAGATGACACTGCAGAGTAATCTCCTGCATCTTGTTCTAATCTCCGAATTGTTCATTTCTATTTACATCACTCTTAGTTCCCATACCTACTACTTCAAGTTGTAACAGCTGGATTTTATAGAACAGGTGAGTGGAGATGCTGTCATTTTTTATACAATTTTGGAAGAGACATGTAGCATATCTTCTTTGAATCTCTTCGTGTCGACAGAATAATTCCGTCTCATGTTTTGTTGATATGATGGAGATAACTGTATGTTTAGATCGCAACATCATTGTACCTTAGGGATTGGATAATATTGGAACATGAGCTATCCCCCCTCTTACAGTAGTGCTTATATTACTAACTGTTATGTTCATAGTGCTGCTATTGGTGCTGTTGAGGTTTAAGAAAATAAAAGTATAAGAAACCATTTCCCCGTGAAGGTCTTCAAAATAAAGCTAGAGAGGAAAAATAGGCCAATGCTACCCGATAGCAACAGTGGTTGGTTATAACTAAGTTCTATTCATGTCCATTGAAACAGTTCTTATGTAACGAGGCTGGTTAAAGACAACATCCTGGTGGTGACTCTTGAGCTTGGTCTTGAAGCCTAGAATACGCTTTGGCGAAGGGAAGCCAGTCCCTGCAGGTGTGAGCACTGTGCGGAGGGGGAGGGCCCGAAGGCTGTGTGCATGCGCAGTTGTGCGCGCAGTCCGAAGGAGCGGCTCTGGTTTTTGGCCTAGAAATCACACCTCCAGAAGGCAACAGGCAGGCTTCACTGCGACAGTTAAGAAGTGTGTTGAGAGCTCTGCTGTCTGCAGGATGTGTGTGTGGCCTAAGCTGTTGGTCACGGTAGAAATCTAGGAGAAATTTGCCTTTGGGGGGGTATTGCTAGTAAGTATCTCAATATTTGCATTTATTTTCAATGTTTTTCCTAGGATACCTTTGTGGCGGTTTTTTCATTTGTATCTGGAAGGTTAGTGCACATTTCTGAGCAGGCTACTTCGATCCTGAATTGTAAGAAAGACTTCCTGGAGTCCTCTCGTTTTGTTGAACTGCTTGCCCCTCAAGATGTGAGGACGTTCTGCACACACACTGCCCACGCCCAGCTGCCCTTCTGGGACACCTGGACCCGACGAGGTAATGGGCCCAGCACACAGGCTCGGCCTCGCCCCCCGGGAGCACAGAGGCTGATGCATGTTTCAGGGCAGGCAGACTGCGTGGTTTCCCTTCTTTCTTTATTTTTAAAAGTAGAATGTGGTGCAAATAACATTTTAAATGCTTCTGAAAACAAAGATTTGATAAGTTTGTTTTCACGTAGTCAAGTTTATTTCACAGATTATATATCATAAATAGGGCTTGGTCGCCAGCATACTGCACAAAATTAAATGTTTTTTCTCTTACATTGACTTGGTTACATCTTGGCTTTGCTTTGGAGATAAAATTCTGTTGGTTAGCTCTCTTTTCCAGTTTTTCTTGTCCCTAAAAGTTCATGAATCCCATGACTTTTTCTTCTGAAATGCTCACTTTTTCTGACTGGGTTGCTTGCTGAGTGTTCTTTGTGACCTTCAGTCCTGCGTGATCGTGAAGGAACCTTTCTTTCTGTTCACGTCACGCTTCACTCCTTGCTGCGCGTTCTTTGTGCACTTTCTCCTACAGGGCTCAGTATAGATCATCCTTCTCCTTGACTCTAAGTCCTCTCCTCTGATGTTTATAAAGTACTATTTTTTTATTGTTTTTAAAAAGACCCATTAACAAGGTTGACCACATGAGCCATTTGAGTGCGCAGCTCGGAGGGTTCAGCACGCGCACGCTGCCGTGGACCCTCTCCGGAGCGCGCTCGTCTTGCGACTCTAAAGCTCTGTGTCCCTTCTGATTTTTAACTCAGTGCTTGGTCCAGTGAAGGAGAGTCTTGCCTGCTTCTCTGTCCTTTACAGACCTTTGCCCCACCTTTTATGCACATTTTATATGAGCTTTAGCAAACATACCTGCCATCTTGCTTCCTCCTGCCTCCCTCTCTCCTGTTGCCATCACTCAAAAACATTGATTTCACCCTGACCTGTTTGCTAAGTGGTTAGAGCATCAACCTTTAGACCAGAGAGTCAAGGGTTCCATTGCAGTCAAGGGCACGTACCTTGGCTGGGGTTCGGTCCCTGGCCCTGGTCAGGGTCATGTGGGAGGGAACCAGTTGATGTGCCTCTCTCACATCAGGGTTTCTCTCTCTCTCTCTCCCATTCTATCTGAGGATGAATGGAAAAATATCCTTGAGTGAAGATTTTAAAAAACAAAACCGAAAAAAACATTGATTTCGTCCCTCTTCCTCTTTCCTGAGCTCATATGTTTTCTCATTGTCCAAGTTTGTTCCCTAAACATTTATCCAACAGTCACTGTGGGCCAGGCACTGTTCTAGCTGTTGAGACACAGGTGGGCGCAAGCAGACGTGACAGTGTCTGCCGGCTCGCTCACGGTTCCCCAGTGTGTCCCCCCCGCGTCACCTCGTAGTCTCTTCTTTCCCACCTTGTTATCTTTGCTAATCGCTTACTGCTATGTATCTCTCCTCTCTGTGAAAGCACCGTATGGCTTTAATTGTTGTGTCTGAGACCTAAACATTCACTTACTCCATCATCTCCAGTGGACAGATGAGGTAACTGTTAGTTGGGGTCAGCTGAGAGGCAAATGTCCAGATGGGATTAGTGTGCAGGAGGCTAATGGGAGAGGAGCCCCCCACCCCAGTGCAGGGCTGACACCTGTGGAAGGAGCGAGAAGGAAGGAGGCTGGGGAGGGGCAGTCTTGGCCTGCAGCACAGCTCAGGGAGCAGCGTGGCTCCACAGCCACGCGTTGGAGGAGCCCTGCGTCTCCATGGAGTGGCCTGCCTCAGTGTCCCCTCTGCACAGGAAGTAGCTGAGAGCAGCCTGCAGGAAGTGATGTCCCCTGAAGCCAGGAGGCGTGTCCTTTCTCAGCCACACAGTCACTAAGGCACCCAGGGTCACACTGCCAGTTTCGCCTTGGCCAGTGAGCCTGGACCCCTGCTCTTAAGCACTGTCCCCGCCTTCACGGCTGCTCGGACTGACTCTCACAGGAGAGCTGGACCAGACAAAGGCGTGTGTTTGAAAGCGGCACCAAGATGGGTTCCTGTCGGTGAAAATCATCTCAAAAGTTGGATATTTTGAAACCTCCTTATCCCACCTTAATTCCTCTGTGAGCGTATCTAAACCTTGGCAGTTTCTGTGTTGAGGCCGTAGCGTATCTTTGCGTCATGCATCCCTTCAGCTTCGTGGTCAGGTTGTTCCTTCTCTGGTTCCCCATAGACACACTGTAAACAGTCTTCTGCCCTCGGGATTCTGGGACTGATTTCCATACTGCCATGCATTCTGATAGTTTGATCACTGGTCCCTTGACTTTTAAACTGAGTGTCATTTTACTCATGTACATTGTCCTTGGTCACTCAAAATCCCATTTTCTGATTCTTCCTGTGATCTTTTCCTTAGAAATGCAAAGACTTGGACCATACTCAGTATGCTGGCTCTTTAGAATTTCCATTTATTCTCCCTCAGTGTATATATTATGTAATTTTTAATTGATATTTTAGAGAACAAGGAAGGGAGAGAGAGAAATGTCGATGTGAGAGAAAAACATTGATCGACGCCCCCTGGGGATCGAGCCCACAACCCGGGCACGTGCCCTGACCGGGAATCGAACCAGAACCTCTCAGTCTGTAGGATGACGCTCACTGAGCCTCACCGGCCAGGCATTCAGCATATGTTTTTTAAACATCTCGTTGGTTTTAAATATTCCCTTGGTTCCTAGAACTGAGGACTTTGTGGTCCAGTGAACAAATGCCCACAAGATACATTCAGAGAGCTCTAACCAGAGGACATATACTCAGCAAACACTTGGGGAAAGGTTCAGCCCCTGATCTGCCCTAAGGGAGGCACATTTAAACATTTCTGAGTTACCACGTCACAAATCAATAAAATCAATGCAAAAATCAATACAGTTGATGCAAGCCATTGGCGTGAGGGTTATGAGAAATGTGATTAATGACACTGTCAGTACAGTTTTCTGGGCGTTAGTTTACCAACACACGAGTCGTAAAATGATTGTCTTTTAACCGAGGATCACAACTTTGGGGGTTGTATCCGAGGAAAGAAAAGTGAGAGATTTGTATCTCACATACCTACAAACCATAGCGGTCTAATTCTGCATTTCCCAGACACGTCCGACTGTTGCAGTGGACTAGAATACTACCGCCAAAGTAACTGTCAGAGGGTTATACATTGACTTTGGACGTAATGGCTTTGGGCAGTTACGGGAATACAGAAGGGACCACAGGAGGCAGTAAGGGAGAGACTCGGAGGGACACCCTGCCTTCCCTGGGGTCCCTGTTAGAATGGGAAAGCCCTGGACCACCCTGGATGTGACTGGACCTCGAGGTGACGGGGCAGAGTCCTATTGTAATCAGAGTATCCCCCTCTTAAAAGTAGTTTCTTGCTTGTGCGATGACAGTGCGGACGAGCTGCTCTGCAGTTTCTCTGCGGGTGTGTGACAGTCTGTCTTTGTCCCCAGAATCGTCGCGATACGAGTTTGCTCCCGTGAAGTCCTTTTTCTGCAGGATCCGGTAAGTGCAGGGGCTGCAGAGGCCCCTCGGGCTGCGCTCTGGTTTTACTTAGCACGTCCTTGGAGCCTTTTGTACTCACGAGGCCTGTTGTGGACACAAAAGACAAGACTTGGTTCTTGCCACAAGAAATTTGTATTTGGCTTTGGAAAAGGAACATACCCTCGCAAGAAAAGTAGATAATGCAATAGGAAAAAAGATGAGAAAGATCTCTTTTTGTTGTTGTTAATCCTCACCTGAGAGTATTTTTTCCATTGATTTTTAGATAGAATGGAAGGTGGGGGCCCGGGGCAGGGGGAGAGATAAACATCAGTGTGAGAGAGACACACCAGTTGGTTGCTTCCCAGGGCCAGAGATCGAACCTGCAACTCAGGTAGAAGCCCTTGCCCGGGAATCAAGTACGCAACCCTTCGGTCTGTGGCTGACACGAACAGCTGAGCCAGACTGGCCAGGGCGAGAAAGATGATGCTTAATCTGGGGCGTAAGAACGCCTGGTCGTTCACACCTTCAGAGGACCGTTGTTTGGGCTCTTTGGGTTTTGTTTGCTTTTAGTAGTTTAGTCACCTTTAAAATTCATTTTTGAAATTTTGGATAACTTGAAAGAAAGCAAGAGAGGTATACCTATGACAAGGATCTAAGAGGTCCAGAAATACTAATCTAGAGGAAAATAGAGCAAAATTGTAATAGTGGTTGATCTCTCGTAGAAGTTAGTGATTTTTTTTTCTCAATTTACTGATATGTTAACGTTACGTTCACATTAATGTTACTTTCACAGTCAGACATTTGTGATAGCAGTTAGGCATTGGTACCTGAATCTGGCTGGCGTTCAGGGGAGAAATCCAGGCTGGAAACAGCCATCAGGTCGTCAACACATGGATGGTGTTGGGAGCCCTACACTTCACGGCAGAGGCAGAGGCAGTGGGCCCGGGACTGCAGGGGGAGGCCAGGAGGAGAGGTGTGGCGTGCCTGGTTCCACTCACGCTCCCGGTGACCCCGGCCAGTTCTCCGTGACCCTCCTGCCCACTGCGTAGTGAGCACTAGGATCACCCTTGGGTCTTCAGCATTTAAACGAACAGTGCCCTTCTTTTAAAGATAAATATGTTTAAGTGTTTTAGACCAGGCTCCGTCTCTCTCAGAAATTACCAGTAAGACATTGCCGAGCCGCGTTTCACATCAGGCCACGTGAACGTGTCCGGACGGCCCAGAACCGTGTCTGTTCTTTGCAGCGGAGGTGAAGACGGGGCGCGCCAGGAGCATTGCTGCCCCTTCCGGGTGATCCCCTATTTGATTCACGTGCGGGGCTCCGCCTGGCCCGAACCCGAGCCCTGCTGTCTCCTGCTGGCCGAGAAGATTCACTCCGGGTACGAAGGTAGGTAGCAGCGCCTGCTGTCGGACGTCCCGTCCACTCTGGCCGTGGGAGGGCAGCGAGCGGGCCTTCGCTCGCCCTGGACTCGGCACTTGCAGCCGGCTTCCCGGGTCTGTTCCCTGACCTTGGCGCCCCGTGCAGACCTCTCCTTCCCTCAGCCCGAGGGTCACGCAGGGACTCGCCACAGAGCCTCCGTCCTCTGACCCTTTCTCCGCTGGGGACATCCGGTGGCCTTTGGCTTCTGTCATGTGTGAAATAAGAGCATTGAAATTGTTGCACAGTGAGGCCACCAGAATGGATTTCTGTTTTCAAAAGTGTTTTGAAACCCCTTGGTTTTTGCCGTGTGTGAGTATGAACTTTTTGGTGTGGTTTATATGTCCTGATGACAGAACTACATTTTAAAATGCACATCAGTCAGTTCTGCTGTCACGTGGCATATGCTTTTCTAAAGATGACCATCCTAGGCGAAAAAAATCACACAGAATGAAAACCACAGAGCTTCTGGGGAAATGAAGTTGGGGCGGGCACAGTGCTTGAACACTTAAGCACATTACATATAAGACAAATCTATTAGAAACAATAATAGCTTTAAACATTAAATGATTAAGAAATGAAATGGATGCAACCACTATGGAAAACAGTGTGGAGGTTCCTCAAAAAATTAAAAATAGAACTGTATGATCTAGCAACTCCCTTCTGAGTATATATCTGAAGAAATCCAAAGCATTCATCCAAAAAGATACATACACCTCTATGTTTATTGTAGCGTTGTTTACAATAGCCAAGATATGGAAGCAGCCTAAGTGCCCATGAACAGACAATTGGATAAAGGAGGTGTGGCACGTGTATGTACAATGGAATATTACTTGGCCATAAAAAAGAATAACATCTTACCATTTCCAACAACATGGATGGACCTAGAGGGTGTTATGCTAAGTAAAATAAATCAGAGAGAGACAAATGTCACATGATGTCACTATATGTAGAATCTAAAGGATAACATCAATGAACAAAATAAACAGACTCATAGATACAGAACACACAGAGGGTTTACCAGATGGGAGGGGGCTGGGGGGATGGGTGAGAAAGGGAAGGGATTAAGAAATAGGAATTGGCAGTTACAAAATAGTCACAGGGATGTCAAGTACAACATGGGGAATATAGTCAATGATAATGTAATAACTGTATGGTGTGAGATGGATACTAGAATTATCGGGGCGAATCGCTTTGTAAATTATATAATTGTCTAACCACTATGCTGTACACCTGAAACTAAAATAAAATCATACGGAATGTCAACTGTAATTGAAAAATAAAATTTTTAAAAATGTGAAGAAAAGAGAGGTACCCGAACAGTACACACAGTAGTGGGGCTCCTCGCTGTGGAAAAGCCCCAGTGTGCTTGGGGGTGCGGTCGTCGGAATGACTGTGAAGGGTGGGAGGCTGTCTGAGGGAAGACCGAAGTTCTGAAAAGTGTGATAGCACATGGAAGTGGCGTGTTCCTGTGTGTGACTCCATTCAGTTCCATGTTTTCTGCACTCGTGTCATGTTTCTTGCAAATGAAATTGTGCCCAAGCAAATGCAGCATCAGCATGATGCTCGAATGGTTCCCTGCTGTAGTAATCACTGTGTTTGCAAAGCAAGCCATGGCCGAACTGACCGTACCAATTTTATTGCACAGATGACAGATGTTCATATCGTACTGACGTTTCAAGACCTGTATGCTTAGTTATGTACAGCCTCTAAGAATGCCCGAACTGTTGGCTCCTGAACTTGAAGGTGCTCCATCTTGACTATTATTTGTGATGTGCAAGCTAGACAGTGTGCACAGACTTTCTCTTTTAAAAAATAACTGTAGTAGGCATGACATTTTGACCTAATTAAAATGTCTGTGATAATGAAAATTATCACCTAACTGTTGCTTTGGCTGCTCAAAGGCCACCCCTAAGTAAGATGTCACCATTTCTTTTGTTGTTGTTGTTAATCCTCACCCAAGGATATTTTTTCATTGATTTTCTGATAGAGTGGAAGGGAAGGAGAGAGAGAGAAACATCACTGTGAGAGAGAGACATCGATTGGTTGCCTCCCTCAGGACCCTGACCAGGGCCAGGGATCAAACCTGCAACCCAGCTACATACCCTTGACTAGGAATCGAACCTGCAAACCTTCAGTCTGCAGGGTAGTGCTCTAACCACTGAGTAATACTAGCCAGGGCAGATGTCACCATTTTGTAAAGAAATTTTAAGTGGTTAGTTAAGTGGATTATTAATTAGATACTTGCCTTTAAATGAATCTCTACTTTTTTGTAGCTCCTCGAATCCCAGTGGATAAAAGAATTTTTACCACAACACACACTCCAGGGTGTGTCTTTCTTGAAATAGATGAACGGTAAGTACTCCTTTAAGCCTAAAAGAAATTTGTTTCTGAGAATAAATACAAATATGAAAAGGTTTACCTAAGCTCACATACTCCTCCATTACGTATCTGATATCCATTATCCATTTGATTTTTGTTAGTTTGAAATCGTGTTGTCTAAATTTCTAATATAAATTTCTTGCCTGTGATGTGTCTAAGATCTGCACGTTGTATTCGACGTCACAACAGTCTGCGTTAGGCGAGTCAGGGACTGTTACACCAGAGGACGGTGAGCCCGGGGCCAGTTTGCCAAGAACAGGGGTGGTGTCATCACAGTCAAGGTGACGCCAAGACTCCGGCCCCAACACCTATTCCAGGGTTATTTCCACTAGACAGGTGTTTGCAACACCAGTTGATGACTTTGTTTTGTGTGTATGAAGCAGAATTAATTAATTTATTTATTTGTTTGTTTTGTTTTGATTTTTTAATCCTCACCAGAGGACATTTTTCTATTTTTTGTTCAGATAGAGTGGGAAGGAGAGAGAGAAAGAGAGAGAGAAACATCGACATGAAAGGGACACATCGAGTGGCTGCCTCCCGCATGACCCAACCAGGGCCGGGGACAAACTGCAACCGAGGTACGTGCCCCTAGCGGGAACCGAACCCAGGTCTCTCCAGACCACAGGCCGATGCTCTAACTGCTGGCCCAAACTGCCCAGGGCTGAAACAGAATTTATTTAATTTAAAGAATTGTTACGTATTTTGAGCTTATATGTCCTGCCTATTGTTTTAGGTGTTAAAATAGTTCTTTTTATTTAAATAGTGATGATGAATATTAGCTGCTTATTGTTTTTTTAATCTCTTTATTTGGAAAAATAAAACATTGTTGTCCCTTGATCAGTATCTTCCATTTTCCCCAAGTTTACTTTAAAATTTTTCTCATTCGTGAAATCTCAAAATCTGGATAACAAGCACCATGTCACACATAAGTGTGAAGCAAAAAGGTCAGAAACTTACCCTGGCTGGTGTGGCTCAGTCGATTAGAGCGTCGGCCTGCGGTCCGGAGAGACCCGGGTTCGGTTCCCGCTATGCGGGTGGCAGCCACTCGATGTGTCCCTTTCACGTTGATGTTTCTCTCTCTCCTTCCCACTCTGTCTGAACAAAAAAATGGAAAAATGTCCTCGGGTGAGGATTAAAAAATATATATACAGATTTCTGGTCTCACCCCAGAAATTCTGACCTGTTAGCCTGCGGTGAGCCCGGGAATCTGTGTTTCAGCCGGTTCCCTGCATGGTTTTGATGCAACGACTCAGATGACCAATATTTCTTAGATTACGTGACTATTTACTCACAGTGTTTGTGTATCTTTTTTTTCATATTTAAAATAAAGAAGTATTTTTTTAAAGTATGTGCCCGTCCATTGTGGCTCAGTGGTTGAGTGTCTACCCTGCACCAAGAGGTCGCCAGATCGATTCCCGGTCAGGGCACATGACCAGGTTGTGGGCCTGATTCCCAGTGGGGGGCATGCAGGAGGCGGCCAGTCGATGCTCTCTCTCATCAATGTTTCTATCTCTCCTTCCTCTCTCTCTAAAATCAATAAAGAAAAAATATAAATAAATACGTAGAGTATGAGAACTACTTACCTGTTGCGTGTCTGGGTCTGTGTCCAGAGCCGTGCCTTTGCTGGGATACCTACCTCAGGATCTGATCGGAATGTCCATCCTTACGTATTTGCACCCAGAAGACCGTTCTCTGATGGTTGCCATTCACCAAAAAGGTGAGGACCTACTTCTTTAAGGGAGGAAATTATTTTCTTAATCATCGATCTAACTTTTCATTTCATTTCTTATTAGAGCTTAACCTTCACCAGGCAAGTAATGTGTTGAAACTGCTAAAACAACTTTTTTTCCTACTTTGACATTCTAAAACATTCATAAACACGTGCCTAAAATGACATGTGAGATGTTCGCGTGGAATTCTTGATTCGTCGTGCTGTTTTGCAGTGTTGAAGTGTGCGGGCCACCCTCCCTTCGAACACTCACCCATGCGGTTCTGCGCGCACAACGGCGATTACGTCGTCCTGGATTCCAGCTGGTCCGGCTTCGTGAACCCCTGGAGCCGCAAGGTCTCTCTCATCATGGGGCGGCACAGAGTTCGCACGTAAGGCCTTCGGTTTGCATGTTTTCTAAAACGTCCTTCTCTCCAAAATAGCATTCCTTCGTCCACTAACCAGCACGTGAACCAAACGAAGCAGGTTTTTTACGGTACGTTTGGAAGACACCTGACAGTGTGTGATAGGCCTTGGAAGATTTCTCTCCTTGACCCGAGGGGCCCCTTCTGGGAATGTTCCAAAGAAGTGTGGCTGGACACAGAGCAGCAATAGAAAGAAAAGACATATCTTGCAAGGTGATTTCATAGTAATGGCAGACTGACACTAGCTTAACTGTCCATCGTTAACTAAACTGGAATATTTGCTTGACATATTGTTGTATTGGTCAATAAAATTTTCACGGAGGTGATACACAGGAAATTGATGTTAGATGTGAAAAGCGGCATGGAAGGTTATTTATAGCAGATGCTTACAATTACACCTAAAACAAACACTCTGAGACGTGAAAAAGAAGGTTGGAAGGGAATATGTTTTAGTTGTGATTATGGGTAAAATATATATTTTTTTTACCTTTTTGGAATTTTAAAGTTCTCTTTATTGAGCATGTAAAACTTTTTCTTTCAGCCTTCTGCTGTCAAATGTGACTTTTTTGTGTCTGTTTTGTTAAAATTAGATTCTTTCATATTTACTTTCCTGCCAGCAGGCTGACTGCAGCCTGATTGCTGTTACCTGTTCGTGTAACAGCCTGTGAAATGGACCTAGACAGCCTGGCCCAGCCTCGTCGCCTAACAGTTCCCAGCCCTTGGCTTTTCGGTCCATTTAAAATTGACCTGTAGGTTCCTTGACTGAGCCATAGGTTTCCCTTTGATGCCTATTTTTAGGCACAGAAATTAAACAGCTCCCCATGAGGGGCTGAGACTGAGGTGTCTTTCTCATTTTGTCATACAGCGTGCACGTGAGCATAGAGTAGAGTGGTCGGTCTACCGGGAGACGCACGTCTTGGACTGGGGGAGCGTGCGCAGCGTGGCCAGGCGGGGCCCCAGGGTGCTCTGGCCTCCCCGCGCCCGGTCTACCGGAGACGCACGTCTTGGACTGTGGGGGAGCGTGCGCAGCGGGGCCAGGCGGGGCCCCAGGGTGCTCTGGCCTCCCCGCGCCCGGTCTACCGGAGACGCACGTCTTGGACTGTGGGGGAGCGTGCGCAGCGTGGCCAGGCGGGGCCCCAGGGTGCTCTCGCCTCCCCGCGCCCGGTCTACCGGAGACGCACGTCTTGGACTGTGGGGGAGCGTGCGCAGCGTGGCCAGGTGGGGCCCCAGGGTGCTCTGGCCTCCCTGCGCCCGGTCTACCGGAGACGCACGTCTTGGACTGTGGGGGAGCGTGCGCAGCGGGGCCAGGCGGGGCCCCAGGGTGCTCTGGCCTCCCCGCGCCCGGTCTACCGGAGACGCACGTCTTGGACTGTGGGGGAGCGTGCGCAGCGTGGCCAGGCGGGGCCCCAGGGTGCTCTCGCCTCCCCGCGCCCGGTCTACCGGAGACGCACGTCTTGGACTGTGGGGGAGCGTACGCAGCGTGGCCAGGCGGGGCCCCAGGGTGCTCTGGCCTCCCCGCGCCCGGTCTACCGGAGACGCACGTCTTGGACTGTGGGAGCGTGCGCAGCGTGGCCAGGCGGGGCCCCAGGGTGCTCTGGCCTCCCCGCGCCCGGTCTACCGGAGATGCACGTCTTGGACTGGGGGGGAGCGTGTGCAGCGTGGCCAGGCGGGGCCCCAGGGTGCTCTGGCCTCCCCGCGCCCGGTCTACCGGAGATGCACGTCTTGGACTGTGGGGGAGCATGTGCAGCGTGGCCAGGCGGGGCCCCAGGGTGCTCTGGCCTCCCCGCGCCCGGTCTACCGGAGATGCACGTCTTGGACTGTGGGGGAGCGTGTGCAGCGTGGCCAGGCGGGGCCCCAGGGTGCTCTCGCCTCCCCGCGCCCGGTCTACCGGAGATGCACGTCTTGGACTGTGGGGGAGCGTGTACAGCGTGGCCAGGCGGGGCCCCAGGGTGCTCTCGCCTCCCCGCGCCCGGGATTTGGCCTCGGCAGAGCAGGCCTGCGCCCTGGTTGGGAGAATGGGGTCCTTGCCGCCCTGGCTCCTGAGACCGACGTGGCTCAGAACTGATCCGGTCGCTCGGATAATAACTAGGACTGCTGAGTAAGTGCCTGTCATGATGGTTAGAAAGGACTTTTTTTTTTCAGTGGGGAAACTGATTGGGAAATGAAAACACAATCGACGCTTGCTGAGTTTGAATTTGGACTAATGAATATGAGACGTCCGTCTGGGTGTCTGTCGGTTGGTCTGTGTACCCTCCCGTCGTGCTGGAGACAGTCCTGGCTCCCATGTTGTCCTTTGAGTTCTTTGATTGGGTACGCGTGAAGCCACCTGGCGCATGAGGGCCCCCAGTGCCTTCTCAGGCTTAAAGTTGCACTGAATTCACATCTCAAGCCCCAGGTTATGGGAGGGGAAGAACTGAGTCTAGTAGGTACTGATCTGTCCTGTTAAATAGTTACCCTTTATTTACACAGTTATATGAATGCAGTTCCTTACATAAGTACCCATGGACCACCTGCTGTGCCAGGCACTGCCAGGCCCTGGGAATGGAGGACAAACAGACACTCGTTGCCGTCCTGTCACCCAGGGCCGTGGGCAGTGAGTGGAGAGGGACAGCAGGTTCAGGCAGGTGTGGCGGTTGGATGGGGAAGGGGCTGAGAGTCTAGCAGGGCCCCTCCCATCTCTCTCTGGGCCCCTCCCAGCAGCTCTGGGCAGGCAGGTGCCGCGGGCAGGCAGGTGCCGCGGGCAGGCAGGTGCCGGGAGCACTCATTGCACAGAAAATCCGTAGTCGGTGAAGTAGAGGAACTTTCCCGGGTCCCGTGGGGGCAAGTTGCAGGGAGCTGGATGCAGGCCCCCTTCCTCACTCCCACTGCCGGGTCCTGGCCAGCGGCTGCTGGGCCACTTGTCAGTCAGGGCTGCGTCTGTCACCCAGCGGTAGGCACTTTGACTTAGATCAGTGCTGATTGAAGAGGCAACTTAGCTTTGTAGAAAGTTCCACCAGTAAGAGTATCTAAGTCTCAGACCACGACAGTCTGTTCTGTTTCCATTTTAGAATTTCACTTGAAATCTAAAGCCCAGGCACCTGGGGAAGACGTTCAGACCCACAGTGCAATGCGTGTAGCTCATGGGTCCTGTGTGCGTGGTCCCCAGACTGACCTCCATCGACGCTCGTTCCATTCTGTGCCGGGCACTGTTGTAGGTGCCACAGGGGTGAACATGACGGATGAGACAGCCGGACCCCAAGGGAAGGCAGGCAGCAGAGCTGACATTTAAGTAAAAGCTGTGGTGGGTCCGGCTGTGCATTCAAGTGCCATTTGTCACTTAGGTCCAAGGTGCACCATGCAGAGCTGGTAGATAATGTCACCTTCCACGGGCTCAGAGCTGAGGGATCCGAGTGACAAGGGACATGCTCTCCGAAGGTGGAGCCCTCCCTGGCTCCTGTGACACAGCTAACACCCGTGTGGTGTGTGATGCTTTCTGTCTCTGGGAAGTGTTTCAGTTTGCAGGGAATTGGGCCGCGTGACGGGGAAGCACAGCACGGCTTTCGGGTCGGCCATGCAGGTCCAGCCCGCCTGCTGCCGCGTGGCTGTGAGCTCTGCGGCAGGGGAGTCCTGCTCCGTGGGCTCTGAGGACTAGGGGGCAACGGGTCTGACTCGGGACCTCGTTAACATGCTTGCTTTACTGAGATACTGAGAGCAGTCCCATGGGGCAGGTGCTGGTCCCTTCCTGACTCCCTGCTCAGCCCTCACCAGCTGGGTGACTTGGAACAAGTGTTCACCTCGGGTCCAGGTGGTCGTGCCTGGTGGAGCACTTGGCACAGTGCCTGGCACAGCACGGGGTTGAGAAGAGGCCAGTTCTTACTGGGTGGTAAAGCGAGTACAGTCCTGTCCTTCTCCTCCTGTGGGCCGGTCTGCCCCTCGCCGGGCTCAGGTGGCCGATGGCAAGTGCTCGCAAGTGGAGCATAGATGGGACATGAAGGGGTGTGACGGCCACGCTTTGACCACTAGGGTGTGTCGCAGATCATCTTGATCACCGAGCTCGAGTGATCAGGGGCTTTAAACATCAAACTTTTGGCAAACGTAGGGTCCTACAATTCCTGCAGTAGGTCACTTCCATTTTGAAATCCGCTGTTGAGGACATTCCAGTAGCCGAGGAGGCGGCGTGTGCTGGTCGAAGATGCACGAAGCAGTGCTGCACCGGCAGCGGGAAGAGCACGGGGGGCTTGGGAGCCTGTCCCTGTCCCTGTCCCCTTGCTATCCGTGTGCTCTCTGCTCCGTGAACAGTGTCAGCTTCCTGCCGTCTCTCTCGGGAGTCCAAGGCTTGCTTTGTGAAAACGTAGCTTTATTATTTGAACATGAAAAATCACTTTGGACTTCGCTGTGAATGAATTTTGAACTGCTTGGCTCAGCCTCCCGCGTGTGTTTTGTAGGAGCCCACTGAACGAGGACGTTTTTGCCACCAGAGTAGAAAAGACGAGCAGTAATGACACAGACATAACAGAATTACAAGAACAAATTCACAAACTCCTGTTACAGGTAAAATGAGAGATTTTAAAAAACACACACTAAATACCCGCCATCCGTTTTATTTTAATTCTGTCTTTGTGAAGTCGCGTCACAAAAATAAACTGCAGAGGGATCCTTATCGCTGCATTTCAGCAATTTCTGTCTTCCTTTGTTTTTAAATTAAATTTTACTGATTTTTTTTCCTTTTTCTGTGTTAAACACACAGAACATTTTGTAAGAACTCATTTTAAGACAACAGAGTCATAGTAAGTGGTAAGACAGAGAAGTTATTTCTGAACAAGAGAATTCTTCTCATGTTCCAGGCTCCACCAGTGTGTGTGGCCCCTGGGTTTTGGAGTTTTCTAGAATAATTCCAAATTTCAAGGTCGGGGAGAGGGCTAGCCAGTCTCAGTATCTGGTTATTATAACACAATAGTAGGAAACTTTTGTTGAAAGTTTCAACTGCTTGTTGAAAACAAGTACCCAAAATGATTTCTATTGGAGAATCCGTCAGTAAACTTGTACAGTATGTACTGATGGTGGGGTAGGGTCTTTCATAAAATCTGTAGGGTTTGCCCAGCCAGGGTTGCTCAGTGGTTAGAGCAGCCCGAGCACCAAATGGGCTCAGGTTCAATTCCTGGTCAAGGGCACACACCTGGGTTTCAGCTTTGATCCCCAGCCCCGGTAGGGGCGTGTGTGGTAGGCAACCATTCGATATGTCTCTCTCACATAGATATTTCTATCTCTTTCTCTCTCCCTCCCTCCCTCGCTGTCCCCCCTTCCTCCCTCCCTCCCTTCCACTCTCTTTAAAAAAATCAGTGGAAAAAATATCCTCAGGTGAGGATTAACCAAAAAAATTCTCTAGTTCATAAAGAACCTGGGGCGTTTGTGGAGAAACTATGGTGTGTATTTAGTTTGTTCTGTCTAGTCTAAACTTGGCATAAAGAACAAGTTATTTTCACCCTGGCCGGTTTGGCTCAGCGGTTAGAGCGTCAGCCCGCAGTCCAGAGAGTCCCAGGTTCAGTTCCCACTAAGGGCACGTGCCTCGGTTGTAGTTTGTCCCTGGCCCGGATGGGGTTGTGTGGGTGGCAGCTACTCGATGTGTCTCTCTCACATCAATGTTTCTCTCTCTCTTCCTCCCGCTCTATCTGAAGATAAATGCAAAAAATGTCCTCAGGTGAGAATTTAAAAAAAAAAAAAAAAAGAACAAGTTATTTTCATATTTTGGTGAGTTATACTTGGCTTAAAAATTTTTTTGTTTTAAAAATCCCCACTTAGACTAGAAAACTAGACGTTGCTCTTGAAAATTGTTGGCATGAGATGGGATGTCTTTTGCGTCGGCGTCAGGGTGAGAGCTTCATCCCGCACACCCCTGATTTAGGATTTCAGAGATTTAATCTTCAGTTTCTGAGGATTTTCGATACGCTCTGAGCAGATCATGCTGCACCTCCCCCCTAACCGCCAGAGAGCCAGTAACCCCAACGGGGCCTCTGTCCTCGCAGCCGGTGCACGCGAGCGGCTCCAGCGGCTACGGCAGCCTGGGCAGCAGCGGGTCCCAGGAGCAGCAGGCCAGCGCCGCCTCCTCCAGCGAGTCCAGCGGGCCCTGCGCGGAGGACGCCCCGAAGGAGCCGGTGAGTGGGCGCGGGCGCCGTGCTCCTCCTCCGACCCCGGGATGGTCCCCGGGACGGTCCCAGTGCTGGTCTGCGGCTGCACCGGCTTCTGGGGCATGCTCCCGACCTGGGGACCCCCCTGCCAGCAGACATTCTCATCCACTGTAGTATGGGAACTGTCTGGAAAAGCGAGCGTCGTCTTTGGAAAGCCGTAGTTGGGTTCCTAGCGTGCTTTCTAAAAGCGTATTGTGAACAGAGTTGCTCAAAGCTTCGCTTGTGCTGCTGACGGGGCCGGGAGGGAGGGTGATTAAGGCTGTTACTGTGCTTTTCATCATGAGTTCTGAGAACCAGAAGTTTAATGTACTGGGTTTGTGTGCCTTTTAATGTTCATTTTATAATATTTGAAACCTATTTTGTTCTTTTCCCTAGTTGACTTTGCAGCAGGTCTATGCCAGTGTAAACAAAATTAAAACCCTGGGCCAGCAGCTGTACATCGAGTCAATGACCAAGTCGCCCAGCAAGCGAGCGGTGGGGACGCGCACTGGACGGCCTGGTGGTGAGTCCGCAGGGCCCCTGGACCGCCTCCCCTGTCCTCTCCCGTGCAGAGCGGAGTGTGTGAGCCCAAAGCCACGAAGCTGCACTGCTGCTGTTGGTAGTTGCCTGTCCAGCCATCGTAGTAATGGTGACAGTGCGCAGCAAATACCGCTGCGAGCCGGGTGGCCTCAGAATGCAGGGGAAGCACTTCTGCTACCTACTTGGCGTTTCTGATCACCCAGCACAGTCGTAGATGCCCCCAGAGGAGCCTCTGGAAACCAGGGTCCGTTTGGATATGTTTCAGACAGTTAAGTGTATTAGAATCCTGATTCCTTTCCGTCATCTCAAACAAATAGCATGCTTCTGACCTAAGATGAATGAGACACTTGGCATCTTTCCTGACACGTGTGTGCTTTTCTCGGCGGAGGTGAGCAGCACGCCACACGAATTGGGCTGGTCGTGGTAATTGCTTCATTGTGAAAATTGAACCTACCTGCATCCTGTAGCCGAGGACAGTTCGATAACGTGGATCACGTTTTATTAACTGCTCATTTAGCTAACTTTCCCTTCACTTTTCTCCCTGAATGTTAATATGATTTGGGGAGTCCTTACAGATTTGGGGCTAAATGTGAGGACTGGCCTCTGTCGTTGTCAGAAGTGGGTATTTTACACTGTAGAAGTGGAATTTTTTCTAAGGTCAATGGTAGTAAGGGTTTGGGGACTTGACATGATTCACACAACAGAAGCTCACATCCCTGCTCCTGGGCGTGGCGCACTGGCGCCCACGGGATGCCCTCCGGGTTTAGCGAGTCCCTGCCCAGTGTTTTCTGTTCCCCCGGGTAGGAGGCTTGGTGTCAGTGTTTCTTCTCTAGCTGTAAGGGCACGAGATAGAAGTAACAACTTTCCGCGTCCCTGAAACCATCGGGTTCCCTCTCCACCCGAGGAGTCATCTCAAACGCCTTTCTTGCTGTGGGTCATTACCCCATGTCTTGGCAGAAAAAATTCTTTGGGTTGATTTTAAATCTGAATTTTCTAAATGTTTCTTTTGTTGTCTGGTCCAGTCAGTGCCACTGGGTCTGGCTTGGGCTGGGGCCTCGCACTAGTGCCACAGCTTCGGGTCCTGACCTCTGTGTTTCCTCCCAGAGTGGAAATCCTTCTCCCCCCTGCCTTGTCCCGTTTGCTGTCATCTGCCACTGGTCTGGGCGTACCAGCACTGTGGCTCCGGAGGCATATATTTAAGCAGACATCAGTACTCCATCACTTACCATTTTATACATTTTAAGCTGCAGCCAACTGTGTGTGCTTACACTGCTATTTTAGAAGGTGAAATTTTCCTACTCCTTATAGTTGTGCTATATTTGACTCACACACATAGGATACGATTTTGGGGGAAGGAAAAATCCTTTGCCATTTGGTATGAGTTTGGAGAACTAATGTTACTTGGGCATCTTGATTTTATTAACATTTTAAGACCTACAAGTTTAAAGAACTAGTTAAAAAATCTAGTACTCTTTACTCAAGAAACAAGTGTGCAACTTAAGAATCCTGTTATAATTTAAATGTTAGAAATTGAGTGGAGCTGTACACCAGTGAAAAGGAAAATACGAAGTGACTATCATACACGTGCTTTCTGTGCAGGGTGCTAGAACCAACAGGAATAAGGGCAGGTTATACTTGAAGGTAGAATAGGAAGGGAAATGTTAGAACTTAATATGGAAGGGCACGCAGCAGCAGAGAGAGGTAAAGCCCCTCGTCAGCTACCGAGGCTGAATCCAACTGCCAGAGAAGGAATTGGGGGAATTGGGGAAAACCGGATGTGCCTCTCCTGGGAGGAGGCATTGCCTGCGTGAAAACGGATGATCCGTGGGTGGAAGCCGTGCAGAGGGAGTGCTTGGCTCCTGCTCGGGGGTGGGGGTGGGGGGCTGGAATGAGCATCATTCCGGACGCACAAGGAAGGAAGACAGACAGCGAGCTCCTGGTCTCTCTCGAACCCATCAGCGTGCTGGGGTGACAGGGTGGTCAACAGGCCTGAGCCTGGGGAGACACCCGTGCCTGCAGAGACAGAGAGCGAGCTCCTGGTCTCTCTCGAACCCATCAGAGTGCTGGGGTGACAGGGTGGCCAACAGGCCTGAGCCTAGGGAGACCCACACCTGCAGGGAGGAGTGAGCTGCGTGCCTGGAGGCGGGCGCAGGGTAGCAGGACTCGGTAACTGGCAAGAGACAGGCGTTCTCTGATGCACCGTGCAAAGGCAGGGCCGCAAGCTGACAGCGGAGCAAACACTGAAAGAACGGCTGTCAGCAAACCAGCCACCAGCTGAGGCGCAGTGTACCTTCAGGGAACTCTGAAAGCTGGGGTGCACTGAGCAAAACCCTAGAACAACCTCGCCCTGACGTGACCCTTACAAGATGAATGCAAACACAAGCCTCGCAGAGGGAGGCGTGCCCAGGCTCCGCTGTCCTACACAAGGTGTGCAGCTTTCAACAAATGCAGCATGTGGAAAAGCAAGGAAAACTCGCCAGAGACAAAGCAGTCATCAGAGCGAGTCGGGTGTGACACAGATGTTGGGACCGTCTGACCGAGAATTTAAAGTAACTGTGAGAAACTCCTTGAAAGCTCTGATGGACAAAGTAGGCGATGCGCAAGGCCCCACGGGGAGTCACAGCATAGAGGGGCGTGTAAAAGGCTGAGCGGAGGTGTGAGGGTGCTGGGTAGAGATGGATGCACGCCGGGCACTCAGCTGGGCAAGCATCCGAACCCTAGAGATGGATAGATAGAAACTGCGCAAACGCAACACAGAGAGAAACGTACAGAATAGAGCATCTTGGGAATTTTTGAACAATATTAAATGTTCTGTCAGATGAGTAACTAGAATTCCAGAAGAAATTCTTGAAGAAATAATGGCCAAGATTTCCCACAGATCCAAAGAGCATTAAGTAATGGAAATACAAAAAAAAGGAAGAAAAAAAGAAACACCCACCACAAAATAAAAACACCACTCACTTGAGCATATCGGTCAACCTGCCGAAAAGAATAAAGACCATCCAGAAGGCAGTCAGAGGAAGAGACTGCAGACGGAGAAGCAAAGCTCAGAACGACAGCAGACGCCCCTTGAGAAACTCTGCAGCACAGAAGACAGTAGGGGACAGTCTTCAAGACAGAACTGTCGGTGTAGAATTCTACACCTGCTGGAGACTGTCTTTCAGAAATGAGGGAGATGTAAAGATTTTCTCAATAGAAATTGAGAAGGTGTTGCCAGCAGATTTACCGTGAGGAATGCGAAAGAAATGATACACACAAGACTCAGATCTCTGCAAGGTAATGGAAGGCACTGTAAATGGAATACTTTTTACTTATTTTTCACTTATTTTTCATTGCTCTGAAAGGTAACTAACTGAAACAAAATCGGCATTCTGCGTTTATGGCTCAGTGACAATACTGCAGGCATTGGGAATATACTATTGTCCAGTCCTTAAACTACACTTGAAGCAGTATATCATTTGGAGGTAGAAACTAAATCCTTTATGATATATATTGTAGGTTTTAGGGCAATTACTACAAACAATTTTCTAAAAAGTACAAATAATGTCATAGAGGAGATAAAATAGAATTTTAAAACACTTAACCCAAAATGAGGCAGAAAGGTAGGAAAAAATAAACAACAACAAACCCAGGTGGAACAATTAGAAAACAGCTGGCAAGGTGGTTTCTGTTAATTCTGCTGTATCAGTGATCACCCTAACTGTGGGTAATCTCAGTGTACCGGTTAACAGGCAGGAATGATCAAAGTGGATGAAGAAAAAAAAAAGGAGATTCAGATGTGTATTATCTATAAGAACCCATTCTGAAAATAAAAACAGTTTAAAAGAAAAAGGTTAAAAATATATATACTGTGCTAACAAGAGTCAGGAGAAAGCGTGAAAGCTCTATTAAGGGTAGACTGAGTGGACTTGGAATAAGGAGCGTTGGCAGGGTTCAGAGGCATGTTGCATGACCAGAGTGTGGGTTCTCCAAGATGATGTAACAATCTAAATGCTATGCACCTGACTTCAGAGCTTCAGCACATGAAGCAAAAACTGATCAAAACTTCAAGAAGAAATAAATCCACAGTGAAAGTTGGAATCTGCAACATACTTCTCATAATTAGTAAAACAAGTAGAAAATTTGTGAAGATTCACAACACCTGAGCAACTGTCAGCTGGCTTGGCCTTATTGCATCAGTGAATACTCTCATCATCAACAACATAGCACATATTTTTCTCAAGGACACATGGAACATTTATCAAGATAAATTGGACTTTATCAGAATTTTAAAACTTCTCTTTGAAAGACTTTAATAAGCTATCAGTAAGGCAATGAAGAGACAAAATACTTGCAAATCATCTAAGATAAATAATTTTTGCCCAGCTGGTGTGGCTCGGTGGTGAAGCGTTGACCCGTGCACCAGGAGCTTCCCGTTTGATTCCTGATCAGGGCACATGCCCAGGTTGCGGGCTCCTGCTGGGGCATGCGGGAGGCAGCTGATCGATGTCGATGTCTCTCTGTCATTTATGTTTCTATCTCTCCCTTCCTTTCTCTCTCAAAATCAGTAAAAAACATTTTTAAAAATAATTGAAAAATAAAATAGTTATTCAAAATACATAAAGAACTCTCAAAATTTAACAATAAGTAGATAATCCAATTTAAAGATGGTCAAGAGAGCTGAACAGTTTTCTAGATGTTGTACAGATGGCAAATAATATATGAAAAAAAAAACAATCTCATTAGTCATTAGGAATTTAAAACTGCATGAAATAATGTCACACACCTATTGGAATGGCTATAGTTAGAAGAACCAACAACAGTATCGAGTTCTGGCAAGATTTCAAAGTAACTGGAACGCTTACATATTTCTGAAGGTAGAGCAGAAATTATACTGCCACTTTGGGGAAATTGAGCTGTTTCTTATAAAGTTAAACATATCCGTACCCCATCCCTCAGCAGTTTCTTCTTAATCACTTACACAAGTGAAATAAAAACTCAAGTTCATACAGAAACCTGTGTATGAATGTTTATTACACTTATTCCCACTCGCCAGAAATAGGAAAGAACGTAGGTGTCATTTCACAGGTGAGTGGGTATCCTGTGGCCACCCACACAGTGGACGACCACTCCCAACACGGGTGGACTTGGTCACAAATGCAGGGTCTCCAGTGCATTTAGCTAAGTGAAGGAAGCCGGAACCAGAAGAGACGTGGTGCATGATTCCTTCTGGAAAACACCACTGTTTGCTAAGGTTGGGGAAGGAGCGAGCCACAAAAGGGCAGCTGGAGGGGACGTCCGAGTGGTGGAAATGTGCTGTCTGTTACTCTGGTGGCGGACACACAGCTTTTTGTGCCTTTGTTGAAAACCGTAGATCTGCACACCTCATTCCACCCCAGAACTAAGAGGGAACCCAAGATGCTATGCGACAGATGAATCTAACGAATGGCATGAACATACCGAAGGGGTGGAGGAGCTAAGTAGCTTGGGAAATTAGGGTTTTAACTGGATGCCCTAGGACTAAATGCAAAACATAAATGTTGCCCGCACTGTCACAGTTGGTGGACCTGTTTCTCTCCAGAGGATGGGTCGGCAGCTCAGAAGCTACTTTGCATGTGTACCGGGGTTGAGCGAAGAGGTGTGTACAGTACCGCATCAATGACCAGATCGCTCGCTGTCAGGAAAAGGGGCTACAGGAAGCGAAGAAGGAATGCTGGAATGAGCTCGGCGGTGCTGGGTCGGAGTGGAAGGTGTCGGCGGGAACACGTGCCGTTTTGCTGGGCGGACAGACAGTTGCAGGGAGAAGGTTTAGTTACACACGTGTTTACTAGCTCGTCCATCGAGAGCATCTCCGCGGAGGCACACAGTTAGCAGTGGGCACACCTGGCACCCAGGTCTTGGTTTCTGAATGTTTTTCCGATAAAAGAAACCAGAGGCAGGACGAAAGGAAGTGCTCAAAAGTGTGTGTGTGTGTGTGTGTGTGTGTGTGTGTGTGATGGGGGGCTGCATGTCAAAGTCACACAGGAGACAACTTGAAAGAGCACCCAGTGGCCAAACTGGGACAATTTGAGCAACAAAATAAGTAATGATAGTCTGGGATTATAACCCAACAAATAAATATCCAGGAGCCTACACTAAAGACAAATGATTGGATGAGTAAAAAGAGAAAGGGGCCCTGGCCAGTTTCGCTCAGAGATTAGAGCGTTGGCCTGCGGTCCAGAGAGACCCGGGTTCGGTTCCCGCTAAGGGCACGTACCTCGGTTGCAGTTTGTCCCCGGCCCTGGTTGGGTCATGTGGGTGGCGACCACTCGATGTGTCCCTTTCATGTCGATGTTTCTCTCTCTCTCTCTCTCTCCCTCCTACTCTATCTGAACAAAATATCAAAAAAAAAAAAAAAATGTCCTCGGGTGAGGATAAAAAAGAGAGAGAGAGAAAGGGGAAAAGGGAAACTCTTCCTAGCAGAAACATGTTGATTCATAAATGTCGAAGGAATGGGGAATATAGAAACGGCTGTTAGGATTCCGCATGGTCGTTATGTGCACACCTTGAACCCTGCTGTCAATTCTATCTCAGTAAAGCTGATGAGAAAAAAATTCACGGTAATAATTGCTACAGGGAATATCCTCCAATGAATGCTAGAATTAGTTGAAAGTGTTTTTAGTCATTGTAGTTTCATATGTATCAAGTTTGCTATTTTTAAGTGTGGAGTTGGTGGCATTAAGTACCTTGACACTTGGGCAACCACTAGGTGAACAAGATAAAAAGGATATTTGCATGGTCTCCAAGTATTTCTCTAAAACGTGTTGCTTACAGTGCGTATTATATTGTGAAATAGTAACAACATAGGAGAGACCTGGCAGACACCCTCTAACCAGTGGTCTGGTGCACACACCAGTGGTAGAACATGTTAACATCTTGTACCCCTGGGATGATGCGCTAAGGAGCACACAGCACTTCTGTGGTGACCTTCCCCATGATCGGGAGAAAATATCAGAGAAACCCAAATTGAAGGGCATTTCTACGGAATACCTGCCTTATACTCTTTAAAAGTGTCAAGATCGTGAAAGACAAGGAAAGGCTAAGGAGACACTGACAGCTGAATTCAATGTGAGATCCTGGGCTGGGTCCTGGGACAGAGAAGGGACATGTAGTGGAGAGCGGGGGGGTCCGGGGAGTCCATTGTCCAGTTAGTGTACCCCTGGTCCTCTCTCCGCTCTGTTCACATGTAGTGGAAAGCGGGGGGTCCGGGGGGTCCATTGTCCAGTTAGTGTACCCCTGGTCCTCTCTCAGCTCTGTTCACATGTAGTGGAGAGCGGGGGGGTCCGGGGAGTCCATTGTCTAGTTAGTGTACCCCTGGTCCTCTCTCAGCTCTGTTCACATGTAGTGGAGAGCGGGGGGTCCGGGGAGTCCATTGTCTAGTTAGTGTACCCCTGGTCCTCTCTCAGCTCTGTTCACATGTAGTGGAGAGCGGGGGGTCCGGGGAGTCCATTGTCCAGTTAGTGTACCCCTGGTCCTCTCTCAGCTCTGTTCACATGTAGTGGAGAGTGGGGGGGTCCGGGGAGTCCATCGTCCAGTTAGTGTACCCCTGGTCCTCTCTCAGCTCTGTTCACATGTAGTGGAAAGTGGGGAGTCCGGGGAGTTCATTGTCCAGTTAGTGTACCCCTGGTCCTCTCTCAGCTCTGTTCACATGTAGTGGAGAGTGGGGGGGTCCGGGGAGTCCATCGTCCAGTTAGTGTACCCCTGGTCCTCTCTCAGCTCTGTTCACATGTAGTGGAGAGCGGGGGGGTCCGGGGAGTCCATTGTCCAGTTAGTGTACCCCTGGTCCTCTCTCAGCTCTGTTCACATGTAGTGGAAAGCGGGGGTTCCGGGGAGTCCATCGTCCAGTTAGTGTACCCCTGGTCCTCTCTCAGCTCTGTTCACATGTAGTGGAAAGTGGGGAGTCCGGGGAGTTCATTGTCCAGTTAGTGTACCCCTGGTCCTCTCTCAGCTCTGTTCACATGTAGTGGAGAGCGGGGGGGTCCGGGGAGTCCATTGTCCAGTTAGTGTACCCCTGGTCCTCTCTCAGCTCTGTTCACATGTAGTGGAGAGCGGGGGGTCCGGGGAGTCCATTGTCCAGTTAGTGTACCCCTGGTCCTCTCTCAGCTCTGTTCACATGTAGTGGAGAGCGGGGGGTCCGGGGAGTCCATTGTCCAGTTAGTGTACCCCTGGTCCTCTCTCAGCTCTGTTCACATGTAGTGGAGAGCGGGGGGGTCCGGGGAGTCCATTGTCCAGTTAGTGTACCCCTGGTCCTGTCTCAGCGCTGTTCCTTGTACTTGGGTGGATACGATCCTACGTTAGTGGAAGCTGGGTGAAGGGTATATGGGAACTCGACTACTTGTAATCCCTTAAGTCTAAAGTATTTGAAATTCAAAACTAAAGAAGTTAATGAGTTAACATAATTTCCTCTGAAAACAAAGAAGCCTCTTGCAAGGAGGTAAAATGGCCTTTATTAATAATGACAACAGTAGCTAGTGTGTCTCCCTCAGCCTGTCAAGAGTATTTGATGAACTTAGTTACTCCTGCTTTGCAACAGTTTCCACCCTTGGCTTCCCACACCCCATTGACAGATCTCTTATCTTCCTAGATGCTCTTTTTCAGTCCCCACCACCAAAGGTTTCAGTCCTTCAGTGCTCCAGCCTGGGGCATTTCTCTTCTCCCTGCCTCTGCTCTCTGATATGGGAGCCACGAGCCACACTTGGCGACTTAAATTAATTACAAAGAAATAAAATGGAAAATTTTGTTCCTCAGTTACTCCAGCCACATTTCAAGTGCCAACTCACTGTATGTGGTGTTAGTAGCCTCCGTGGTGGACGGCACGAATAAAGAACAATCCTGTCATCGTGGGAAGTTCTGTGGACACGAGGTCAACAGGCAGCACTGTGCACTTTCCATTGTGACACGTAAGATACACACAGTGCCCGGTGCCCACTCTCGGTGACGCCATGATGGACAGATAGCATCAGATTGATGTTGGAAAGTTCCTGTCAGCCTTTCACCCACCAGTTTTAGTCCTTGATCATCTTTGTCTCGGCTGTTTCACTCCTTTTTTAAAAAAAAAATTAAAAAGTGATCATTCATGGAGCCATTCCATGTGGATAGCTTTCTGTATCAGTGCATTTAGTTCTGAGCTCGTTTTCATAGCTGCATAATATTCCATTGAATATATTTATTCTAAGGTACCATGATTTAATTTTGCTGAATAAGTACATGTTCTTAAGAATAATGTTATTTTTTAATATGCTTTTATTGATTTTCTAGAGAGAGGGGAAAGGGGAGAGAGATAGAAGCATCAATGTGAGAAACATCGATCGGCTGCCTCCTGCACGCCCCGCACCGGGAATCAAGCCCACAACCCCAGCATGTGCCCTGAACGGGAATTGAACTGGGACCTCTCAGTCCATGGGATGATGCTTAATCCACTGAGCCACACCGGCTGGGCAAGAATAATGTATTTTTAATTGTGCATACTTTTATTCTCTTTTAGGTGACCAGAAGGCCATTTCTGCCTTACAAACATTGAAAAATAATAGTGTGTACACTGAGTCTTGTGAGGATTTGAGAAAAGATCAGCATAGCCCATCCTATCAGCAAATAAACTGCATTGATAGTGTTATCAGGTATGAAACATGCATTTTGATAACATGTTTATTTTTCCAAAACCATATATTGTCACTGTGGAGCTTTTATATAATTTTTAATAGTTGTTGTCCTGACTTTTCACTATTAATCAATAGATATTTATGGACTGCCTACTACATACAGTTCATAATATACTCAATATTTCAGGAGATGCAAAAAATTAGAAGATGCATTCCTTGTTTGAAGGAATGTTTGAGAAGACAAAGCCTGAGCTTGTCAAATTTAAAGGATGCAGGGTTTGAAGATCAGTTCAAGCCCATGGTAAAAGAGGTAACCATGCAGCGATTCAGGCTGGGGCGGCCCGGGAGGAAGCCAGCAAAGAAGAAAGTACAAGTTCAGCGTCACGGCAGCGTGAATTGTTTATTTTCTCTCTCCTTCAATTTCCAACCAGTTGGACGTCCATAACCATAAAAAGTGCCTCTGCACAGCATCCCAGGGCACAGAGAGCTCCACCAGCTGTGCACCTGGCGGTGTGCCGCAGGCATGGCAGAGGCCGGCAGCACCTTCGTGGCAGAGGAGGTGGAGGGTAAAGGTGGGAGTCGGCTCGGCCCAGCCATGGGTTCTGCGGTTGAAGGGATCCATTGCTCTCTGAGGAGAGGCCGCAGTGACGGGGGCAGGGAAAGGGAAGGAGGCAGGCAGAGAGAACTGAAGGAACGTGTCCGCCTGGGATTCTGGCGAGAGGACTGCCCACGAACCTCCGGGGACCCCCTACCCCACTTGAGGATCCCTCGATCGGGCCATGGGCACACCTGAAGCCCCAAGTGCTAAGTACACAGTTCTCCCGCTCTACCACCATTCTTGTTTTTTTCTTTTGGCAGCTTTTTAAAAATGTGTGTGCTCCCAACATTATCTCTGGTAAGACAAAGCAAAAACTTGTCACCATAGCACCGCCTTCTGGGAAACCAAAGGAAGGCTTCGAGTTACCAGCCTGTCGAACTGTCGGAGTCCAGCCAGTCCTTGTCTAAGTAAGAAGGGCATCTGTGACGTCAGGTGCAGGGGCAGAGACACTTTTCACCAAGCGCCGTGGAAAAGCACGGTGATGCAGGGTCACAGAAAGGAGATGGCCACTTTCCAGCCCTCGAATCCAAAGGCATCGAGTTGATGGAGAGTTCAACTAGCTGTTATGGGGAAATTCAGCAAGCAACAAGAAAACTCAGAAAGGCAGTGCAGTCATCTCAGAAATGAAATTAACAAATAGAAGGAGCACTGTACCAAAGAGACTGAAATTCTGAAAAAGAACCAAACAAATTCTGGAGCTGAAGAATTATAGTAAATGAGATAAAGCATGCATTGGAAATACGACAGAGCAGATGGAGGAGAGAATTAATGAGGTGGGAGATAGGACTCTAGAAATGATTAAGGTTGAAGAAGAGAGAAGTAAGATTTTTAAAAAGTGCATAAACCCTATGAGAGCTCTCAGATACCCTTCGGGAAGCCAACATAATAACAGGTACTCCAGGGAAGAGAAGCATTCAGCATTACATTGATACCAAAACCAGATAGGGTACCACAGGAAAATAAAACTAGACCAACATCCCTGATGAATATAGGTGCGAACGTTCTCAATGAAATATTAGCAAATTAAACAATACATTAAAAGGATTAAACTCCATAACCAAGTGGAATTTATCCCTAGAATGAAGAAAAAGCATTTGAAAAAATACATCCTTTTATGATAAAAACCCTTGACAGATTGCGTATACAAGGAACGTATCTTAGCAGTAAAGACCATGCACAGCAAACACACAGTGAACACACCCAGTGGAGAAGGACCGAAAGGGTTTTCTCTGAGATCAGCAAGGACGCCCACTCTCGCCACTCCTGTCTGGGACGACACTGGAAGTCCTCGCTGGAGCAGTTCGGCAAGACCAGGAAACAAAGCATCCAAATTGGAAAGGAAGAAGCCACATTGTTGCTGCTTGCTATGATGTGACCTAACGTATAGGAAACCCCAAAGTCAGTCAAAAAACTGTTGTAATTAATTAATGGTTTCAGTAAAGTGGCAGGATACTAAATCAACATGTGGAAATCAATGGTATTTCTTCACTCTAATGACGGAGCATCTGAAAAAGAAATAAAATCATCCCATTCACAGTAGCATCAAAACAATAAAGTACTTAGGAATAAATTTAGCCAAGGAAGTGCAAGATCTGTGTGCAATGAGAACTACAAGACTTTGCTGAAAGAAGTTGAAGACAGAAGCAAATGGAAAAACATCCCATGTTCATGAATAGGAAGAATGAATATTGTTAAAACTTTCTACCATACTACCCAAAGCCATCGACAGATTCATTTCAATCCCCATCAAAACACCAAAGGCGCCCTGGCCAGTTTGGCTCAGCAGTTAGGGCATCCGCCTGTGCACTGAAGGGGTCTCGTGGTCAACAGTACATACCTCAGTTGCAAGTTCAGTCACTGACTCTGACCAGGTTTGTGCAGGGGTCATGCAGGAGGCAACCAATTGATGTGTCTCTCTCACATTGGTCTTTCTTTTCTCTCCCCTTCCCTCCCTCCCTTCTGCTCTCTGTAAAAAGTCAGCGGAAAACTATCCTCTGGTGAGGATTAACAACAAAAACACCAAAGGCATTCTTTCCAAAAACAGAAGAAACAATCCTAAAATTTGTGTGGAATCATTAAAGATCCCGAATAGCCAAAATCAAGAGGTATCTCACTGCCAGACTTCAAACTAGACTACAAAGTTATAGTAATAAAAAGTAGTATAATACAGGCACACAAATAGACACATTGACCAATCTAGAATGGAGAGCCTAGAATTCGGTCTCAGCAAGTACATTTGACTAATATTTGACAAGGAGGCCAAGAAGACCCAGTAGCAAAAGCGTAGTTTCTTTAACAAGTGGTGCTGGGAAAACCGGAGAAGTACGTGCAGAATAATGAAACTGGACCCCATCCAACACTACTCAGAAAAAGTAACTCAAAATGGATCAAAAACTTAAACATAGGGCCTGACACCATAAAACTCCTGGAAGAAAGACATGAGGAAGAAGCTCGCTGATACTGTTTTTGGTAGTGATTTTTTTTATAATACAATGCCAAAAGCATAAACAGCAAATATAAACAAGGGAACTACATCCAATTTCAGAGCATCTGCATAGCAAAAGAAACAACAAAATTGAAAGACAACCTACAGAATGGGAGAAAAATGTGTAAATCCTATATCACACAAAGGGTTAATATCCAAAAACTATAAAGAAGTTCGTCAACAACAACAATCTGATTTTAAAATGTGCAGCAAAACTAAATAGACATTTTTTAAAGAGGACATCAAAATGGCCAACAGACAGATGAAGTGATGCTCAACATCACTCATCATCATGGAAATGCAAACCAAAACCACAATAACGGCATACTGCCTCACCCCTGTTCGAGTGGATATCATCAAGACAAGACAGTAGGTGCGCTGAGGATGTGGAAAGGAAACCCGTATGCATTATTGGTGGAAATGTAAATTGGTGCACCCACTATGGAAAACAATATGAAAGCTCATGAAATATTAAGAATAAATCTATAAAATTCAGCAATTCAACTCCTGGGTATATACCCAAAGGAAATGAAAACGGTTTTGACCACATATATGCACCCCCGTTTATTGCAGCATTATTTATGCTAGCCAGGATCTGGAAACAACCCAGATGCCCATCAACAGATGGATTAAAACAAATGTGGTACATACACTGGAATATTAGTCATGAAAAAGGAAGATATCCTCCCACCTGCAACAACACACATGGCCCTTCAGCACAGTGTGCCAGACGAGATAAGCCAGAGAGTCTAGTGCTGCGTGATGGCACTTATATGTGGAACCTGAAAACTTTAAACCTGTGAAGAACGGTAAAATGAGGGTTACCGGGAGATAGGGTGGGGGCTAAGTGATGGTGTTTAAGGGTACAGACCTATAATGAGTGCCAAATAAGCCACAGAGACGTGATGCACAGTATAGTGAACATACCCAGTAACATTGCCCTGTATTGTGTAAGGTGATAACTAGCTCTACATCGGCAGTCATGTGACATCAAGTAAGTATATCAAAGCAACATGCTGGACACCTGAAACTTACACAATGTCACATGTCAGGTGTACTCAATCAATCAATCAGTAGAAGGATATGTGTATCCCAAGTAGAAGTGGTGTGAGTGAAGGAAAGAGGGAGATGTTACAGGTAGGGGTCAGGTAGGAATAGTGACCTCATGCTGCTGTTGCAGGTACCTGAAGAGCTACAACATCCCAGCCTTGAAAAGAAAGTGTGTCTCCTGCACAAACACAGCCTCGTCCTCAGAGGAAGACCGGCAGAACCACAAGGCCGGTGATGTCCATGCCTTGCAAGGTAACAGGAGTGCCCTTCGTGGTCAGAATGAGGAGTTGTTATGAAGCCACCCTGTTCTCTCTGCTTCTCTTTCATTTCTCGACTTGAATTATTACCTCGTGATCACAAGTGATCCTAGTTTCTAGTCCTCTTGACGACCTGTAGGTTGTTATTTGTCTGTTATAAATGTCTATGAACTGCTCGGTCTTTAACCTGAATACCCTGCTGGGAATTTTTCTTTCACTGGCAGCCTCGCTTGAGTCGCCAGCTGTTTCTCAGGTCCCAGCTGTACCTGCGTCGGAAGTGCCCGCCCACAGACGGCCCGCCGAGGCCGCAGGAGGAGCACGGACCCTGTCCACGGCGGCGCTGAGCCTGGGCTCGGGCATCAGCCAGTGCAGTTACAGCAGCACCATGGTCCACGTCCCGGCCCCCGAGCCAGGTACCGCGTCCCCCGCACTCGCGCTCAGCACCAGACCGCTGTGAGAGACAGTCGCTCGGACCGTCTGCCTAGTCACAACCTCCCGGCTTTGGGAAGTGTCCTATTTCTGTTGCTTACATACGTACATATATTTTGGCCTGTATTTCTTAGTTTTTTTCTTAGTCATTTGTCGATCAAATCAGCTGACAGGTGTGAGCCCTCAGCTCGCATGAGCTGTTATCGGCGCGGCTCGGCCACTCTCTGCTGACCTTGGGAGGTTTCCAGCCACACTGTGCTTGTGCCTGGAGCGCTTCGTGCGTGTGTGGAAATGTCTGCGTGTCGAGCCCTCTTCATTCCTCTGATGTCTTCTTTTTTTTTTTTTTTTTTTTTTTTTTTTTTTTTTTTTTTTTTTTATCTCACCCTAGGACATTTTTTCCAGTTTTGTACAGTAGAGTGGGAGGGAGAGAGAGGAAGGGAGAGAGTGAGCGAAGAGAGAAACATCGATGTGAAGGGAACCACATCGAGTGGCTGCCCACCCGTCGACACCAGGGGCCGGGGACAAACTGCAAACCTTACTGCCGCCTATTCTTCTGATTTTGTCGTTACTCATAACAATTTGGTGGATGACGAAATCGTGACAGGTGTGTGAGACCAGCCCTCACTGACCTGTGCTAGTGTTCTGTGTGCGCAGTAACACGGCTGAGTGTGCTCAGCCCTTCACAGAGACCGAACTGCTTTGCGCCTCTCCGCCACCCTCGGAGGTGGAGCGTGGAGTTCTGGCGGGGTTTGTAGGCCGGTGGGGAAAGACCAGAGGCCAAACTGTTGTGAGATTAGATGGTGCTGCTAATGAGCCAAAGATAGCCTGTTGGTTTTTCAATATGTGACAGATTTAAAAGTAAATTCAGCCCTGGCAGTTTGTCTCAGTGGTTAGAGCATCAGCCCGAGGACCGAAGTGTCGTGGGTTTGATTCCCGGTCAAGGGCATGTACCTGGGTTGCAGGTTCAATCCCCAGCCCCCATCGAGGTCATACGGGAGGCAACCAATCTATGTGTCTCTCTCACAACGATGTTTCTCTTTCTCTCTCCCTCCCATCCCTCCCTCCCACTCTCTAAAATTCAGTGGAAAGATAGAGGAATATTTACAATAAAAGCAAGATTTAAATAAATGCATAAGTCTACACACTGAGTATTACAACACCGTGAAGCATACATACAGGTGTAGAGAGAGATTAAAGACAGGCAGAAAAACAAAAAGAACTTACGTGCTACGTTGATGAAGTTTTTTATATCTCAGCTGTTGTAATAATGTTTGTAAAACTCATCAAAAGGTTGTTAAATTGACAAAAATAAATAAATGCAAATAGTTGGTAGCAATAAAAGTAAGTCCTTCTTCTTCCACCTCCGCAGAATTGACTCCCGCCGAGGAAGCGGCCCCCGCCTGTGAGGCCTGGACGCCCAGCACGCAGCCGGCCCTGCTGAGCGCGGCAGGGTTCAGACCCGTGGGGCTCACGAAGGCCGCCCTGTCGGCACACACGCAGCAGGAGGAGCAGAGCTACGTCCACCGGTTCCGGGAGAAGATGCTGTGGTCGCCCTACTGCTCCCACCCTCAGCACGGAAGCAGAAGCAAAGCTCAGCATTTGTACATCCAAGGTAGTAGAGTCTTGTTGTCTGTCGTCAATCCTCACCAGAGGATATTTTGTTTCCTATTGATTTTTAGAGAGGGAGGGTGGGAGAGAGAGAGAAACATTGATGTGACAGACAAATCGATTGGTTGCCTCTCACACGTGCCCTGATCAAACCTGCAACCCAGGTATTTTCCCCTGACCTAGAATTGAACTCGAAACCCTCTGGGCAACACCAGCCAGGGCAAGGTAGTTACACTTTAATTTTTTTCTCTTTATTGATTTTTAGAGAGAGAGAGAAACATCAATGAGAGAGAACATCGATTAGTCACCTCCTGCATGCCTCCCAATGGGGATCGGGCCCACAAGCTGGGCATGTGTCCTGATGAGGAATCGAACCAGCGACCTCTTGGTGCATGGGGGTAGTTACAGTTTAAAAAATATATTCCAGCCATGGCCAGTTTGGTTCAGCAGTTAGAGTGTCAGCCTGCGGACCAGTGAGTTGTGGGTTCGATTTCTGTCAAGGGCACATGCCTGGGTTGCAGTTTGTCCTCAGCCCTGGTCGGGTCATGGGGGAGGCAGCTTGTCAAAGTGTCTCTCTCACGTCGATGTTTCTCTCCCTCTCTTTCCCTCCCTCCCACTGTATCTGAAGATAAATGAAAAAATGTTCTCTGGTGAGGATTTAAAAAATAAATAAAAAATAAAACATAGATTTCATTTACCTACATGGCTGTCAGTTGTGTGAGTCGGCTGTCGGCTGAGTGATTCGGCTGTCGGCTGTTGGCTGAGTGAGTTGGCTGTCGGCTGTGGGCTGTGCGAGTCGGCTGTCGGCTGAGTGATTCGGCTGTCGGCTGTTGGCTGAGTGATTCGGCTGTCGGCTGAGTGAGTTGGCTGTCGGCTATCGGCTGTGCGAGTCGGCTGTCGGCTGTGCGAGTCGGCTGTCGGCTGTGTGAGTCGGCTGTCACTGAGTGAGTTGGCTGTCGGCTGTGGGCTGTGTGAGTCGGCTGTGGGCTGAGTGAGTCGGCTGTCGGCTGTGGGCTGTGTGAGTCGGCTGTCGGCTGTGGGCTGAGTAAGTCGGCTGTGGGCTGTCGGCTGTCAGACCGGAGATGGGGAGTGATGACCGTGGAAGGAGCCGACTTGGTGCTAAAGTCAGGCTGGGTGGCACTTTCTTATCAGGGATGGTTGTAGATCTGAGAAGCTGCTTTTGTGAGAAACTGACTGACGGATGCTGAAAAGAGTTTGTTTTCTGGTGACAGCGCTGACCCGGTGGAGTGGTGAGTGCCGTGCCCTCCTTATGTGGCTGAGCGGCAGCCTGCTCTGCCCTCGGGCCCAGTGCTCTTACTGCGCCTCCCTCTCTGTCCCCAGGGCAGCCGGCTGGCAGGCGGACCAGATTGGCGGGTGGCAAGAAGGGGAAGCACAAGCGGAAGAAGCTGCCCGAGCCCCCCGACAGCCAGTGCACTAAGGACACCTTCTGTCCCCACTTCAGAGCGGACATTCGGGACGTGCAGCCCTGGAGCCCGTCCCCTGCCTCCCCTCTCCACGCCCCCGGCCTGTCGTTCCCGGTGGCACTGCTGGCTCCCAGCCAGGCCCCTTACTTGGTGCCAGCATGTCCCCTGCCCACCGCGACCTCGCCGGGGAGAGAGCACGCAGCCCCGGTGTTGGCGCCGGACTGTGTGCCCACGCTGCCTCTCCCAGCTGTGCCTTCGCCTTACGTGGATACTTTTCTGTCCCTTTTTCTGCCTGACCCCTCTGCCTGTCCTCTGCTGGCACCATCATTCTCTCCATATCTGCTTTGGGGAGCCACAGGCCCTCCTGAAATGCCACCCTTGGTATCAGCCGTGGCTCTGAACGTGGAGCCCCTGTCTCCAGCCGTGGACCAGGGGAGAGCTGGGGAGCCCGGGGAGCCCCAGAGCGAAGAGCGCGCAGGCCCCAGCTCCCGTTGCAGCTCCCCGCTGCAGCTGGACTTGCTCCGGGACGCGCCCCGGCCCCAGGCGGCTGCAGAGCAGGCCAGGGGGAGCCCCGGCCCCCAGGCTGAGTGTGTAAGTGACACCAGGGTTCAGCACACGACAGGACTGGTCAGAACTGAGGTTCTTACACCGGCTCAGCACGGACGGCCCGCGGGGGGTTGCTGAGCGCTGCGGCCCGGGCTGTGGGTGCCGGTCTCGGGAAACGCACTTTAAGTTAGAAGTAGGAACGAGAATCCGCGTGTCCTGGTTCTTCAGCTGCTCTGTGTGGTTTTCCCAAACTGCTTTCATGTTTTCTGTAGGATTAACTTCTTTTCCCCTTTTAAGTTTGATATCCAGCCATTATACTCAACATGTTTATTGCCTATAAAATGTATTTTCTTTATTTTTTGTCCTCACCCGAGGACATTTTTGCATTTATCTTCAGATAGAGCGGGAGGGAGAAGGGGAGGGAGAGAGAAAGAAAGACATCGATGTGAAAGAGACACTTCAACTGGTTGCCAGCCACATGACCCCAACCAGGCCGAGGGTGAACTGCAACCGAGGTTCGTGCCCTTAGCGGGAACCGAACCCAGGACTCTCTGGTCTGCGGGCCGACACTCTAACCACTGAGAAAAACCGGCCAGGGCCTATTTTTAATCCTCACCCAAGAATACTTTTCCATTTATCTTCAGATAGAGTGGAAGGGAGGGAGAGAGAGAAACATCAATGTGAGAGACACATCGAGTGGCTGCCTTTCACATGAGCCGACCAGGACCCACTGCAACCAAGGCACGTGCCCTTAACCAGAACTGAACCCGCGACGCATTGGTCCGTGGGCCGATGCTCTAACCACTGAGCCCAACCGGCCAGGCCCGAGATGTATTTTCTCACCTGCAGCTGAGGTTATGGCTGGCAGGACAGGAGCAGGCCACACCGGCGACTCGGGCGCCTCACGCTTGGGGCACGGCTGTGGGACGGCGGCCGGGAGTGGGCGGGAGACGCCGTCAGTGCTCGTCGGTCAGGTGGGCAGTTACAGCTTCACATTTACACGTGTCATTTTCAAAAATGAACATTCGTGGTCAGTTCCTTCCCTTTCCATTCCGTTACCTACGAGGCGTTCTCAGATGGGCAGCGTAAACTGGGGGACAGGGTCCGAGACGAGAGTGAGTTCACACAGTTTTTCTCGCTCTTGCCTGCAAGGCACAGCACCTTCCTAACACGTGCAGACCCAGAAAGTCTAGTCCGAACAAGATCACGTGCCCAGCGTGAGCCGGATGCGGGTGCACTGGCTAGGAAGCCGGGGCCGGCAGCCGCCGTGAGCGAAGCCTGGGCTGTGGAGCGAGACGGAGCAGAGCCGGCCCTGTCACGGTCGGCTGGGTTAGCCCAGGCAGGTCATCGAGCCTGTCTTGGCCCGTTTCCTTATCTGAAAGGCGGAAAGATGAATACTTCATAGCTTCTCCTGAGGATTACATGAAGTAACGTTTGTGAAGCTGCAGCCCCCACCCCCGTGCATCGTGAGTTCCAGGCTGGCTGCACCTTTGTTTTGTTCGTTGTGATATTCCTAGTATTTGGGACCCTGCTTAGAACAGACAGAATGCTCACTATGTCTTTTCTGAATGGCAACAAAAGTGAAAGCGCACACCTGTGTGGTCTGTGGCATGTAGTAAGTCCTCAGAAAAACAGTATCAGGCCCGGCCGGTGTGGCTCAGTGGTTGAGCATTGACCCATGCACCAAGAGGTTGTCGGTTCGATTCCCAGTCAGGGCACATGCCCAGATTGTGGGCCCGATCCCCAATGGGGGGCATGCAGGAGGCGGCCAGTCGATGTTCTCTCTCATTGATGTTTCTATTTCTCTCTCCCTCTCCCTCTCTTTCTAAAAATCAGTAAAGAAAAAATTTTTTTAAAGAATAACAAAAACAGCCCTGGCGGGTTTGGCTCAGCGGTTAGAGTGTCGGCCTGCGGTCCGGAGAGACCCGGGTTCGGTTCCCGCTAAGGTCATGTACTTCGGTTGCAGTTTGTCCCCGGCCCTGGTTGGTCGTGCGGGTGGCAGCCACTCGATGTGTCCCTTCACGTCGATGTCTCTGTCTCTCTCTCCCTCCCACTCTATCTGTACAAAAAATGGAAAAATATCCTCGGGTGAGGATAAAAAAAAAATATAAGAATAACAAAAACAATAGTATCTTGAAAATTATATACAAAGGGACTTGGACCACATTCTTGGGGACAGGCCGAAATGTTTAGCTTCTCAGTGATCCCTGGCACTTTATTCTGTTTAACGTGTGAAGTTGAAGACCCCCAGAGTTCTGTACGGGATGCTGTGGAGGTTAACATGTCGCCTGTGCCCTTCCTTTCCAGCAGTGCGGCGCCGGCAGCAGCGGCCGGAAGAACAGCCCTTTTGCTGCCGGCGCCCTGTCCACGGTGCCCCTCCCCAGGGAGTCTCCATCGGGACCTGGCTCTGCGGCCTCAGGTAGGCGGTCCCCACGACACCGTCCTCGGGCCCTGCCGCCGGGGCCCCTGTGAGATGGTGGGCTATGCGGCTCCCACACTGGTGTGGGAGTGTTTTTCCTTTTTGTGAGCTTTATTGGGGTGCATTTATTTACATCCAACAAAATACACCAAATTTAAGTGTGCAAAACACGAATTCTGAGAAATGTATGCCTTGGGGCACCCTCCCCCCCATCACCCTATGGAACGTTTCTGTCCCGGGGCAGTTGTGTGAGCTCAGTCAGCCCGCCCAGATCTCATTTCACTTGAGTGCTGCTCACACCGCCATGGCCGAGTCACGCCGCACAGTCGTGGTCTTCCAGGGTCACAGGGCCCCGAGGTGCAACCTGACGGCCGTCAGCAGTTTGTTCCTCGTGGTTGCCGAGTAGAGTCACCGTGTACGGGTGGCCGGTCCGCGGTGGTGGTTGCTGGGTTTCCAGCTGGGACGGTTACTGCTGCGACGAACATTCTAGTCCGAGTCTTCCTGTGGACGTGTTTTCTTTTCTCTCGGGTGGATGCCTAGGAAGGAAGTGGCTAGCTCGCCGTGCATGCGGTGGACTTTATAAGAAATTGCCAGGCTGTTTTCCACAGAGCATGAGAGCGCTCACTTCCCAGCCCGTCCTGGCCCTCATGGGCACTGTCCGTCCATGTCCAGCCCGTCCTGGCCCGCATGGGCACTGTCCGTCCGTGTCCCGGCCCGTCCTGGCCTTCATGGGCACTGTCCATCCATGTCCAGCCTGTCCTGGCCCTCATGGGCACTGTCCATCCATGTCCAGCCCGTCCTGGACCTCGCACTGGGCCACTGTTCCATGCCAATGTCCCAGCCCGTCCTGGCCCTCACGGGCACTGTGGCCCCATCCCTTGTCCCCAGCCCGTCCTGGCCCGCTACATGGGCACTGTCCATCCATGTCCAGCCTGTCCTGGCCCTCATGGGCACTGTCCATCCATGTCCCAGCCCTGGCCCGCACTGGGCACTGTCCATCCATGTCCCAGCCCTGGCCCTCACGGGCACTGCCCATCCATGTCCCAGCCCTGGCCCTCATGGGCACTGTCCGTCCGTGTCCCAGCCCGTCCCGGCCCTCACGGGCACTGTCCGTCCGTGTCCCAGCCCGTCCCGGCCCTCATGGGCACTGTCCGTCCGTGTCCCAGCCCGTCCTGGCCCGCACTGGGCACTGTCCGTCCGTGTCCCAGCCCGTCCTGGCCCTCATGGGCACTGTCCGTCCGTGTCCAGCCTGTCCTGGCCCTCATGGGCACTGTCCATCCGTGTCCCAGCCTGTCCTGGCCCTCATGGGCACTGTCCATCCGTGTCCCAACCCTGGCCCGCACTGGGCACTGTCCGTCCGCGTCCAGCCCTCCTAGTGGGTGTGCAGTGGTGCCTCGTCATGGTTTCAATTTGCGTTTGCCCGTTGGTTAGTGGTGTCGAGTGTCTTTCAATGTGCTTTTGCCGTCATGTGTTCAAGTGTCTTGCCCAATTTGGGGAGGGGAGGTGTTAGTTTGCTGTTGAATAGTAAGAGTTCTGTATATATTCTGGGTGCAAGTTCTCTATCAAATGTTTGTGTAGCAAATATGCCCTCCCTGTGTGTGGCTTGTCTTCTCATTTTGTTATCTTTCATTTTTAGCTTCATTTTGAAGAGCAAAATATTTTTTTAATTTAAAGGAAGTTCACGTGGTCAGTTTTTTCTCTTAGAGGTTGTATGTCCTCTGTAAGAAATATTCACCTAACCAGAAGTCACTAAGATAGTCTCTGTCTTAGACGTTTTACAGGTTTTGCTTTTATAGTTAGGTCTGTGGTCCGTTTTCAGTCCATTTGTTTGTGGTGTGAGGTAAGTGTTGATTGTTTACTTGCCTATGGATATCCCATTGTTCCTGCCCCACGTGTTGAAAAGATTCTTCTTCCCCCCACGGAATTACCAAGGCACCTTTGTTGAAAAGAAATTGGTCCTATTTGTTTGGGTCTGTTTCTGGCTTGAGGGCAATCACACGTTATGTTGATGTACCTTTCCAGTAAGTCTTCAACTCTGTTGGGTTAAGTCCTCCAACTTTATTCTTCTTTTCAAAATAATTCTGAATATTATAGGTCCTTTGTCCACATAAATTATAAAGAAAAAACCTGCTGGATTTTATTAACACTGTGCGTCTATAGGCCAGTTTCGGAAGGACTGTCGCCCTGATGGCATCGAGCCTCCTGACCCGTGAGCCAGAGTGTCTTTCTTATGCAGGTCTTTCATTTTCCCAGCAGTGTTCAGAGTTTTCTGTGCACAGATCTTTCATGTACATATTTTGCTAAAATTATCCATAAGGATTTCATATATTTGATACTATAGTTACATTTTAAGATTCCAACTTTAAATTGTTTGTTGTTAGCATATAAAAATTCAATCAAATTTTGTATTTTGAACTTTATATTCTGTGTTTTTGCCAAACTCATTTATTAGTTTTTGTAGCTCTTTTGTAGCTTCTGTAGGACTTTCCTACATAGGCAGTCTTGCTGTCTACAAATACAGTTTCACTTCTTCCTTTCTGATCTATATGCCTTTATTTACTTGTCTTTTTTTTTTTTTTAATCCTCACCTAAGGACATTTTTGCATTTATCTTCAGATAGAGCCAGAGGGAGAGAGGGAGGAAGAAAGAGAAACATCAATGTGACAGAGAAACATCAAGTGGTTGCCACCCACATGACCCCAACCGGGGCCAGGGACAAACTGCAACTGAGGTACGTGCCCTTAGCGGGAACCGAACCCCGGACTGTCTGGTCTGCGGGCCGACACTCGAACCCCCGAGCCAAACCGGCCAGGGCTTGTCTTGTCTCATTGGACTGGCTAGTGTTGAGTAGAAATAGTGAGATACATTACTGCCTTGTAGTTGCACCATTAAGTATGATGTTAAATGTGGTTTTTCTTAAATTGTTCCTTTTCAGTAAGATTGAGGAAGTGCCTTTCTATTGCTGTTTTGTTGTTGTTGTTTTGTTAGTCCTCACCTCAGGATATTTTCCATTAATTTTTTTAGATAGAGTGGAAGGGGGGGTGGGGGGAGAAACATCAATGTGAAAGAGACACATCGATTGGTTGCTTCTCCCACAACACCTACCAGGCCTGGAAATTAAACCTGCAACCCAGCCCTGATGGGTTTGGTTCAGCGGTTAGAGCGTCAGCCTGCGGTCCAGAGAGACCCGGGTTCGGTTCCCGCTAAGGGCGTGTACCTCAGTTGCAGTTTGTCCCCGGCCTTGGTTGGTCATGCAGGTGGCAGCCACTCAATGTGTCCTTTTCACACCCATGTTTCTCTCTCTCTCTCTCTCTCTCTCTCCCCCCCCCCCTTCCTCCCTCCCTCCCACTCTATCTGAACAAAAAATGGAAAAATGTCTTCGGATGAGGATGAAAAAAAAACGAATGAGTTGGGACTGGTTCTCTCCTCTCCTGTTTTCTCGAAAAGTTTGTTTTGAATTGATACTGTGTCGTCCTTATATGTTTGGTAGAATTTCATCAGTGAAGCTATCTTGTCCTAAAGTTGTCTTCCGGAGGTTTTTACCAGCACACTTAATTTATTTAATAGATTGGGTTTGGCCGGTGTGGCTCAGTGGTTGAGCGTCGACCCTGCACCAAGAGGTCGCGGGTTCGATTCCCAGTCAGGGCACATGCCCAGGTTGTGGGCCCAATCCCCAGTAGGGGGCATGCAGGAGGCGGCCTGTGGATGTTCTCTCTCATCAATGTTTCTATCTCTCTCTCCCTCTCCCTTCCTCTCTCTAAAGTCAATAAAGGGGGAAAAAATAAAGTAAATAAAACATGTAAACATGAAACAAGATATAATATTTTTAAAAAAAAATAGGGGTCCATTCAGGTTATCTGTTTCTTCTTGAGTGATCTTTGGTAATTTGTGTTTTTCAAGGATTTTGTCCATTTCATCTAAGTTGCCAAATTTATTGTCATAAAGTTGTTTAAAATATCCTCTTATTCTTTTAATGTCTGTAGAATCCATTGTACTCTTATTACTGGTATTAATAATTTATTTCTGCTTGTTCTGACTCTCTGTTGATCAATTGTATTAACTTTTCAAAGAAGAGAGTTCTGTTTGTTTTTTCCCTGTTGGTTTTTGGTTTTGTACTTTATTATTCCCTTTCTTCTGTTTACTTTGGATTTTACTTGCTCTTTTTCTAAATTCTTAAGGTGGAAGCTTAGACCATTCTCTAGATACCTTGTTTTTCCTGCTCATATGAACATTCATGCTTTCCCCTTCCCTCTGAGCAGTGCTGACCTGCACCTTCAAATTTTGATGTCTCTTTAAGGTTTTCATTCAGTCTGGAGTGTTTTCTAATTTCCCTTGTGCTTTCCTCTTTGACCATAGGTTATTAGAAATGTATTTAATGTCCTAATATTGGCGTTTTTCCAGATATTTCATTGGTTTCTAACCTAATTGCACTCAGAGCACATTCTTTGTATTTTTTTTTTAATTTACTGAGACTTGGCCCGTCTTGATCAATGTTTCAGGTGCGCTTGAAAGGAACGTGTTCAGCAGTCACTAGTAGGTCTTCTGTAAATGTAAACTAGATCAAGTTGGCCGATGGTGTTGGTCCAGCCTTCTGCATCCTGATTTTCTGTCTGCTTGGTTTAGTTCTTAAGATGGGGCTTTTAAAATGTCCAACTACAAATGTAAATGTGTCTCTTTTTTCTTGCAGCCCAATCAGTGTTTGCTTCATGTATTTTGAAGCTCTTTTATTAGGCGCATACACGTTTAACATCATGTCTGTTGGAGGAATTGATCCCTTTACTACGATATGTACCTTGCTGTGAAGTCTCCTTCGTCTGTTCCCAGTGTATCCACTCCAGCTTTATTTTGATTGGTGTTTACATGGCACTTTTTTTTATTTATTTACTTTTAACTTGTATGTGTTTTTATATTTAAAGTTGACTTTTGTTAACCTCCATATAGTTGGGTATTGCTTTTTTTATCCATTTTACAAGCTTTGCCTTTTTTTTTTTTTTTTTTTTTTTTTTTTTTTTTTTTTTTTTTAAATGAAGGTATGTGTGTGTGTATTATTACCCTTTAACAACTTTTTTTTTTTTTTTTTTTTTTTTATTTATTTTTTTATCCTCACCCTAGGATATTTTTTCATTTTTTGTATAGATAGAGAGGGAGGGAGAGAGAGGAAGGGAGAGAGAGAGAGAAACATCGACGTGAAGGGACACATCGAGTGGCTGCCACCCGCACGACCAACCAGGGCCGGGGACAAACTGCAACTTTTTTAATCCTCACCTGAGGACACTTTTGCATCTATCTTCAGATAGAGTGGGAAGGAGAGGGGGGGAAGAGAGAGAGAAACATCGATGTGAGAGAGACACACTGACTGGTTGCCACCCCACAACCCCAACCAGGGCTGGGGACAAAATGCAACCAAGGTGCCTGCCCATAGCGGGAACCGAACGCGGACTCTCTGGTCTGCGGGCCTATGCCTTAACCGCTGAGCCAAACTGGGCCAAACTGGCCAGGGAAATCTTTGCTTTTTTTTTTTTAATCCTCACCCGAGGACATTCTTTCATTTTTTGTTCAGAGAGAGAGAGAAACATCGATGTGGAAGGGACACATCGAGTGGCTGCCACCCACGACCAACCAGGGCCAGGGACAAACTGCAACCGAGGTACTACCCTTAGTGGGAACCAAACTCGGGTCTCTCTGGTCTCTCTGTACCGCAGGCTGACGCTCTAACCGCTAAGCCAAACTGGCCAGGGCAATCTTTGCCTTTTAATTGCAGTATTTAGACCATTTACATTTAATGTGATTGTTGATGTGGTCAGGGTTAAATTAAATCTTTCACTGCGCTAACTTGTTTCATGTCTCGTCTGTTTTTTCTTCGTTTTTTGCCTTCTCCCCTCCTCCTTTTGGGTTAATTTTGTACGTTTAATGATTGTTTTCTCTCCATCATTGGCTTCTCAGCTATACCTTTTTTTTTTTAAGTCATTGCTCCAGGATTTGCTAGTGCATCTTTTTACTTAGCACAGTTTATCTTCCAATATTATACCTATTATATCATTTAATGTCTAAGAACTGTAAAATACAGTTCTTCTGTTTCCCCTCTTGTCTTTATGCTACATGGTATGTTTTACTTCTACTTAGATTTTAAACCCACAATAAAATTTTTATTGTTTTTGCTTTAAATAGTCCATGACCCTTTAAAAAGGAATTTTTTTAATGACAAAAAAATGTCTTTTATAGTTACCATATACTTTATTTAAAAATAAGAAAGGTACTTTTGTTTGTTTGGGGGTTTTCTTTCTTGTTGCTCCAAAGTCAGTGGGAAAGATCTAGAAGGGCCAGATGCAGGATGGAGAGAAATGACCAGAAGCCTCCAGGGCAGCTATAAGGGGGGGGGGGGGGACGGCGGGATGGTTCTCCATGCAGCAGGAAGGGGGGAGGAAGGAGTGCAGATATGACGGAGTGCATGTTCGGTGTCAGGATGAGATTTTCTGTTCCAGTGGCTTCCCTTCTTCCCTCATGAAACAGGTGCAAGTGAGGGAGGAAGCAGGGGCGTGGGGAACAGTCGTGGCTGGGGGTGGAGCAGTGGCTGACCAGAGCGCAGCGGCAGGGTGGCCAGGCTCACTGCTGAACCTGGGGGACAGGACTCACTGTAGAACCAGTGCACCTGGCCACGCACGTTCCTCCACGTCTGTGGCCTCGTGGCTTTGATAAGAACAGGCTGTTCGTTGGCTTTCTCACAGTGGACATTTTGATAGTTAGGCAGAGTCAGAGGGAAAGGAAGTCTAAGGTATTGCAAAGAGTGTTATCAAATGATGGACTTTGGCTCCAGCTCAGTGACAGAGGCTTTGCTCCAGATTTGCAGTCGAACGAATGAATGGCAGCAGGAAAATGAAGCTGAGGTGGGGATTCAGGAGATGGGCCCTTCTGGGTGGAGCCGTGAGTGCGCAGCCTGGGGGTGAAGAAGGGGTGTGGGACCAGCCCGCCCGCCTCCACCCCTCCCAGTCTCGGTGTGGCTGCGGCTCTAATGCCGTAGTTGTAGGACTTCATTCAGCCCAATGTCAGGCATTCGGAGGGATGGTTGTTCTGTAGTTTAGTTGTAACTTCGATGTGGTTGTGGGAGGAGGTGACACCGTGTTACCTGCCCGCCATCCTGACCGGAAGTCCTGGCAGGGTTTTCTAATGGTTGTCGCCTTGCTTCTTGACAGGAAGCAGTGACAGCAGCATGTATTTCGGTGGCAGTGATTACTCTTCTGAAATCACCCAGAATGGGCAGCAATCTCAGGATGTACAGGAAAAAGAAGCATTTCCCAGTTTAGCTGAAGGGTCCATCTGGAGAATGATAGAACAGACCCCCGAGTGCACGCTCATGACCTACCAGGTGCCGGAGAGGTAAGAAGGCAGCTCCGAGGGCCCACTTTGTACGGGTTTCTGATGGTTTCTTAATGTGTTTCACTGCAAAATGATTTTAAATGGCTTTATACATACCCTTGGGGAAATGTATTTTCAAATTCATTCATCTGAAGTCAGAGGACGAAGGACTTCTTGCAACTGTGTCACAGTGGGAGTGCCGCAGTGTGCGGGTGCAGACGGAACACGTGTCACCGTCACGGGGCAGGAGGGCGGGAGGCAGTGCTGCCCAAGGTGGCACATGCCAGAGGGACTCCTGTGTAGGCTCCGGATTGTTCTCCTTCCGAAGAGGAGAACTAGGGAGATAGGTCTCCTGTATGTGCCTCGTTAGGACACGATACAGCTGTTTTCCACCAAGGAGAGGGCTCGCTTTGCCAACTGGGCAGAGAAACGGCTTGATGGTGTTTAATGTGTGCGTCGCATATTAACGAGGTAGAAAGTCTGTTACAGAACAAGACGTGCTGCGGTTAGGCGAGGTGACGAGAACTCCGGACCTTGCAGGACTGCCAAGGTTTTGTTTGTGGTGTTTTCAGGGTGAAAGAAGTTGTGCTGAGAGAGGACCTGGCAAAGCTGGAGAGCATGAGGCAGCAGCAGCCACAGTTTTCCCCTGGACAGAGGGAGGAGCTGGCCCAGGTGCATTCTTGGATTCGGAGCCAGACCCTCCCTCAAGAAATGGACGTCCAGGTAAGCGCAGTGGCCCGGCTGTCACAGAGCCTGTTCCTTAGGCCAGGCTGTGTGCCAGGCACTTGGCGTGCATTGCACGAGCCCACTGAACCTCCCCCCTCACAGTGACTTCTGTGACCTGTCATCGTCCCCGCTTAGCCATCGCCAGCACAGTGGGGCACACAGGTGTGAGGACAGTCTGCAAAGGGTGCTGACACTGGTGTTTTTGGCTGCGAGTGCTAGGGGACAGTTGAGGCAGGCTGCCTGCTCCGACGTGTGGCTGCCTGGGCGGGGAGGTGTGAGGGATTTGCATATCCTGTGTGCGTGCGTGTTTCAAGAGTCACTCTCAGGACGTGGGATTCACACCGGAGGGAGAAGTCATGCCTAGTAGGAGTTCCCACAGGCCCCCGGTGGTCTCTTGGCTCTGACGGGGTCTTCGCAGTGAGATCAAATGTGAGCAGCCTGAACAGGGAGCCCTCATTTACCGGTGGCCCTGGGGTCTGGTTCTGTAGTGATGGTTGTGACAGTTGTGGGAGGTGGTGTGAAGTTGAACTTATAATGAGAGAGTAAAAGTAGGTGTGCAGAAAAGTGCAAGACATATGGATCAAACAAGCCGTTGACATCCTTCCCACCCCTGTTTCTAAAGAAAAGAATGCAAGCCTGTCACTTAAGGATGGCTAGGTATGGCCCAGCTGGTGTGGCTCAGTGGTGAGCGTCAACCCTGCACCAAGAGGTCGCTGGTTCAAAACCCGGTCAGGGCACACGCCCAGGTTGTGGGCCTGATCCCCAGTGGGGGGCCTGCAGAAGGCGGCCAATCGATGTTCTCTCTCTTTGATGTTTCTATCTCTCTCCCTCTCCTTCCCCCTCTCTCTAAAATCAGTAAAGAAAACAAAACAAAAGATGGCTAGATATGGTCTCACCAAAAGGCAGGAGCTGAGCTGGTCACTACAAGTGTCTTTGTTTTTTAAATACTGTTTTTCTGGTTTTTGAGTAGAAGGGTGTGTGAAGAATGAGCCCAAAACAATTTAAACAAAAGCTTTTAAAAAGTGGCTACATTTACCTTCCAGTACTACATTATGGGCCATAACGGGTCTTCTTAGACATAAATGGGGGAACTGGACACAGATGGCTTGGCCAGCGTTTTACTGATTTAAAACTCTTCAGAGGACATTACATGGAGTAACTGCCTGCTCTGGTTCTTTCTCGGAGGGCTGTGCCGCCTGCGAACACACAGATCCCGTTGTTGGCGCCGTGGGGGCCTGCGGTGAGGACCCCGCGGAAGAGAGTCCTTGATTGCGTGACCCGGAGGCGCCCCGCACACCCTCCCCGGACCTGCTGGGCCGCAGGGCTCCCCATGGCCCTCTGAGCCCTGACTGTGGAAGGATCGGGAGGAATGCCGAGGCCTCCCTTGGCGTTTTAGCAGCCCCCGTTTTTCTGAAGCGGACTGGATGCTCCTGCCCCGGTGAGGCTGTGGGTCGGCGCATTCCCAGGTCAGCGTCGGGCAAGACTGCGTGGCCGAGAGGGCGTGTGCAGCCATGGCAACGGTGTCGCGTGCTCAGCTGGGAGGCCCGCCAGACCCCAGCCGCGTGCCCTGCGCTGCCCTTGCGCAGATCGCCCGGCAGGGTGGCTTCCGTGGGCGGTCCACTGCGGGGATGCGTCCCGCAGTCAGCGCCACGGCCGCGCCAGGCCGCGCTCAGGGCCTCGGCCGGTCCCCACCCACGGCCGGGGCTCCCCCGGGGTCCAAGTTAGCTTCGCCTGTGCCCTTTTCCAGCAAGAGCTTCAGCTCAACCAGTGTGATCTCCTTTTTAATGTCCTGGTTTTTTGAATGATTGTAAAAAGTTTTGTAAAAAATTAATACTGTTTTTTTTATGTATCTGTGTTTAAATGTGTTTCAACCAAAACTAAGTTAACTCTTTCCAACTAATTTACACCAAAAAGGTCTTCACCCCTGCCAGAGAGCTGACGGGCACTGCCCCTGTTTGCCCTTAAGCCCTTAAGCAGGGGTCATTGCGGGCCCGCCTCCGGGCTGCGCAGGGCCGCGGCCAGTGACAGGCGGGCCCTGATCCGGGCCCTGATCCAGCTCCTGTTCGGAGGCTGCGAGTCCCTCTGCGCCAGGAGGCGGCTTGGGGCGCGTGCGGCATCCCGGGCAGATCGGAAACCGAGAGCCCAGAGACTTTCATTCTCACACACTTACTTTTCTTCTCCGTTTTTGTGTTTTGTGTGTGTGTTTATCTTGTTTTAGGAAAATACTTCAACCTTTCGAGTTTTACAGCTTTTTATAAAATGCATCCTGAGAACAGAAGAATTGACCTTTTTGTCCACGATGACCGTAGGGCCGACTCTCCGTCCCCAGCTTAGATTTTCTTTCAGAAGCAGGGGTTTCCAGAAGGCCGTTCTGTTTCATGGTGGAACCCATGACGTGTCTTGGAATTCAGTGGTGAGCAGTTCCACGCGAATATTCCCGCCGTATGGATACAGTCATTCTCCATCGCGAGCGTGCCACGACGTCAAAGCCCTCGGCGTTGGTCCGGTGGTGTGGTGGTCTTTTGTGTCCTTGGTGAAAAATACCACATTTTTAAAAATTAATCATCCTGGATATTGTCCATCTAGTAGAATCATTGTGACCTCTGTCGCGATAAAAAGTTTAATTTTTGTAAATAAAAAAGGACGTGTAGCTACCAGAGGACCACTCAGCATTTGCATGTGCGCGTTTTGACCATGTTCTCCACGCCGCCTTCTTTCCTGCTGTCTGGGTGTCTGCTGCGTCTAAACGTGCTGGCTGCTTTGCCTTAGTACACATCTGACGGAGTGTACACTGTACGAGGCTTGACTTGAACTGGTGCTCCCTGTAGGCAGATCCCTCAGGCATTTCTGACCGTGGGTGAGTCGGTGTGAGGCTGGACTTCGGTGCTGCTGAGCCGGGGGGCTCAGCTGTGACAGCTGCCACCCCCACGGGAGCTCACGGAGCTGTGCGCTTTGTCATTCAAGTTTATTCGCTTTTTGTATTGGTGACTATAGAAATTGGTCATAAAAAAATGTATATTATAGGCTGTAATTTTTACATAAGTGTTGCCTAAAAGGCTGTATTTTCTTGGATAAGAGGTCAGGCTTTATGAAAAAGTGAGATTTCATTGCGATCCACAAGGTAAACCTAATCCAAATGAAATTTGTTTCCACTGAATTTGTAATTAACTATGTGAATTCTTTTGTTTGTAATAGTTGTTAATATTTTAATTGGGTATCTTTTTTAAGTAAAAACTATAAATAAACTGTACATGTAAAACTGGGGAGGTTTTCTCAGGCTGTGTCGACCAGCCTTCGCCTCGGATCTGCACCCGTGTCAGCAGGGAGCCCACGCGGAAACCGCAGCGCTTGGCGGGTGCTCCTCGGCCGTCCGAGCGCGTGGACGACGCGGGTTTCCCAGCTGTGTCCCCCGAGCCCTCCCCTCAACACTGAAGGACTTAGTGGGTCCTGAGCATATGTGCATCTTGTTCATACTGGTATTGCCAGGTTTACGAAATCAGGGATCAGAATTATTCCTCAGGACCCTCTAGGGACCCTGTATTCACCAGGTCTGTGTCCCTGGTGGTAGCAAAATCTCGAAGTTGAAATAGGAAACAAGAGCCTGAAACCAACAGGACTTTTTTTTTTTTTGAGATACATGTTTTTGAATCCTCCCCTGAGGGTATGTTTATTGACTTGAGAGAGAGAGGAACGGGGAGAGAGAAACATCGATGTGAGAGGGGAAGGACCCTTGCCTCCCGTAGCACCCTGACTGGGGATCGAACCCACAACCTTCTGGTGCACAGGATGACACTCCCACCAAGTGAGCCACCCGGCCAGGGCAGCAGGCCTTGTTCAACAGTGCGCCTCTCAGCCCACCCGCACCTTTCTGTAAGGACGCCGGCAATGCCGAGGAGAGAAAGCAGCCAGCTGTTTGAGGGTGTGGGCTCCTCCAGCAGGACCCAGGCCAGGGGCTCAGTCCCCGTTCCGCAGAGGACACTGAGGTGGGCGGAGCCGGGACCTGGGCAGAGCCGTCTGTAGAGTAACAGCCTGGTGTCACTAAAGCAAAGGGGGTGCTGGGAGCTTGCCTGGAGCTCCGTCTTCCGCTCTCCAGTATCACAGATGTGAGACAGCTTTGTGGCTCGAAAGTTCTGTTGAGAGAGTTGGTGCTGGTCCAGTTTCACCAGTGAGCAGCCCCAAGTTCCTGCGGACATATGGACCGGAGCACATGCCCGAAGCCACCCAGCCATTCAGTTTAAAACAGCATTTTCTGCAGGTGGCCTCCTGATGTCCAATAAAGACAGCGAAGATGTACCACACCTGTGCTCTGTAAGACTTTTTTGGTTGTTGACAAGTTCAATGTCAGTGACATGGGGCGGTTTGGTGCGGGCCTGACTGTTCCTCCAAAGAGGGGTAGTGAATGGCAGAGGCCCGGGGGCGCGGGACGCTCGGGTTCGGTCACCTGTGCTGGAAGCGACAGCCCCCGGGAGTCTGCTGCGCACTGCACACAGGCTGCATGGGCATCGATGCAGCGACAGTGTAGGGTGGTGTGTGAGAGACAGGCTGAAGGGACTGTTCTGTGCTCACAGGAGCCGAGAGCAAACAAGGGTCACTGCTAAGAGATTCAGATTTTCACTGCTTTGTTTGTTAATCCTCACCTGAGGATATTTTTCCATTGATTTTACTTTTAGGTTGAGTGGTAAGGAAGGAGGGAGGGAGGGAGGAACATTGATATGAGGGAGATACAGCCCGCTCAGTATGTGCTCTTGACCGGGACTCGAACCCTCGACCCTTTGGTCCACAGGTCGACACTCTGACCGCTGAACCAACCCAGCCAGGGCACGTTTCCACGTGTTCCATGTTTGCTTCAGCTAAGAGACCTCCCCCTCAGACTCCAAGGAGAGTTAGACCGTCCCCAGCCCTGCGGGACCCTTCCCTTTAGAGGTTTTCCAAGTGAAGATACTGATTGTTTTCACGTAATAACTTACGTTGTCATGTTCAAGGTCTGAGAGGACGGTGATATAGTTTGTTTAAATGATGTGCAGTTTAACTTTAAAAAAAAAATTTTTTTTTCTTTATTGATTTTTAGAGAGAGAGGAAGGGAGTGGGGAAGAGAGAGAAACATTGATGAGAGAGAACACTGATTGGCCACCGCCTGCACGCCGCCCACTGGGGATTTGGCCCACAACCTGGGCATGTGCCCTGACTGGGAATTGGACTGGTGACTTCTTGGTACATGGGTCAACGCTCCACCACTGAGTCACACCAGCTGGGCCAGTTTAACTATTTTAACTAAATTTTACTTTTATGACTTCTTCTTAGCATTTGCTTCTGTTCATTTATTAACTTTACTTTTAAATTTCCAGAGACTCTTTTAGAAAGTAAATGGATGGAGCCCGACTGGTGTGGCTCAGTGGTTGAACATCGACACATGCGCCAAGAGGTCATCAGTTCGATTCCCCGTCAGGACACATGCCCCGGTTGTGGGCCTGATCCCCAGTGGGGGGCATGCAGGAGGCGGCCAATGGATGTTCTCTCTCATCGATGTTCCTCTCTCTCTCTCCCCCTCTCCCTTCTTCTCTCTAAAATCAATAAAGAAAAATATTTTTTTTTAAAAAGAAAGTAATTGGATGGAAAGAAGAACTATAGATTTTAGAACATGTTTTCAAGTAAAATAACCACGGATGATATTTGCAGAACATACAAGTTTTATTGTTTGAGTAATGAACAGGGTATAGTTGGCCTGGCGTTTCTTCTATACCGTTTTCAAGTCGAGCATTTTCGGCTCTGCGTCTGAGCTGCCTGGCAGGCGGTCGTCTTGCTTCAGACACAGTACTTCCAGTAGCATTCCGAGGGGTGCGCTCGCGTCTTCACTCGCTTCCCGACCCTGGCAAAGGGCGGGCTCAGTAAAGTGCTGCGATGTTCTCCAGAGAAAGCTGGAAACTAAGACCAAACAAACAGCTGGGTTATCAATAAGACAAGAGTCCCACATGGAAAAGGAGCTTGGTCCAGACGGCAGCCCTTCCCCTGGCTCTGTGGCATTGGGTGGCAGCAGGAGCCGGCACGCGGGCTCCAAGGGGCTGTGCCAGCCAGGTCCATCCTGTCTACTCAGCCGTGTGGTTGCTGAAAATTTCCCTGCACCTCCTCGACCTACTTCTGTTTAAATAGTGTCAGTAACAAGTCCTGACTTTGGTTATCCTCCGTGTGAAATAGATCTCTTACTTGTCTTGAAATTAACTTCCTGGACCCTTGGTTTTGGAGGGTACTTTATTCTAAAATTTCATGTGCAAATCTTAGTAATCACCCATATGATTTTAGAGTCTTTACCCATAATCCTTCTCTCGAGAAGGATGTAAACATCTGAATGATGACTTCTAGCTGGTTATGGAGAGAAACACACCATCGTGCCCTTCGGGCGGGCGGTGACCCCTGTGGCCCTCCGCGGTGTATCATCTCCAGGACTCAGTGTTCCCAGAGCATGTTTTCACAAGGACGTGAGTCCCTTCGGGCGGGCGGTGACCCCTGTGGCCCTCCGCGGTGTATCATCTCCAGGACTCAGTGTTCCCAGAGCATGTTTTCACAAGGACGTGAGTCCCTTCGGGCAGGCGGTCACCCCTGTGGCCCTCCGCGGTGTATCATCTCCAGGACTCAGTGTTCCCAGAGCATGTTTTCACAAGGACGTGAGTCCCTTCGGCGGGCGCGCGGTCAACCCTTGTGGCCCCTCCGCGGTGTATCATCTCCAAGGACTTCAGTGTTCCCAGGAGCATGTTTTCAACAATGGACGTGAGTCCCTCTCGGGCAGGCGGTCCCACCTGTGGACCCTCTGCAGGTTGTATGCATTTTTTTTTTTTATCTCTCGAGACTCAGTGTTCCCAGAGCATGTTTTCACAAGTACGTGAGGTCCCTTCGGGCAGGCGGGTCACCCCTGTGGCCCTCTGGCGGTGTATCAATCTCCAGGATCTCAGTGTTCCCAGAGCACTGTTTTCACACGGACGTGAGGTCCCTTCGGGCAGGCGTCAACCCTGTGGCCCTCTGCGGTGTCTCAGTCTACCAGGACCTCAGTTTACCCAGAGCATGTTTTCAACAAGGACGTGAGTCCCTATCGGGCAGGGCAGGTCACCCCTGTGGCCCTCTGACGGTGTATCATCTCCAGGACCTGCATGTCCGTTTCCCAGATCATGGTTTTCACAAGGACGTGAGTCCCTTCGGGCGGGAGGTCACCCCTGTGGCCGTCTGCGGTGTATCATCTCCAGGACTCAGTGTTCCCAGAGCATGTTTTCACAAGGACGTGAGTGGGTACTGCACCAGGGAAAAAGGTGTTTCTGGTCAAAATGTCGGAAGTGCTGGGGAAAATGAAATGAGCTCGTTGCCCTGGTCTTCACTGTGCTGATGCGCACAGACCGTCGCCCGGGCCCAGGAGGGACTGGGACCGTGCTCAGGAGACGCTAGTTAAGCGTTTGGGGTGGGGGTGATGACCAAAGACAGAATTTCCCATTAGCATTCAAGGTCCTCGTGTCTGACCACTCGTCACCGTCCATCATTCCCGTCACAGTTCCCACTGCTCCCAAAATACCTTCCTAGTCTGCTCGCTGCTGCGCACACACCCCCCCCCCCCAACGTCCCGAGCATGTTCTTCCCCTTAGAGGTTACACTGCGGTGCTTTCCAAACCTCAGCTTGAAACAACCACCCGGGACCCTGGGAACCAGACAGCTATTTTCAGGTGTGAT